GTTACTAAAGGAACTATTATAAGATAATTAATTAGTAATAGCCTTAATAGCGGTATATTAATCTTTATATTACTTAATAAAATCGGTTAGTTTAATATTATTATTAAGGTAGGTAAGGAATTATAAAATCTTAAGATTAATAAGGTTAAAAAGAGTATAAATAATAAAAGACTCCTTATAGCCTAATTGCTTAGTAATTCCTACCTTTTTTTAAGCCTACTAGGTAAGAATAATACCATTTTATATAAAATAGGGGGTATAATAAGTTTAGTATAGTTCTTTAACTAGCTTTATTTTAATTTACTTAAACCGTTTAGTAATAATTTAATAAAACTTATTAATAGGTACGGTAAGGATATTATATTAAACGTTAAAGTTAAGCTTAAATATAAACTAGGTACTTATATTACCGGTTAATATACTAAGGTAGTAATTAACCAAGGCAAAATTACTATAATATTTAAATAATAATATATATTTATAAAATATATATATATTAATATAGATAATCTTTTTACTAGTTAAGGTAATTAAACTATAATTATCTATATTATTAACATTTCTAGGATTAAATAGTCTTAAAGATTCCTTTTTAATCTTCTTAGAGATATTAATAGTTAATCAATTAGTAAATACTATATTTTCCTATCGTTAACGATCTTATATATCTTTTTTTCTTACTTAGTCGTTTTCCTTATTATTTAAAATAAAAGGAAAGGGTAGTTATAAGATATTATATAGACATTAAATAGTAATAAAAGCTACTATTCTATAGCTATTAATAGGTTTAAATAAAAAATACTTAATAATTATAGTCTTTTACTAGTCTATATATTAAAGATATAATACCTTTACTTAAGGATTAACTAGTAATTCTTAAGGAATGTTATTAGACTTAATAAGGCCTAATATAAAGATATATATTTATATTATTATATTAAAATCCTAAATAGTAACGGTCTTAAGGACGGTTTATATATTATATTCCTTTATAAGTTATATAAATTATAATCCCTATTTAATAACTTTTAGGTTATCCTATAGTAATTAAAGCTCCTTTTTAGGTCCTACCTTAGACTAATAAAAGCTCTTTTATTAATTACTTAGCTTAAATTCTTAGTTAGAGCCTTTATTACCTAAAGCTAGGCTATTACCTATAATTAAAGGTTCTAATATCTTATATATTATTATATTAAAGTATAAAATATAATAGTTTTATAGGTTATAAATATATATATCTTTTTATTAAAAATAGGGGGCTTAATAGTTAAATAGTCTAGTAATTAATTTAATTATAAATACTTTACTAAAGGCAGTCCTAACTAGGTTAAAAGGTATCTATAAGTAAATAATTTAGTATTAAAGGTATATTATATTAAACTAAAATAATCTAATATACTATCTTAATAGGATTGCCCTAAGGTTTAATTACCTAAATACCTAAGATATATATATAATAAGGTATTATACCTTTTAATATATAAAGGGGCTTCTTTTAATATAAAGTATAAAGGTAATTAGAATTTTGTTTTTTTACCTATTTAAGGTAACAAATATAATTAAAATATAATATTAAAGATCTTATAATGTCTTTAATGCCGATATAAATATAGTAAAGAATAGTAAAGCTTAATATATTTATAAGGTAGGGCATAATATATAGGAGCTTAAGTAAATACCGGAAAAGCTAAAGGCCGGGGTTTAAATTTACCTTCTATAGGTCTTTATATATATTTTTAGGGTTTTTTTATAATATATATATATTTAGTCAGGTTAATTAGCTAGGTAATATATTATAATATATTTATAACGGTTAAGGGTATACTTTTTTAAAGATAGAAAGAGGGTAATTTTAGGTAGGTAAGTTAGCATTTTTCGATATATTATATTAAATTTAAAGGAAGGTTATATTAAAATAAAAACTTATAGTTAGGCTTATTAAATAACAAGGTTTAGTCTAGAGGTTATATTTTAACTACTCTAATAGTATAGTTAGAAATAAAATAGTATTTTAATAATAATAAGAGGATTATTATATAGTAGTTATTACTATTTAATATCGTTATTATGCTTAGGGGTAAAATAAAGGTATTTTATAAAAGTATATTTCTTTTAAGAAGACCTAAGTTTAGTACTGCTTTTATAGGCATACTAAGCTCGGACCTCTATAGTACGGAATATCTATATTTCCGGCACCCTACCTAATATAATAATACCTTTATATATCAGCCTATTAATTAATTAAGTTAATTAAATCTATAATTAAGTAATTTAATAAGGATTTAATTTTATTATTTAATTATTATTTCTTTATAATAAATATCTTTAAAATACTCTTTAATCTAGGTAGTTTATAAAGTAAATAAAAAAGACTAAGGTATTAATAATTAATAAGTTAAAAAAAGATAGGTATAAAAAGGAAAAAACCGTTATTATAATTACCGATAAGTTTACCTTTTAAAATAAATTAATCTTAACTAGCTTTATAAAGTTAATCCTTAAGGTTACTAGTTTTTAAAAGATAAAGTTAATAAGGAAATTAAATTTAATAAAAAAAATAAAAAATAATTAACTTATCTAATATATAGCTTATAAAGACTAGACCTTAAAGGACTAAAAGTTAGTAATTTAATTAAATAAAACCTTTATAATTTTTCTATATTAATAAGGAGGTTATTATATATAAAGGCAGGTTAATAAACGGTTTATATATATTTATATTTATAAAAGGTAAAAGGGGGTAATAAAGTTTATATTTTAAAATACCTTTTTTTTATAATAAAAAAGGTCTTTATTATTATTAAGGTTTAAAGACCGCTAAAAAAAAGGTAAAGGTAAAGTTAATAATTAAAAAGTTAAATAAAGAATTTAAATTAATAAAATAAATTAAATAGAAATTATTAATTAATATAAAAAGGTTAGGTCTTTATAATAAGCTAGGTAAAAAGCCTTAGTAATTTTAAAAGGTAAAGATTAGTAAGCTTATTTAATAAAAAGGTTATAAAATTAATTAGTAATATTATTAATAGATTATTTTTTTATTAAAGTTTTTTCATTTTATAAAGAAATATAAAAAAAAAAGACTTAATATAATTATTTAGAAAGATAAGATATCTTTATATAATTACTATATATAATAAGCTATTTATAATACTATAGGTATTATATAGCTTTTTTAATATAGTAATAACCCTAATCTAAATATAATAAAGCTAGCTTAGCTATAAATAAAGAGGTTAATTATAAAAAAAGGTATCCCTAAAAGCTAAACTAAAGCTATTTATATATAAAAGGTAGCTTAAAGGAAGTTACTATAAAAGAAAATCTATACCTAGATAAAAAGAATTCCTAATTATATTAAAAAAATTATTAAGCTTAAAAGAGGGAATAAATATAAAGAAAGTAAGGATATCCCCCTATAAAATTAAACTATTTTTAATATATTAAAGGTATATTTACTTTTTATTAACCGGGGTTATTTTTAACGTTATATAAAACTTTCTGGCCCTTCCTCCATATAGTGATCTCTATTAATTTAAACATTAGACGAATACTTGGCATATCTCAAGCTACCATTGTTGAATTGTACGTGATCGTACAGGCCTGTCACCTAGTTGACTCCCGCAGGCCTACGTCTTGAGTGAAGCTATTCCCGGCTCCGGGTCGGATCCGAATGCCGAAGATGAATGCCGATCAAACTGTAGCTGCACGTGTTATCATAATCCATCTTTAATCATTATTTCCTCTCAGATTGACTCATCGTTAATGCAGAGTTTCTAGCAAAGAGTATAAAACCTACGGCCAAGATCAGCCTACCGCGCCAATCGCGTGCTCGCAGAAGCAATCTGCGCCAGGCATCACTTCTTCCACGATATTCGGCCGCCTTAAAGTGTCCGTACCGTTGATAACCCATCTTTTGACGCGAGAACGCGCATTGTTTCATTGCTCAATGAAACGTGGACTTGCAGTATTGGGTATAGCACGTCGGCAAAGCGGATGATCGGCACAGAACAGATGAGGGGGCTTTAGGTATCTAACGATGTCTGGCGATGATATGTTTTTTTTTTAATCAAAAGAGATGATGGCCGAAAGATACTTTCCAAAGCGACCTCTTCTGTAGATAGTCTGTGTTTTGATGTTGTGATCATTTCGGTCGAACGGTCTGTGGGTGATATAAACTGATATCCACATTGAAGAACAGTGACAAATTGTAACAGTAAATCAACCAATTAAGCAAAGAGTCATGTCACTCGTCTCATTGCAATTGGAGAGACAAGTGACAGATTCTGCATCATATTTCCGTGCCATAGCCGGTGGATCTCAACGCTGTCGATCTCACCAAAGAAAGATGCAGGAAAAACGAGCTCGAAAGGGCCGCTCACTAATAACAAAAACGAGACACCACTTGCAGGGGTCTTCCCATCCGTGTTTGCGTCTGCAGAAGCTGAGAGAGATACTAACGTTAGAAGTTATCCATGGACATTCCGCACCTCTGACCGGGATATCGGCAGAGCTTCTCAGTCCTCAAGCAGCCAAGTCTCTTTTTGTTTCTGCGGTCGCTTATTTGGAACTATGCCTATATCAATTTGACTTCCCTCCCTCCTACAAGTCAAAACACATCAGTATAAAGCCCATCTGCGGTAGAGAAAACAATCAAGACTACCCTACCCGACTTGTTAGCGATATATCGATCTTGTTTTCTCCGCCACAACCCAGTGACTTGGTCCGTTCTACCTAATAAATGGTTCTTTTTTAGGCTCCGGCCCTTTTCATTTTTTTCCACCCTTAGCAAGGCGAGAGAGGCCCGCAGGACCAGGATCATCTTGAGGCTACCCGCGGGAGTATCCATCGTTGTTGAATCATTCATTCACTCACTCACTCATTCATTCATTCATTTTCTTCATTTTCGCCACGTTCTTTTTTCAGTCTGCAGCTCAATCCGACATACATACATTCAACAACGACAGTTTCGGTATTCAACCCCGTTATAGAGTCTCATAATGAAGGTCGTCGTTACAGGGGCGACCGGGATGGTCGGTAATGAGATCGTCAAGCGCTGTCTCGAAGATCCGCGTATCACAAAAGTTGTCATTCTCACTCGCAGAGCCGTGTCGATGGATATCGAGTGTCATCCCAAGGCGGATGTTATCATGGTTCAGGACTTTGCACGGTATTCCGACCAAGTCTTACGGCAACTCGAAGGTTCTTCAGCGTGTTTATGGTAAAGACATCTTTCTCTGTTGTATCAATCCGGGGATTTTTATACTAACCACGTCAAAATACAGGGCCATTGGAGGCCGTCCAGACCAACTGAACAACAGTAAGGCAGCTCTTCACCATGTCAACGTGGACCTACCACTTGCCGCCGCAAGGGCTCTTCGCGAGCACATCGCGCCCAAAGCACCAGCGGGCCACAAGTTCAACTTCGTCTTCTGCAGCAGCAAGTCTCGGTCGACGTCGCTGCTCTCGCTGGGGGATCCGCGAAAGCCAAAGTCCGAGGCCGAGAAGGGCCTATGCGAAATTGCAGACGCCAGCCCTGAAACATTTAGCGCCTGGATCTTGAGGCCCGGCGGCATTGTCACCGCCCCAGACGCCGCGCCCAAGAAGAGGAGGCTCGTGGGCGGTCGCTCGAGTGCCAGTGTTGATATTGCCCAGATGGCCAAAGTCTGTGTGAAAGTGGCTGTCGAGGGGTACAAGGATCGTATCATTGACAATGATACTCTACTAAAATTGTGATCCTGGAGTCTATATACATATTCTTCAGCGGAAAAGAGGACGGGATGCATAGAATTGTACGATGGAGCTGGGAATTTGTGTTTGGAAGCCGAGCAGATCTTGACTCGAGCGTTTTTTGTGGACTTTTGGCGGAGCATTTCTAATCTTGGGCCGTCATGATATGCCAAGCTTTTTGGGTATGAGTATGAGAATGGAGGATGGGAGGTTGTTGATGCTGGCACATCAAAGTTTCGAGTCTTTTCCTCTTGGACTCGATTCATTGTACAATTACTGACTGGATCACGATATTAATGACATAATATTCAAGGTGGAGGTAGGCAGCTTATATGACCGATGAAGTTGTCCTCAACAGATATTGCCAATCCTGCGTTGAAGGAATAGTGAGGGATGAAGTACAATCAGGGACTGAAGCCAGCTCTCGAACATACAGCATTCAATCGGTCATCCACGCTTCAACCAGGTGAACTCTGTCGATGTCACCAGCTTTCGGCGATCCAACTTAAGACAACTGTATTTGTTAGTCAAAGCCGTCGACGAAGTGTAACATCTGAGTTTAGTTAATGGCACCTTCGGGCTGTTCCTCTTTGGAGCCTAACTATAAAAATGTTGACGATTAATCTGAGCGGTCACTGTATCACGAGCTTAAATGGACCGGCTACTAGATAAATCTTATCCATAGCAAACCCAAAGAATCCTTCCTTAACTCAAAGCTGTTATAAGAATCAAGGCAAGAAGTTAATTTCTGGGTGTACAAGTATCAATTCCTAAAAACGATTAAAGACGAAAAGACGAAAGGAGGCTGGCGTCGATGATGCATCTAAGCCCGGGTATCAAACCCAATACACAACTCAACTCCAAACACCTGGCAATAAAGACTAAAGACCTATAGCGAACAACCCAGTACCAAATTCTTGAACAGTAAAAGAATGCATAACGAAGCAACACGCATGAGCCAAAACGCTAATACACCCGAACCAGCATGGTCAGCCCTGTTGAGACTCGCTGTCAACAGAGGCATACATCCGGAGAGAAACTCCAGAGTCCACACCATTGAGATACCCCCTCACTGCGAGGATTCCGTTCTAGAAGTCTCCCTCACCTTCTAGTGGCTAATCCTTCTTTGGCGGATTCTGCCCAGTATGCTCAACCCCGTCCATGAAGCTAAATCTCAGACGAAACTCAAGTTCGTCAACCTCCGAACCATTCTCCGCTGCTGTCGAGACATCGTCCGAGGACATTTCCTCCTCAGACTCTGGCAGGCTCGTACCAGCAAAACTTCCGGTCATGGTGTTGGTCATCATGTGGCCATCAGGGAAGGTTCTTGGTACGCTTTGTCTGGGGATGTCCGACTCCCAGACCCTGTCTGTTTCTTGTGTAACCTGATCTCCTGTAACCTGAGGTGGTGTCTCCCTCTGGTTAGAGCGTCTTGGAGCGCGCCGACTGCTCTCACCCTCGTCATTCATGTTCAGATGGCCAATGTCAGGCATGTCTGACGAGAGAGTGTAGCTGTTAGAGGCAGGAGGAGACCGACGAGTGACCTGACCAGAGGAACGTCCAGAGATATGGCCAAAGGAACGGCCAGATAATAGACGCTCGGCTCGACGAGGGGGGAGACGACCAAGTGATATTGCGTTTCTCCGCTGACCAAGGGCAGATGCTATCAGAGTCTGGGGGACTCGACGGGGAATGAAAGGAGAGACCGGGGTGGGCCAGGAAGAACGGGGAACCCCAGCGGGAAACGGCTCGTTAGGTGGGATTATATATCTTCCAGGACCATAACGCGAAGCCATATCCTCTTCCATAATTCTACGTCGCTCAGCGAGAACTCTCTCTCGAGCCTCGTCCATTGCGGGTTCGTGCTCCCCCAAAAGAAAATTCCTAAGAGAACGCTTCTCTTCTTCACTTAACTGGCCATGGTTGCGTGTACAGTCTGGCAGGCATGTGGGCCAGTCGGTGCATTGTGTTGAAGGGACCGAAGTCTCGCTGCTCTGTCCAGTAATGCGTGTCATGGTAACGGAGACGTTGCAAAGCGGTTTGAGTAGTCAGTTGTAAGCTATGAAAGTTAATGTTAATAGAAGGTTATAAAAATACCATCAGTTATAGTTTAACTCACAATATACTATATAGCGCTATTGAGTTAATATTAACGAGTTTTTAGGTGCGGTGGTCGAGATGGAAGAGGAGAAAGGCGGACGGAGAGTTGGATAATGAGAGGGTTTCACTCTTTTCCAACTTAGTGAGGTGCATGGCTTTATAGGCGAACCTTTACAGTATTGATGTATTCAGATAGACGGCATAATGGTGTGCGTGGTGTGGCTTTTACTTTGGAAGCTTCTGGATTTGCTGCCTCCTCAGGAAGATAAACTCTCTAGTGATATCTTATTCAAGCCCACGGAAGCTACGAACAGGGCTTCGAATACATAAGAAGACTTTTATCCTTGCATCATTCCATCTTTGTATCATAGAAACACAAGCACACATTCTATCACCACTAGCCCTTTCCTCGGCATTTTCACTTAAAGATAAGATCTCGGTATACTGACATGTTCACCTCTTCGGGATCACAACTGACACTCCTGCAGAACTACTCAGACACAACCTCGCTCTCTGATCGGCTACTCTCCTCCGTGTCTTGTTTACACTTGCATCAATATCTAACAATATTCGAAGCCTTCCTTCACGCCATCGGAGGAGCCGCCACAGCCCACATCTTCTTACACGATGGCCCAATTCCACCATAGACCAACAGGAGGCGACCAGGTCTTGATGGACGAAAGAGGCAGAAGAGACATCATCGGGGTCGCCTTCTTAGCTACCATATTTCTCGTGTTTTGGCTAGCATCCATCCTCAATGTGGCGCTGCATTGGGATATCATGCGACATAATCCCACCGACGAGATCAAGGCTAAAGTGCCTCAGAATATTGAGATGAAGCCTATGAAGCCCAAAGGTTCTGATGATCTCGAGACTGGGCTTGTGAAGCCTTCAGGTGCTAATGATATCGAGAGTATCGAGAGTGGGCTTATGAAGCCTAAACAATCGGAAGATATCGTGAGCAAGCCTATAGAGGTGTAATCACGGTACCTGACATGGTTTTATGGAACGAATGGTCCGCTGATATGGAATTTGTGTGCTTATGGTTGGAGGATGACTGGATGATGATTTAGGCTTGGATATCAGAATGGTTTATCTCAATGTACCCCTGAGTACCTTGAGTTTCGCAATATTTTATGGCTTCTCTCAAAAAATGCCCCCTCTTCTTAGCCGTCCATACAATAGCAAGTATTATTTAATTTCATTCATCATTGGAACATTTCTTATCACGGTGCAAGGCCATCAGGGTCGAGACTTGCCCCCTCAAAAACCCTAAACGATATCAAACCTCAATCTTAACAAACTTCCAACCACACAACCTTTCCATACAATGACTATGTGCAAAGTTTACTTGCTCCACCTCGGATGTTGCCTATCTGTACATCTTGCAAACATCCGAACGCGAGCAACCACTTGATCATATAAGTAATAACCATTTGTTATCACGCAACCCAACAATCAGTCCTTACCCCCAAATATCCACGATGAGCAGCGACACCCAAGCACCTTCAGAGTACGCTCCTGAAGCACCAGCATCCGTCCCGCAGGATTTCATGCAAGAGCCAGCGCTCGACTATCAATCGTTACTCAAGAACATGCCCGGAAACAACGAAGTGCTCTTGGGCTGCCTCCTGGCTCTCGTCGCCGTGGTGGCTCTTCTTGCTCTAGCCATCATCTTTGTCTTCATCATGTCACGCCGCGAGGCAGCGGCACGTGAGAAGGAGCAATCCCTGTACAGCGAGGTCTTCGCCGCTATCAGGGACGCCACGAAGGAGGCAGCGGACCAGAGGAAGAAGAAGGAGGACGAAGCCGAGAAGACAGAAGTACAGGAGGCAGCCCCTTCGGCTCCTGATAACTCGTCACCAGGCAGCGAGGTAAATTACTCTTTTATGCTGGTACAGTGGAGGGTGTTAACCAGTGACAGACTTGGGCACGCTCCGAGATGAATTCGACTGAGACGATTGTTTGAGCGGGGGTTATCGGGTGAGAGTTTATGAGGCGTGTGCCATTGTGGAGTGTGAAGGGGAGGACACGTCAGGGGAAAGGGGGAAGATGTTGAGGTGACTCTGAAGACGGGCGCACAAGGGGCAAGCCTTGCCACCGGGTCATAATAATAATATGTCTTTATGCTTTCGTGCGTACGTTACGAGTGTAAGCGAGGGTCAATTGACTGTCGAACTGGGCAATACCGGTAGGTCTAGTCGGCATCAACACTCTGTCAACGCAATTTCGACAAAAATAAGTCACAACAAGGACTCTATTATGTCGTTAGATGAGACGCAAATGGATGTGTCTTCGAACACGTAGGCCGCCCATCAACGACCCAGTATATTGTTAACATTGAAACAGCACGTTAGCCAGCTCAAAGAAGAAGCAAGTGCGAAATATACCGGTTTTGTTCCTCAGTATTGCCCTTGCGCTATGGGCTCTTTGGGTTCTTTCTACACTCCTTCATCTTACCGATCTCATGGTCAGTCGGTATACACGGTGCATCGGGAGACGAGTGTCTAGACGGAATGGTGAAGATTCAGATGAGGAAGAGGTCAGTCAGAGGACTCTACTGCTGAAGAAAGTTGACGGAAAGGTTGACAAGAAAGTCAGATTCGACATTGAAAACACGACTGTTGGGAAGTTTGACGATGGTGAGGATCGCAGATAAGCAGGGGTCAACGAACTATAATCAAGAGTAAGAAATTACATTATTCAAAATAGTATTAAGTTAACGTCTATGTATAAGTGCCTGCCAATACTGCTCATACGCCCTTCCATCCTTCAGAACAACTATCTGCTCGATCCGCTCAACTGGAGCCCTTGAGAATCTCCAATGGCTTCGCAAAGCTCAACTCATCCATCAAGTCCTTCCATGCAGTTTCTTGCAGTGCCTTTCCTGCTGGCTCGTACATCATTCTAGGGAATCTGTAATATCGTTAGTACAACCGCAATAGTCCAGTTCAAAGGTACTCACGGTTTAAGCTTGCCCTCTCCAACAAAACTACCATGGCTCTCCTTGCCCTTGACAGCGACAGCATCAACATACGAACGCGCACCCGTCGATACCGCTCTTCCAATAAGAGGCTTCGCAACTGACATAAACAGCTTCTCGATTATACTGCTGTGCCCTTCGGATCCGAATTCTGTACCTCTGCAAGCGCCGGGGTTGGGGTAGTTGACGATGACTTCTTCGGGCGAGACATGCTGGGAGAGCTTGTCGACGAACATAAGTAGGAGGAGTTTAGAGAGAGAGTAAGCGCCGTTGCTGTTGAAGTTGGAGGGGTTGTCGATGGCGTCCCAGACGGAATCATTGGTGCCGTTCCATCCAGCCCAGTATGATGTGTCTGAGCCGACGATGGCGAGATGTGCGGGTGTAGAAGTTCCGCGTTTGGTCTTGAGGACTGGCAATAGGAGAATTGCTAAAAGAGCAGTAGAGAGGTAGTTGATGTGGGTGGTCATTTCATGCTTGGACTCGTCTGATCGCTCAAACTGGGGTTTACTCAAGCCAGCGTTTAAAATGGCAATATCGAGTTGAGGTAACGTCTCACACCATTTGGTGAAGCTCTGAATAGACTTGTACGAAGCCATATCAACGATGGAGACCTCAATCTTGGCGTGAGGGAACTCATTCTGGAGTTTCTTCGCAGCTGCGTCACCCCTAGCCTGATTCCGCACAGCGATGATCAAATGTGAAAGGTTGAGAGCAAGAAGCTGGCGAGCGCATTCAAAGCCCAACCCAACGTTCGAACCAGTGACGAGAGCAGTTTGGCCAGCTAGACTTGCGCTTTTGGGTGTTTTGGGAACACCTTCGACGAATTGGCGAGAGAGGAATGCAAGGAAACTAGCCTCCCAGGCTGCATTGTGTTGGAGTTGAGCAGACATTGTGATAAGTAATTGGGCTGTTTAGAGTGAAGTGGAAGACTGATTGATCTGTTTTTCTTGCTACAAGTGTAGTTCCTGCATTGTTATATATCGATTGTCTACGGTCGACGGACGGACGAGTTTCGGACGAATTGAAGAATTGAGGATCGTCCGTGTTAGTTCGCAGCTATTTTGTTCGTCCGCCCGGAGGCCGAGACGGACCAAAGTGAATCATCCTTACCAACAACAGCAGATGTAGTGGTCATTGAGCACGAAAGTCCGCGTATTTAAGATAAGAGAGCGTCAGAGTCAGAGTTGAGTGTTGTTTTGTAAGCTGTTCTTTATTATGATGGTTGTGCTTAAGTAAAGGCATGAGATTGATACGTCGCTGACATGGGCCAATTTTCGGACGAAATAGTTTTCGGACAATGATATTGAACACAGAGCCACGCTACGGTATAAGTAAAGCCAATTGAACGGAATAAGATATTATAATAATAAAAGAAAAAATGCTTCCGTTACCTTATAAAACGTTTACTACCGAAGAATTAGAGTACAGTTCCGTTTAAAAGTTCCGACAACAAGATAATAAGAGGAAGTTATTTTAGAATAGATTATTTAAAATATAGAAGAGTTAGAGGATCCTATTTATAATCTTACTTCAAGAGTATATAAATTATATATATTAAAAAGAGCTTTTAATAGTTTATTTAACTTTTATATACATTTTAGAATGGAGGAAATTGTAAGAACTTTACACGCCCTTCGTAACCAAGACCATACTGGTAAACATCGTACATGTGTTTTGTCAATCGAGACGAAGTGACCAGAAGTGAAGAAGCCAATCTCGTTTTATTTACTCTACAATATCATACGGCATTGGTGTAATCATAAGCAAGGTGGTGACTTGATCAACTCAAAAGTTCAGCGATGATAGAAGTCTCAGTGCATTACCCTCGAATGCAACTTTGAGGTGATGTAGGGTAAACGACTCCTATCAAACACCCAACAGCCCCACAGCAAATCACCACCAAATCCATTTTCCTATTTCGTCCCTCCGAATAACCACGACTGGCCTGATTCAAAATGCAGTGACACCTTAGCCATCACCATCCATAACGTTAGAGTAGCAACGTATAGCTCAAGGCCCCAGCTCAACGGAAGAATGACCTGTTCGGCAAGATCTCCTGTCAATATAAAACAACAGCCTATAAATAATGCCTAATGCTGGTAATCCCCGTCAATCTCCGTTCTAGACTCGATCGACCCGCCCGACAACCCTTGTAAAAAAGAGCTTCAGCTCGTCCAGCTACGGTAAAGGGGAGACCTTTTGGGTTTGCAGTAAATTGCACAGGGGATCGTTGCATATACATCCAGTTAGCCCGTCCTGAACAAATGGCCTGAGGAGGAGAGAGGGTCAGATTTATTAAACAAATACATGCTTACACCTCGCGTTCCCTGCTTTTTTCTGGGGTTGGATATTTAACGTTTAAACATTGAGATAAACTATTCACTACGATTAATTGATCGGCTTTCCTTCCCCCACGCTCGTTATTTTTGTTTATTAGTCGAAGCGCTGATCAGTCATGGGTTCCTTTCGCTTTCTCCTATTTGCATCTGTCGCCGCGTTGGTGACAGCCCGCGATGTCCCTGATAATATTAAAGCTTTCAAGGAGAGCATCATTGAGCAAGGCTCTTGTAATGATACTCTCGCCAAAGGATTCCACAGCGCTGATGGCGACGATGGCTGTAAGCCTTTCATTTTCTGCCCATACTGCCGCGACTGACCATCACAACAGCTTATGTCTATTGCGGCGATCATCTGAAGGACTACAATGTGATTTATCTCCAAGGCACAAAAGGAAAGCTCGTCAACATGGATGTCGACTGCGATGGCATCCAGGGCAGTTCTGCAGATGATGGACGCTGTGGCTCCTCTGGCGACACCCAGTCCGTCACGTCTTTCCAGGACCGTATCCAGGATTACGGCGCTGGTAGGAAAGACCTCGACGCGAACATCCATCCTTACGTTGTGTTTGGAAATGTGGGCACGAAAAAGAACTGGCCGACTTTTGATGCGCAGAAGCATGGCATCAAGCCCTTGAGTATCATTGCTGTCGTATGCGGCGAAAAGATGGTAGGTCTTTCTCATCGATTGAATTTTTCGATACTGACCGTGATAGTTCTACGGAATTTGGGGCGACGAGAATGGCGACGACGGCGAAGAAGCCATGGTCGGAGAAGCAGCTATTTCACTCGCAACAGCATGTTTTGGCAAATCCATTAATGGCAACAACGGTCACGACGAAGATGATGTTCTATACATCGCTTTCCCCGGCAGCGACGCCGTTCCCGGAGAAGACGGCGCAGACTGGAAGGCCAAGAACTTCAAAGACTTTGAGGCCAGTCTTAGCAGCGTTGGAGATGAATTGGTCAAGCGCATCAACGACACAAGCAGTGGCGGTAACGAGACCGAGACTGATGACGGCGACAAGAAAGATGATGATAGCGGCGCTTCTCGCTTGTGGTCTGGCACAGGCTCATGGGGCGTGGTAAGGATACCCTGCGCTTTTTGTTTATGCGAGATTTACTGACATCGTGATAGGGATTGTTAGTTGTTTCGGCTATGGCTGTTATGATGATCTGAGCGTGGAGAGTGTTTGCATGAAGGGTATTTAATGGATAGAAAGATGGAGAATATATTTTGTACTATATAGTTCTTGCACTTATTAATATTGGGCATAGAGGCTGCATGATAGACGAAGCGATCATAGCATATAATAATGGAGAATTCTTTTTGCTTTCTATTTGTTCTAATTACTACTCCGCGCCTGCTGATCATCAACGCAGCAATTGTCAACGCATATCTACAACCGTGCAGGTCAGGCCATCACCGGAAGACGCATGCAAAGTGATGAAGCCCATCTGGTGGAATATATAATAAATAAGAAAGTAATATGGAAGGCTTTCCAGAGCGCTGGGTTCAACATGCCAGTTGAACCCACACATCCTATCGTTCATATCGCCATGCCAATTCCCAGGAGCACACTAAACAAAGCAACCCAGATCCTACCAGCGGATTCTACTCCAACACCCGCATTCGCAGGGGCATCTTTTGCGCCCATAGCAGCCGACTGTGTCGCCTCGACCTTGACGTTATCCGCCACACTGTCCTGGTCGGGCGTGTAAGTGCGCTTCGCAAAGCCGCATGCTTGCATGATGATGTCCATGTCTTATCTCGTTAGCTTTCTGAACTCGGGTTAGGATATTTCGTGACTCACTGTTTTGCTTGTGGCCGTCTACCACGATGCAGTCTTGGCAGAGCGCTGCGATCTTGGCTACGTCGAAACTCTTGTTCTTGCAGACGCATTCCTTCTCGGGGTCGGTTTGGGGCACTGCTGTTTCCGTCTGCATACTGGCGCCCCAGCTCGTGCCGCTCATCGTCGAAGATTCATCTGCGGGTCTTGACTTTGTGGGCTGGATTATCGTTGTCGATCTGATAAGCGAGGATGTTGTTGCGTCGAGTAGTGACGTGACATGGTGCTCCACAACAGTCGTCTGTTCTGCTCTCGTCGTGGTGGGAATCGTGGTTGACAGCGAGGTGCTCTCCTCCTCAGGCCCGTACGGGGGAGGAAAAGACGTCGGTGCAGCTTTGATGATGGAGAAGCTTCTCTTGTGCAGGTCGTCGGCTTCAGGGGGCTCCACGGCCAGCTTTGGAACCCACTCTGACTCTGCATATCGCTTCGCAAGGCGATGTTGGTGAACATCACATCTGGCCGTCAACTCGACAATTGGGCCGCAGATGGTCACACACATGAGAGGGATGTCATCGAGCGGCAACATGTCTGCCACGGCGACGGCCACGAGGCCGGAGACCGCGGCCTGTCTCGCCCACGACACTTTCATATCGACGAATAGATGGGCTACGAGTCCGTTGGACAAACCAATCGTGAGTTTGCGATGATGGTGGCCCGGACTATAGGCCTCAGCAAGACAGGACGAGCTCGCAGTTCGCTTCGCTGCAGCTGGGTAATAAGCGATAGACAAATAATTAATCCTCGTGGCCCGCAAGGATAGAGAAACAAAGAGAGTGACAGCGTTATAGCAAAAGAGTGTAATAGAGACAAAGAGGAGCTCCTGTTCAACAGAGAGTGAAGAGAACGAACAAATTGCGTCGAGGAGGCACGAGCAGATCTCGAGGTCAATCCATGGTGTCGGTACTCCTAAACTACCCTGATGAAACGCGAGACTCACCACGCGTTCTCACAGAGATCCTAAAAGAGAGCAGTAGCGTGTGTCATATCACAGGCATGATAAGAAGCCGATGCAACGTCAAATGGGCCATCGAATTGTACTAGGCCAGGATGCTACGAGATCGAGAACATTCGAGCAGGGGATATGGCAGCTGATCTTGAGAAACAAGTTAAACCATGTGGTATCCGGGGAAGAGTTTTGCTACATTATGTGTTGGGAGCTGAGACGGCTGGTCGATTGCCTGAAACACGGTGGTTGAAGCTTCGTCTCAGGATCGTGATGGGGCCAAGGTAGTGGCGGAAGTGGGATTAGTCATGGCTGCGCTGTTCCTAAGAGAGCACGGGAATAGATAAATAAGGTTGGCAGATCAAACATTAAACTCATGTACGATTGATTGAATTGACAGACAATCACCCATTCCGAGTCAAGGGATAGCGTCATACACCTACTAAATCATCACTGACGTTAGTAGGGTCAATTGGTAACAGGGAAAATGGCTCTCGCATTTTTAACAACTTCAAATCTAAATCTATATCCAGTAAACCACTGCACCAGGTCACGCCGTGCATGTGAACCGCACCCCCACCATATCCATACCATGAATCTTCCTCACCATGTCTCATCAACCACGTCCATATGTCATTTCATGCTTATTAAAAACGGTATAATCTTAGCCAACAGTCGACGCATTCATACACACAAGAAATCTAAAAGGTCGGCCGTTGCAAAATGCCCCTCAAATGTAAGTGAGGCGTTTAGAATCGGTGCTGGCGACCAACGCTCTCGACGCGGACACCCAGCTTGACCATCTCCCGAGAGTCGATGACACCACGGCCATCAAAGACCCAGCGGGGCTTGGCCATGCTCTCAGAGATGCGGACCCAGTCGACACGCTCCTTGGGCTTGTACTCCTCAGAGCTTCCCATACCGGTGGCGAAGCCAGACTCCTTGCTCTCGCGCTCCTGGATGCAGTCGGGGCAGTCATCCTCGCAGCTGGGCTCGCTGTTAAAGCGGTCGAGAGGGTCCTCAGACTCGGCACCAGGACGGTGGACAAGGTGCTTGTGAAGGGCAAGAAGCTCGTTGGGGCTGGGGGTGGACTTCTCGAAAGGACGGGGGTCGGACTTGGGGTTGGGCTTGCCGCCAATGGTCTTGGGCTGGACCGCAGGCGTAGGAGCAGGAGGGGGAGGAGGCTGGTTGCGGAACTCGTCGAACTCAGTAGCGATGATGATGGCGGTACTGGAGTCACAGGCGTCGTAGGCGTTGCCGTGGACGGTGATGTTGTGGCCCTCGGCGAGGGGACCAAGGAGCTCCTTGATCTCGGCCTTGATAACCAGAGGGTTACAGCAAGGGTCGAAGACGGCAACCTCGCGGGGGCGCTCCTCAAGGAGAGTCTTGATCATCTCAAGAGCAGGGGCCTCACGGGTATCGGAGGTGTTCTTCTTGAAGGCAAAGCCGAGAATGGTGACCTTCTTGCCAACAAGAGTGTTGTTGAGGCACTTGATGACACGGTTGGAGAAACGGTCACGGGCGTACTCGTTCATCTTGACAACCTGTCGCCAGTACTCGGCAACCTCGGGAAGACCCATAGTCTCAGCAAGGTAGACAAGGTTGAGAACATCCTTCTTGAAGCAACTGCCACCGAAACCGATACCAGCCATCAAGAACTTGTTACCAATACGGGGGTCAACACCAACGGCGCGAGCAACCTCGTCAACATCGGCACCAGTCTGCTCGCAAACAGCGGAGATGGAGTTGATGGAAGAGATACGCTGAGCCAGCATAGAGTTGGCAACGAGCTTGGCGAGCTCAGAAGACCAAACGTTGGTGGTCAAAATGCGCTCGCGAGGGATCCAGGCGTTGTAGACCTTGGCGAGAGCCTCGGCAGCTCGCTTACCGGAGGGGGTAGGAGCGGAACCGATAAGGATGCGGTCAGGGTAGAGAAGATCGTTGACGGCGGTACCGGCAGCCAAGAACTCAGGGTTGGAGAGAATCTCGAAGTGAACACCAGGGCGGTGCATGGAGAGCTAGAGTCAATTGTTAGCCTCTGACCGCTTTTCTGCACCTTCATTCATCATGTACTTACAGTATCGGCGACAAGCTGTGCAGTTCGGCAAGGAACAGTGGACTTCTCAACAATGATGGCGCCCTCACGGGCGTACTGAGCAACGACGCCAGTAACGGCCTCGAAAGCGGTCATATCAGTGGCACTGCCAGCACCAACACCACGGTACTTGGTGGGGGTGTTGACGGCAACGAGAACGACATCGGCCTCGCTGATGTGCTTGGCAACGTCGGTAGAGAAGAACAGGTTGGGCTTGCGCTCGTTCACTGCAATCTCACCGTCCTCAGAAGAGGAACCCTCGCTGTCGGAGGTAGGACCGTTGGAGATGCTGAAAGGTCGGCCACCATCACGGGCAATTCGGACAATATCATGCAGACCGGGCTCGTAGATAGGGGGGTGACGGGAGTCCCAACGGCGGATACGGGTGACGTCTCGATCGACGACAGTCACCTGGATATGAGGGTTCTGGAAAGCAACAACGGCGGCAGTAGGACCACCTGGAAGGAGTCTGTTAGCTTGTTTCTGCACAATTGCGTTTCTGAAGCGGTGTATAGCAATGGAGGGGCTGATAAGCCCGCGATGTCGATATTGCGCGCAATAGAAGGGTTCTCGAACGATTGATAGAGCAACTACTCGCCCTCTTGCTAGAAATCGGCTGGGAAGTGTTCTGATAACTTACCGACATAACCAGCGCCAACACAGCAGATCTTGCGGACCTCAATGGGCGCCTCCTGAGTACCGTTTGAAGACATGATGATTAAAGGTGGTATGAAAGGGTATTAGACAAGCTGTAGAAAAGATGCGCGCAAGCAATGTCACGAATCGACACACGTGGTATGCTAGCGAGTGTGAGGGTTTGGGGAGAAGTAAGAGGGAATGGAGAGGTTTATAAAGGAGGTGGAAGTAAGGCAGCAGATGAGACGCAAGGGAGCGAGTGGGAGGCTAGAAAAGATATTCCCACTTCAACGTTGCAGTTGAGCTAGAAAAAAAGGGGGGCCCTAAGGGTAGGTAGGTACTTTGTTCTTACTGAGGTCTAGAGACTGGAGGAGGGGCAGCCGCTGAAGCCACGCAACGATTGGGGAGGGACTTTGCAGGAGAAATTAAGGCGGTGAGATATTCCCATTAGTTTCTGCCCGCCAAGGGAGGCATGTGTCGATTCTTGGATGGAGGGGAGGGGACGGGAGGGGCAGGGATGGAAATGGGCAGCGGAAATGGATTGGATTTTCAGGGATCCCAGGGGCACTTTTCACGGAGAAGGAGACTGGATGCAGGTACCACGACCACTGCAACCCGCTGGAAGTGGTACTTTTGGAGGCCTGGAATTGGATCGAGTTATCCAATCCAACAGTGCCTGGTTTGTAGGTATTCTGTACAGTCAGGGTGTTGAATTGAAGCACGGTGCGCTACAAGGCTGCGCAAGCCCCTCCACTCCCGCGCAAACCAGGTCCCTCCAATGGAATGCTACCCCCGCATGCCTTGCACCACTAAGCTTATTATCAAACGTGGTAGGCAAGTTGTCTGCAAATACAAGTCTTGTCGATGAATACACATAACGATCTTGTCGAATGACTGTATCTAAATTGACCTGAATGAACTGATCTTGCTCAAGCTTAGATATGTGTTGTTTGTACCTGATAAAGTGGACTCACTACAGCTTTAATTTACCCAACAACCAATATTGTCAGAATCGAGGTTAAAGCGAACTGTCCATCACAGACCACAGACGGGTATTTAAGCAAGGGTCCACACCCCCGGCTATGCACTGTCCAACGCACTGTTGCTCATATCACCATTGAACCGCACAGGAACATGGACTCTCTTCGCTACGGAGTATGCCCTGCAGTATTTGATGGGGAACAGACCAGCCAGACTGTTTCTGTTTCCTAGAGAAACGATCCCGCCATCGATTCACCATGTCAAGGGTGCACGGGCAATGTTGTCATTGCTGAAAAGTCCCCCGTCACTCATCAACTATCGACACAAGATAAGGCATAGTTCAGAAATAGTCTTCAGCCTCGTGAAGCTGACCGACATTAAAAGAAACTTGGTGGGCTCCTAGAAAACAGAACACGAGGTGTGATCTTTTTTTCGGCGGAATGCGCCCTCCGTATATCGCATGATAGCTCTGGGTATTGTCATTCCTGCGAGGCTGACATGATTTGAAGATCAAATCAAGTTCACGAGGTTGGCGAGATTTCGACCAACTGATAGACAGGGGTTGATCCTTTGCCGCAACGAATTGTAGCCATGGATAGTACGTAGACACAACTTCTGGTGATATGGCATGGCATGCAAAGGTGACAATGAGGCGACCTGATGAAAATATCAATAAGACGGTGAAGGCAGTTGCCATATGTATGTGCATGTCTTTTTTCTTTTTCTAGGGTCATCGATGAAGTTTTTCAAGACATCTGATGGTAAACAGTCCTAATTCTAGACTGGCACGCCAAACCAATAGGCGATTGTCACTGATAGCACTCGATTATCAAACCACCGGACACCAAGCTTACAACTAGTTAATTAGCAACAACGGCAATCACCCCGAACGAGTGAGCGGCCGTATCGATTCGTCCCAGTTAATTCATTAGCCCGATGCCGGCTGGGCCGATGGGGTATGGAGTATAGCGCGCCTCAGGGGTAAGTCGATGGTTGAAGTGTTGAGCATTTTGCGCGGTGCTGCCCATCATTCTGTCTAAAAAAAAACGGAGTCTACCCGAACTGAAGAGAAAAAAACACTGTGCGTATTGATAAGTGTCAAGGGTGCTTACTCGGCCGACTCCGTAGGCTTCACCTACTAAATGCTGACCCAAATGGACAGGAATAGAATCAAGTCGTATTCATATTTTGCACTGCTTCGCAAACCATCAAACTATTGTGCTGGAAATCCATTCGAAGGGGTTGTCATAATGCGTGATGTGAGGTCGGTCTGGAATCGCTTTAACGGTTAACTTTGTCTGAAGAATCATCGGGGTTTACGAGGCTGGGCGTGGATTAATTACTATAATATTATTGACTTTACACATATCCTACAGCGAGATTGCTTCGACCAATGCCAAGAGCTGGCCGTATGTTCCTCTCTAGGAAGTTGTGAGGCTAATTCCCAGCCTTTCTGCACTGACCCGTCAACATCATTGCGGCTGAATGCTATTTCATCGACCAAGTTACTCAGTACCCATCCATGGCTAGCAACTACAATGGAAGAACAAGCGAACAACCAGCAAATAGAGCTTCACCGAAGAAGACGAAATTCACTATCCTCAATATTAAGCATAAGCACTTGAGTTCGTGTTAGTTGATATGTCAGCATACTTCGTAGTGTAGTTTTTCTTGTACATATCTTCAGCCTCCAATTATCACAGGGTGGGCTCACTATCAAGCTAATCACACGAATCCTTGCAACTAATTAATTGATCCCACTCCGTCCATTTAGCTACATATTGCTTGCTGTCATGATGCCAGGGGGCCGGCTGCGTCATGAGCTTTCCTGTTCGCATGGGGCCCGTGAGCCAAGACGGGAAGATAATGGGGTTGTGAACGGAGGCTCCAAGCCCGCTTCTGTCACAGCGAGACAGCTCGCATGCTAGAGAGATGTCCATGGGTATATGGAATTCTGGTCACAGTGGTGGATCGGCCCGTCAATCCCATCATCGTTCGTTCAAGCTCGCTACGCCTTGTAATCGGCAAGCTCCATAACCACCAGAACATCTGATGTTTATCGCGAAGCGACTGTACACAACTTGACGAGAGGGGCACCGGCATTAACATGAATTCCACTTTGCTGGGGCGACCAGGAAGGCAATTGGAATAATTCAAGGTATATCAAGGCACAGGAGCGATTTTCTGACACGCCCTGGTCAAGATGTCTCCATCTTGAACACCTTGGCTACTTTGCGGCGTTGCAGATATATCCACGTCAATGTATTGCTGTCGCAATCACAGCACGACTATCCACATAGGTCCTGTATAGGACTCTTCTTTGGCTTCCTCAATCTTTTGATCATGCCATGCTTCGATGCCTCTTACGAAAGAGATGTGTTAGTTGACCCGAGTTGTGACGCACGTGACAACACACGTGCAGTATTTCTTCCCCTGTCGGAATTGCTCCCTTGGATTCGGTCTAATCTTCATCTAATCTCCTTCCCTACCATTACCAGCAAATCTACCGCCAACCGCTCGATTAGAAAATTCTCGGTCATCTTACTTGTTACCTTACTTTTGCCTAAAAGCTCATTCTATTTACGATGGCGCAACCAATCTATGCCGATAGCTCCCGTCCTCAACCCATGGCTGGCTAGTCCAGAGTAATGAGAGGCGCTCCGTCTCTTCCCGACATTTTCTAAATAGCTAGCCTTGACTACTGACAGTTTCCTTCTAGAGCTGAAATGTTTCTGTCACGAGTCTCAGTCCAGATGCTGCTCTCGTCTGGTATGACATGAACTCTACCGCCAATGACCCAGACCAGCTCGGCCACGGGGGTTAGAATTGCAAAGGCCATTCGCAATTACACAGCCATTGGCGGATTGAGCGTGTTGGAGCAATGTGATATCGGCAGCGCATCTGATTCGTCCGTCGCACGTGCCCAAGACAGGGGATCTACCGTGACCCAGATCTCAACGAATGATGTCGACCAGCGACTCACTTGCAAGAACGTCGCGAATTGTTCAGGCTGAGCCATTGCTATTGAACCTCTGGTGCGAAACCGGCAGTTATTACTCGACTCATGAAATCAAGTGATTGCATGGAAATAGAAGCCACGAGCATTACGAGATCCAAACTTTCTTCGAGAGAAAAACTTTGGGTGTTGATGTTGGGTCGTGAACATCAAGATAGATCACGACCTAAGACTCGATACAAGTTTCTAACAGTCCTTCAACAAGCACAGTCAATGCTATCCATCAATATACTATTATGCTTTCGTCTCTAGCACTGGCATCCGATCAAGATCCACCCCTCCATCTGCCCCTCCCTCCATGATGGTCCCTCGATCTGGACGAACTACGTTGAGCGACCCCTCCTCGTGGTGTTCGCTCTGGTATGCATTGCAGCCTCGTTGATGCCAGAATCGGTGCCTCATGTGGTTCCATGATGCATTGTCTCTGCTCTCGTGGTTTTGAGTCTGTCCACGTGCGAGGCATTTCTTTCTATTCTCATCTGTGACCCCAATGTTTTTGACAGAGAAAAGAGTTGCTTCCCGCCTCTTGTCTGCGTTTTGACATATCTTCACGACAAACCTCAGCTGAAGCACTTTGCTGGAAGCCATCATCATGTTTGCCCAAGCGCAGCCTACAACCCAAATGCGCTATCCCAGCCATGACCTCTCCGAATTCCCAGGTGCTCTCAAAGGGAAGCGCATTCTTCTCTGCACCGAGTCCTTTGGTCCTGTCAATGGTGTCAGTCGCACGACTTTGATGCTTGTTAACCATCTTCGAGCACACGGTGCTCAGGTTGCCGTGGTCGCGCCACACAATCATACAGAGCACAATACTTTCACTCCACCTCCATCGCCTACACTATCTCCTGCGGATAAGCAGCCTGAGGTCAGAGTAACCGGATACCCTCTCCCATTTAACCCAGAACTCTCTATCGTCTACCCGGTGCGCAACTCAACGTTATACTCCAAAACCTTCGGCGACGACTCTCCTCCCGATCTGATCTACCTGGCGTCTCCTGCAAGCCTGGGCTTCCAGGTGATGCTTCAACTTCGACAGCAGCCCAAAGAGAACCAAATACCCGTCATCTGCAACTTTCAGACCGATCTTGCTGGATATTGCTCCATCTTATTCCCGGCACCTCTAAGCCATGTTGCCGTGTTCGCTTTCGCAGCTGTCCAGAGCTACCTCTTCAGTCACTCCTCAATCAAGACTATCTTCTATCCTTCGAGTTTTGTGAAACGATACTTGGTGGGCCAAAAGGTGCCAGAGGATAAGTTGGAGGTTCTGACACGGGGTGTCAACACTGAGCTGTTCAACCCCAGGATGAGAAACGAGGAATTACGGAAGGAATTGGCACCCAACGGCGAGATCATATTCGTGACGGTTTCTCGTATTGCTGGTGAGAAAGGCTTCGACTTCCTCGCCAAAGCGGCAAAGGAGCTCGACGCTCGAGGACTCAACTTCAAGTTGTACATCGTGGGTGGCAACCGTAACCTGGATGTAGAAAAGGAAGTTCAAGAGCTCTTCGATCCTTTGAGGGAGAAAGGCAAGGTTATCTTTGCGGGTTTCAAAGTCGGAGAAGACCTTGCTACAGCTTATGCCAGTGGTGATGTATTTCTGCATTGTTCTGTGACGGAGACATTCGGCCTCGTGGTTCTGGAGTCCATGGCTAGCGGCGTTCCAGTCATCGCTCGCGACGAGGGTGGCCCATCTGATATTGTACAGCAAGGGGACAACGGTTTTCTTATCCCGCCAAACGACCTTGACGAGTTTGTGGCCAAGGCTATGAAACTTGGCCATGATCACAATCTCCGTGCCCAGATGGGCCATGCAGCAAGGTCCTACGCCTGCGAGGCAACATGGGAGAAGATCAACAACAAGGTAGCCTGGCGTATGGCGGACACTATCGCGGACTCTAGGCGCGAGAGAGGACAAATCACGAGTCGTCCGATGTCAAGCATAAGACCATCCGCAGAGCCACTCATCCCAATCTACGGATGGTTGATGATGAACGATGCTTTACGCGAGACAGTCACACGTGGTATCGTGGATGCACGACTTATGGGTGGACTAGGTGTCATTCTCTCCTTCTGGATGGTGACAGGATGGTACATGATGTTTACGGAGTGTTTCCTCTGGGCCAAGGGGCGCTGGAGGCAGGCAGAGAGGAGGCTTTCAGTCTCGTAACTTGGATACTGAGTCATTATGCGCCGTTTTGTGATTTGCATGGCTTAAAGGAGTCAGGGCTTGGTCTCATGGGTTTGACATTTCTTACATTTGCATTGGACGGTCCTTACAGCATCGGAGTTGCAGCAATTATGCGACTAGCTTATGATTTACTTTACATGGCCTCGTTAGATAGTGATACCAACAATTTCGTTTAGGCTGTGCATACAGCACTTGATACTTGACACTCTAAGCGCGATACAACGTCATGTTACAAGGGTGCCGGGTCGAGAACTTTCCGGGTTCAATACCATATGATACTGTTTCATGTGGAGGGGAATCGTCCCACAACTCCCTCAACTTATTTCACCCCCAGATAGCGACTAAATTATGGAACATGGGACGAAACGTCATATGGTGAGACAGAAGGCGGTTGTTCAGCCATTCATAGGCGTGTAGATTGATGCTATGGGAGTATCTAAGTAATAGTGTAGAATATGAATCTAGGGACCACTTGAGGTCGGATATCAACTAAAAAAAACATAGGGGTGCCGAAAAGTGTATTGGCATCGACAAAGTAAAAACGCTCATGGGAGTTAAATAATAGGGAGGAAATGCGGACAACGCTTTGTATGGCCGTTAGAAAATGTGGAAAAAAAATTGACTTGATTATCACCCGACAACTTGGCATCCTGCTTCATATCGTCGCCTTCTTGGGCATGGTGATGGCCTGTCTGCGCCTGTACATAAGAGCGTAGTTGTAGCGCTCGTACGTACCGAAGCCAACGGCCACAACGAAGATGAGCAACCATGTGCTCATCATGATCAGGCCGATGGGGAAGACCATGAGCTGCACGCCGGGAAGGATGAAGGCGACGGTGCCGTTGGCGAGGGCTGCAACCTGCTCGTCAACGGCGGCGGAGGCCATGGCGAAGTCGGACATGATCACGTCCTGGGAGAAGACGCCGGTGAGAAAGGCGGCTTCGTTGATTGAGACGGTTGTGCGGATCATGCTGCCTGTGCTGTTACGGGCTGTGAGGGTGAGGGTTGGCATAATGTGCTTTTCGAGTTCATCCCTGGGAGTAAAGTCAGTATATGTGAATATGGGTGAAATGAGTGACTTACATAGTCATGTTATCCGTCATCTTGGCCGCGTCAATTCTTCCGACGAGCATGTACGATTGTAGAAGCTTCAATCCCTCCTCTGCTCTCTTCCCCATGCTAGGCTTATCACCAGTGAGGCCTGTGCCGTTCACATCGTTGGGCTGGATGGGCATTACGCTTGCACCATCGTATGAGATTCCGACGTTGATGTCCTCTGGCGCCACAGCAGCAAAACTGCCTCTAGCTTGCGATACTTGGTACAATCGCAGATCGGCTTCAAAAACACCCGTCTTGACATCCAGAGATGGCAAGTTGTAGCACACGCATGCGCCAGAGGGATTTGTGCTCTTGTGCAGACCCCCAAGGACTGAGCGGCATGCGGCGTTGGTGTCCATGTTCCAGGCTGTGAGGTTTAATGAACCGTCCTTGTTCAGAGGGACGTCACCGGCGGGGAGCTGATCGATGGTGGTGTTTCCGTCACGCTCTGCTAGTGATGGTGCGATTAAGGAGACGTATGGCTGGTGAAGAACATCGTCGGCTTTCCGGAGGAGAAGAGCTTCCATGGGGGTTGATAGCATAGCTGAGACGGAGAGGGCGAAGAGCGTTGTTGCCGTAAGGCGGAGTGACAAGGCCGAAGCCATCATTTCGTTTGATTCTCTCGGGTTCCTAGCTCTTTCTGATGGTGTTGAGTCTTTTCTTTCCTCCGTCAGTGAGTGATTTCGTATGTGATTTTGTTGTATCCGTCAGGCGTGATGCGTTAGGTTTTCCAATTGGTTTTTGACTTTTTCGTTTTAATTAAGTGAACAATGAATTTTCCGTCCTGCGGTATGAATTGAATTAATAGATCACTGGCGTGAAGTGGTTGACTGAGTGTGTTGAATTGAGTGGTTGTGGAGATGTCAAATCCTGGTTGACAAGTGTTGTGCGAAAAACGTAGCTCCACCACCCGGGAAGATCAGATCTTATTATAACCGCAGATGAAGAGAAGGAGAATCGAGTTGAACGCAGCAATGATCGGCCAAAAGAGCGGGATCGTCCAATTGTATAAGGAATAAAAGGAAGAAATCGAACGGGGGGCGAAAGGGAAGAAAAAAGAGTAGTTACAAGGGGGTTTGTAGAAGAGAAATAAAAGAGGGGACCAGCCCACGCGCCGACTCAAATCGTACCAGACCAAGAAACCAAGACGGGCCTGGTTGATTATTTTAGCAGAACTGAAAGAACGAGATTACGGGGGACCCAGTTGAGCGGCACGGCAGCTTCTTTTAGTCGAGAAGCGTCGCGATCATGCGCAAGGGGGCGATATCATCGTGGTTGGCTGACAAGCGCTGAGAGGTCTATGGAGTATAGCTGTGTGGGCTCTTGACTGCAAACCAGCGCCTATAGATTGGACGTGTTGGATATAGGTGACATCAACTGGCATCGTGACGGCTGTTGTGCTTCACAATGGAGGAGAACAAAACACGAACAAGACTTTCTGGAGTCTCGACGAGTGACAGGCTTGTCTCGGGCTTGGTCTGAGGTCTGAGGTCTGTTGCAAGGTGCCCTTGTGCCCTTGTGCCCTTGGTTCGGTTGCCTCCTCCGTTGGCGTGGGCGTGGCGGTGTCAAGATCTAGGCCGTGGAGACTAGTGTATCGACATGGATAAGTAGCTGTTCATGGGGGGGATAGCTCCCTGGAGAGTTCCGTGTAGTGTATGCTTCTGGTAGTTGTGGTGAAGGTTGTCGTTCCAGGTTGGGCATGGAGAGTGGAGGGAGCTTTTGTATGTCCGGATAGATGGGAGGTGAATTGTTGTTGATCTATTCGATGAAACACACTCTTTGACTGGACTAAAGTCTAACTATGGCAGCTATGTCGATCAAGCGATAACCTCTCCAAAGCACTGCTTCAAAAACTCGCAATTAGACCAAATAACCATCAAATGGTCGAGATATCTTCACTAATCCCCGATCCTAGCTTGCCAAGCACATGCCCAGACCTGCCAACGGCCACTCTAGCCTGCATGAGCCTACCTCCCGTGTCAGGCACCTACCTACCTAGGCGCAGGTAGGCCCCCGCGCGGACCGCCTGGGGCATAAGCTGCCCTGAGCCAGGGGCAACATTCAGGGCATTACCCCTGTCCCACATGCTGTCTCGCCTCCCGCCAAGCCTCCAGATCTAGGTTCGATTGGTGTGCTGAATTGCTTGCTCAGGTTCCTTGTCGGGTCGTCAGTCCATTGTCAGCCGGTGATGGCTTCATTTTATCGCTGTGTTGGACGTTTTTCCCTTTCTTTCTTGGATTCTCTCTCATGGAATTGAATTTTTCCATGGCTCAAAGGATGGCGCTTCGTCGCACTTTCATCGACAACTTGTGAAACATGGCATCTGGTGATCGCTCGACGGTCGCCTGCTAAATGTTGTCTAGCGCCAAGATCAAGGGGATGGCGATTGACTCAGGTTTTCTGCTCTCTTCCCCAACTCCTCTTTGCGAGAACTTGTAGACGTTGAGACGGAGGCGCCAGATGAAGCGAACAGTGTAGTGGCAGAAACGGCGTCGAGACGGTTGAAACGGACTTGCAACAGGGAACTCTACCTTCCGATCGGTATCTTGGACAGCCTTTGTGTGGTGTCCTTGGAAACACCATTGATACCACGCTGCGATAAGGTCTCGATGGCCTGAGGATTTGTAATGAAACTTGTGTGGTCATCATCTGTGTCGAGATTTGTTGCAGACTATCTTTTCTGATAAGTTTAACAGCCCTATAACATGAATCAACCCTGAGGTCTATCGATCTTGGCGGGAGTTTTGGAGTCGTGGTTGGGGCTTAGGTTAATGCTACGCTGCCCCGATAACAGTGTGATACTATGACACTTCTCCAAACTGCGAAACATTTTTTAGCGATGATGTCCCAAGTCGGAGAGTAAAAAGTTTTCATGTTTCATTTCATAAACAGTTGGCAACGGTGCTATTGAATTTTGTTTAGATATCTCGTAGGTAGACACGATAGGACGTTATGGAGTGGAAGAGTTACTGGAGCTTACTATAATTTGGATAATCTTATATAAAATCTAGAATAGAGGAAATTGTCAAAACTTTACACGCCTACTGTATCATAAGCAGTTCTATAGCTGAACAAACAAGCCTGATGCTCTTATGATCACGTCCAATTCATATGGAAACCAGCCAACTAAAAGCTGCTTTTAATGATCTCTCAAATTTAATTGGGAATAGTATTACCAGAAGTAAATCAGAAAGCAAGAGCCTTATATTGTTTACCAGTCTAGAGCAAGACAGATCTACAACAGCGATGTTCCATAATGGCCTTCCTCGCACAAACCAAGTTATCGTACATGATGCCGCAACTATCTCATTCCCCTATATCCTGTCCGCGGGCATCTCCAGCTCGGCCGAGCGAGTGACCGTACTCATCCGGCGATTCACGCACAATGACCTAGACTGGCTCGGTAGCATCCGGGCTGGTTCTCTCCTGAATCCCCACCGCGGACCAATCCATGGCCCCGTGGAGAGCCAGTAACATAGGATGTCCATTAACTTACAACCCAAAGTAGATGCTGCAGAGGCGGTGAGAATTGAAGAGATGCGGATCGAGGGCTTTTGGTGCTGCACTAAAGGAATGGGTACATACAACATAGAGTTGATAGAATGCTTAATGTATTTGCTGAATAATTGAACCGTAGATTTTAGAGGGCTTGTCTGCAAGGTTGGGCATTTTTGGGTGGAATTCTAAGTCGGCCGGCTACCCTATGTCTTTCTCGACATTGTTGGATCTTGGACTTTGAGAACGCCCAAAGTTAACAGCCTATGAAAAGATCGGTATTAACAAAGGAAGTGCCGAGCTTAATTTTAGTAACTCGTTAGTGAGACAGCGGTTAAAGGCTAAGCATTTTGGCGGTGGCTTTCCAGACGTTAGGATGCCTGCTAATGCGCACTTCAAGATCATCATCTTCGTTATGCATCCATCTTGAACATCACAAATACGCAGTAATGTGACTGGCTGGGAGTTCTTTTCTTCACCGACAGCGCCCGGGAAGTGCCTGATTGTCCCGCGCTTTTAGTTGTATTGCTTCTTGTGCATGCCATGGCTGCAGGCCGTCCCACCGTGATCGAAGTGAGACCCGTTGAAGACAACTCATTAGCGGTACATGCTGCGTTGTTTAATCAATGGTCTGAACATGAATGATCAAAGCTTCTCATCGCCAGCAAATCATCAACAGACACACATTATCTCACGACTATTTACTGCGTCACGTGAGCTGACTGGTAATTGGATCCATCACCCTGGGGCCGTCCTGCAAGCTGCCGTTAGCGCTGGGCTTTTGCTTTTGAGGAGGTAGAGAGGAGAAGAGAGGAGAGAGTAGAGCACTTTAGCTGCGCCTCGTTGCTTTGAATCTGTCATCATTCCGCTCTTTGGAGAATTGTCTTCAAATTTTCAAAAGAGTTGGAAATATCCTATTATTCAACTACACAAACAGTCATTATCGTCATCCTCGATATTCTCTTGAAATGGCCAATGATACTTCCCCCGCAGAGGCCGACCAGCCCACCGCGGAACCCCAAGTCACCTTTGCTTCAGGCCGAGTCGAACATCAAGGCCAAGCCGACTCACCTCCAGATTTGAGATTGATTCACTACAATGACGTCTACCACTTGGACCCGTCGAGTGCTGAGCCCGTCGGTGGTTTGCCAAGGTTCATCAAGGTGTGCCGCGAGTATCAAGAAGGCGAACAGTACAAGGACCAGCCCAAAGCATTGACGCTCTTTTCTGGAGATGTCTTTAACCCCAGCTTGGAGAGTACAGTGACCAAGGGTAAGTTTGACTCTGGGCATGATAGGCCTTTATATCTTCAACCACGAGCCAAACTGATCATTCGGTAGGCCAACACATGGTTCCCGTCCTCGATTTGATTGGGACGGACTGTTCTTGTGTAGGGGTGGGTAAGTCATACCACCCTTGACCGATCTGGTAGCTAATTACACCCAACTATAGAACCACGACTTTGACTTTGGTGTCAAACAGTTTGAGCATCTGTCAAGCCAGAACAAGTTTCCATGGCTGCTCGCCAACGTCATTGACCATGATATTGGCGGTGATACTCCTGTAGGACATGCTAAGAAGACGCATATGATCACCACCTCGGATGGTATCAAGGTTGGTCTTATTGGCCTAGGTGAACGAGAGTGGCTCGAGACTATCAACGTTCTACCGCCAAACCTCGAGTACAGATCTGCCACTGCCGTTGCCAAGGAGCTTGTCCCCCAGCTGCGAGAAGAGGGCGCGGAAATTGTTATCTGCCTCAGCCATATGCGAGAACCAAATGACAACAAATTGGCCGAGCAGACAGAAGGCCTCATTGACATCATACTTGGAGGACACGATCACTTTTACGCCCACAGCCTCATCAATGGAACTCACGTGCTGCGATCTGGTACCGACTTCAAGAACCTGAGTTACATTGAAGCTCGCCGCAAAGAAGACGACCCTTCCAAGTGGGACTTTGACATCTGGCGCAGAGACATCGTTTCGTCAATCGAAGAAGACGAGGAATCGTTGAAGATTGTGGAAGGACTCACCTCGAAGCTGAACCAGACTTTAGCCAGGCCTGTTGGGTACACGGCTACCCCTCTGGATGCTCGCTTTAGCACCGTTCGTCTTAAGGAGTCAAACATAGGAAACTTTGTCTGCGATGTCATGCGACAGCATCATAAGGCTGACTGCACCATCATGGCCTCGGGTACAATCCGTGCAGATCAAATCTACCCTCCCGGACCCATCCGTATCAAGGATATTACAACATGCTTCCCCTTTGAGGATCCCGTCGTGTTGCTAAGAGTGACGGGTCAAGCCATCTTCGATGCGTTGGAGAATAGTGTGGCAATGTATCCTGCGCTGGAAGGTCGATTCCCTCAGGTATCCAACATTCGATTCGAGTTCGACCCCTCGAAGCCTAGAGGGCAGAGAGTTTTGTGGGCGGAGATTGGCGGAAAGCCATACGAGCCTGAGAAGCTCTATGTTCTCTGCACCAGAGGATACATGGGACGAGGAAAGGGTGAGTATTCAAGAATGATCAGATTAAGCCACGGACGCTAATGGAGACTCTAGATGGATTCACTAGCTTGCTGGTCAAGTCTGAAGGAGGAGATGCCGAGGAGATTATCGACGAAGAGAACGGTATTCTCATCTCAGCCATGCTACGCCAGTACTTTATGGGTCTTCTCACAGTAGGAAAGTGGAAGAACCTTGCACAACACTGGGTGAAGGTTGCTCAGACTTGCGAAACGCCCGTGTCGCCCACTCGAACTAAATTTAACGTTGACTTCCCTAACCTCAAGTCGTTGGAAGAGAAGCTACCCAAGGACCAACGCACGGAAAGCGTGACAAAGGACACAAAAGACCCCTGGGGCAGGTTCCTCAAGCGTCGCTTTAGCATTAACGTGAAGCCTCACGACGAGAACGACAGCAGCGACGAGGAAGTCCACGGGAAGGCCAAGCGCGAGATCGAAGATCCTGAAGATCCTGACGGCACAAAGCTCGATCGTGAGATTATGCTCCTGCGCAAGTTCTTCGCAAAGTGGGCGCTCAAAGCCAAGGTCAAGACTAGCATCTGCGATCCCCTCAAAGAGGGCGAGTATACGGTTGATTGGACGACGTGTATTGCGCCTGTGGTTGAAGGGCGAATTATCATGACGGGAGCTTCTACACCGCAAAAATAGATGAGTGGAAAGACACAGGGGATACGTAGGCTTTCTGCGAGAAAAAGACCTTGGCATTGAATAGAACGGATAAGAAGTAAACAAATAAAGATATGCATCGTTATCTCTTACTCTCATGCCTTGGGTACCATTGCTGAGAGGCGGTTTCAGGATCATGTAAGTGACTGTTCACTTAGAGTATGCATATACACCGTCATAAAACACGACCTTTGATGTCACCTTTGATCGACAATGGGGTCAGCCACAAGCGACACCGGAGATCTGGGGACCTGAGCTAAGGCACTCTAGTCTACATGTCTTGATTCGATCAGATCCTGTAGTCGTAAATGACAGAATGTACGGATAGCGCCATGTCTACCTGACCAATGTCAGTGGCGGGTATTTTAAGTATGCAGAGCATAAAACTGCATGTAGTGCTTTCGCGAGGTCGTACAGACAAGCTGAGCTGTACAGTGGTTGAATAGAAGGTATCGGCATAACAATAAACCCACCAATGCTCTATGGGCAGACTTGCATGATTATCAGAAAGCAAGACACGAATCCTGGACTGAACAGAGTATGGAGTGCGATAGGGATAGTACTTTCTAAGTAACAAGTCACGATACGAATGATTTCATATCCTATTTCAAGGTATTTAGAAGGATAACGAGATACAGTCGTCACTCCGCAGCTCAGCCCGTTCATACCCCTGACGCCATCTCATACCCATGTATTGCATCTATTTCACACAACACAAACCAATCTCCTCTAGCTCATCATCATCCAAACCTTGAAGTCCCAAGATTATGCAACTGCAGTTTCGCAGCAAAGTTTATTCATCGACGTAGCAGTCCGGCACTTGACCAGTAGCATAAGAGGTATGTATATCCGCCGCCGTGCATCTGCAACCTCACTTATTCCCCGAGCGTGGTCTTCCCCCCCAAACTGACCAATTCGAACTGCTAACTCACCGGCTCCTAACAAGACTCAGCCTCATTCGTAGGGTTCGCCGCTATCGACCCATCGGCGTGGCTTACGGGAACGTGGAACCCGGCTCACCGGTCTTCCAGAAGCTGATCGACGCCGATTGGGCCTACAAAGTGACGTTGTTAGCAGGAGGAAAAAGCAAACACAGAAGTTAAATCTCTTTAGAAGTCAAGGGTAGTAGGACGCAGGGTATGGGATGAGCTGTGTGGCGGAACTGAGTTGCTGGGAAGAGCAAAATGAGACTTATTGGCGAGGGTTGAGAGGCAAGCAAGGTTGGGAACTGCGCGCCGAGCACCGGTGATCTCTTGTTTGTTGGTTCAAGAGGTTATCACTGCATGGATAAAGAAGATAATCACCAGGTGTATGTCACGATGAACGAGTTGGGGCAAAAGATAGTGACACTGCTGCCAAGACTCGCATCCAATCGTTAGCTTTAGTGACGAACAACTCCTAATACAAACAAAGGAGTCATCTTTATACGAGATTGTTTCTCAGCCATTATCTGCCTAGTACCAGGATGCTGGCCCGTGGCGCTTGGTATCATTCTCTAGTAACCCAACCAAGCACCAAAACCCTAGACATCCCTAGTCGAGCTGAGATAAGAGTCCAACTCATAGGATCAGATCCTCTGTAGATCATCCAAGTGCCGAAGCTTCTAGTCATCCCGTGACATGCCCCTCATGCATACGTGCCTACCACTATTATTGCTTGTAAAAACCTTGCCTAGCACTCTCTTACGGCCTGGGTCACCATGGTCTTTGTTAAGCCGGGAGACCGGGTACTACGGAGCTGTTCAGCTAATCTATCACTAGTTGAAACCTTGGACGAGAAGAGTATAGGACCGGAATAGCTTCCTGTTGGACATTGCGATGGAAGGATTCCCTGGTATTGTGCAATGAGTGGTCATGTGTCTGAGCAAACACAGCAGAGAAGAGACATATCTTCCCCTTCGGCACCTCCTATTGCCTGTAAAGTAAACCCTCTCCTGCCCAACAATTTCTCTACACGGTATTCCAGAAGCTTCCACTATATCTATACAACACCAACACCATAGACTTACTCAGCAGTCCTCACATCGGATAGTCACCAGCAAGTCCAATCAAGACTTCCAAGAGCCGACTCCGTATCCTGTTGGGCCGCTGCCTCCGTCCTCCGGTTGCACAGTGACAAAGGACGTCGCCGATATATGATATATCCCAAGCAATTACACAAGGACAGCCCGGCAGACCTATTACCGCATCGAGCCCCTCGCATTCTTTGGCAGCTTCGGCCCGTACTGCATTAGTGCCCGGATTCAGGAGACGGCATTTCCAACCTTGAGGCCCTCCGCTGAGGTTGCACGTCATAGGACAGATTCTCACCGACCGGCCTACAGACGTTACATTAGCGCCCGAAGGTGAGAGCAGAGGCTCAGAGGCTTTGGAAGTTATATAATCACTACTGAGACAACTTCCGACGACTGAGAAAACTATTCTCGGATATTAAATCGACAAGTGGTTTCAGGTCGTTGTTGAAGTTCGGGACGCTGGATATAAGACCAGATTGTGTCCGAAACACCACAGCTTGCATCAGAAGAAGAAAAGAAAAAGAAAAACACAATGTCTCCTTCCAAAACTCATATAATAGAGCCTTGGAAACTCACAGCTTCTGAGGCCCTTGCCCAGATCCAAGCCGATGAACTCTCAGTCCAAGAGTATGCAGAATCGCTGCTAGAGAGAATCAAGAATCGGGATGAGGACGTCAAAGCCTGGGCATATCTTGATAAAGATCATGTCATTCAGCAGGCAAAGCTTCTAGACGAGGTTCCTAAGAAGAATCGAGGACCTCTTCATGGGCTTCCTATCGCTGTGAAGGATGTCATCTATACAAAAGGTGAGTCTCTAGCTGATGTTTCTGGAGGATGGAACTTACTTATTATAGATATGCCAACGCAGTTTAACTCGCCGCTCTATGACGGGCATTTCCCCGAGGTAGACGCTGCTTCAGTTCGAATCCTTCGTCATGCTGGGGCTCTGATATTTGGTAAGTTCTAATCTTTGTACCCGCACTTCAAGTTACTGAGACAAGCCACGACCAGGCAAAACAACAACTACGCAGTTCGCCGCTCTGCATATCGGCCCCAAGACTCACAACCCTCATGATCCCTTCCGTACCCCTGGCGGCTCTTCTAGCGGTTCCAGTGCAGCCGTAGCCGACTTCCAAGCCCCTATGGCCCTTGGTACACAGACAGGAGGTTCTATGATCCGTCCGGCCTCGTTCAACGGCATCTACGGGTTCAAACCAACATGGAACTCCGTCTCTCGGGAGGGCCAGAAGGTCTACGCTCTGATATACGACACTCTAGGGTGGTATGCGCGATGTATCGAAGACTTAGTGCTGCTGGCCGATATCTTTGCCCTTCAAGATGACGAAGGTGAAGAATCTGTTTTTCGAGGCATTGAAGGCGCACGCTTTGCAATCTGCAAGACAGTTGTGTGGCCTATGGCTGGCCCAGGCACACAAGAAGCTCTTCTCCAAGCTGCAGATCTACTTCGATTGCACGGCGCGACCGTAGAAGAGATCGAACTGCCTTCAGAATTCGACGAATTTCCAGAGCTATATCGCATTGGTCTTCATAGCGAAGGTCGTACGGCATTTCTACCCGAATATCGAGTTGGGAAAGATCATATCGGCCAGGTACTAATCGAGCATGTTGAGAACGCCGATAACTTCACTCGGAAGACACAACTCGAGGCTTTCGACAAGATGGCTGCCCTAAGGCCCGTCTTTGACAGAATTGCTTCCCAATACGCGGCTATCATCACGCCGAGTGTGCCCGATGAGGCACCCGTAGGTCTTGAGAGCACGGGGAGTCACATATTTTGTTCCATGTGGAGTGTAAGTAACAAGTTAGTCGCGATCTACAACTAGCTAATTATCATCCAGGGGCTGCACACTCCAGTGCTGAACGTGCCGGGATTCAAAGGGGAACAAGGAATGCCCATCGGCTTATCCCTCGTTGCGCCCCGATATCGTGACCGCCATCTGTTGGAAGTAGGCAAGGCAGTTGGAGAGGTCTTTGAGACTGAAGGAGGTTGGGAAACAAAACTGGTGTAAGCACAAATGGACGGCTTGTAAGATACGAAGGAACTTGGAAACTAGAAAGGAAAACAGGACTAGGGGCAGCGCAAGGTACAAAACTACAGATAGATTGAATAATCATGTTGCAAAGGCGTCGCCAATACTGCAGTTGTGTGTATGTTGAATGTCTACAGAATTCCCACTAGCGTTTTAACCTTAACCCGCGCCAACAAGGAGTCTATATCCCAGAGCCGCCTCTTGACGTGAAATGCTGACATTATTTGCTCATTACAAAATACCAATCACGCCTGTAAACCGGGGCATAAAGCCCTCGCCGCCCAATACCCAACATTACAGCTCATCCGCTGGCTTAAAACGTACAAGCCCCGATAGCACCTGTAACCGTACAGCTTCGCGCGGAAGCTTTATGACTAAGGAAAACGCCGGGGGGAGTGGAAAGGGGGCTGGTGTTGCCCAGTCGAATATGAACAAAATTTGCCTTGGACAAAGACTTAAGTTATTTGTTGAAAACCCATTGCCTTACACGGCCACAAGCTTGTCGACACACACAATAGCCTATTCACTGTTAGCTAATATGCCAATGGGAACTAGAGACATAAACTTACGTCATCGGTCAGGATACCCTGATTTCGGAGATAATGACCCATGCCCTTGACAAGCTCGAGCTGCTCTTCAGGGTTGAGGCTGGTGATCGCGGTCTCGAGAACAGAGCCGAGGGAGACCTTGTGGACAGCGATAAAGGTGTGGAAGTACATGTAAGCGAAGAAACCCATGATGAATTGACAATCCATGCGGTCAGTGATGCCTCCGTGTCCGGGAATGGAGTCACCGAAATCCTTGATCTTGAATGTGCGCTTAAGTCCAGAAGCGAAGAAACCGCCAAAGGGAGCGATAAGCGAAGCAAAGGTGGCCAGGTTGAGGGAGTGGATCTGCATGGGAGCAATGGTGAAAGAGATGTTCTTGGCAGTCTCGGGGAGGAAGAACAGGTCGGGCATCTCGTAGGTCTTGGGGAGGAAGGCCGGGTTAGGATCGCACTGCAGGCCAGTGAAGATGTTGGCGCCGAGGTCGTTGACAGGGCAGATGAAGTACTTGGATCGCATCATGATGCTGGAAAGGATCATGGCGAAAATGATGGTCATGATCCAGGCGCCGACAAAACCCTCGACAGTCTTCTTGGGAGAGAGCTTGATTAGTTGGGTACGTCCAAAGAGAATACCGCAAATGTAAGCGAAGATATCGTTGGTGATAACCAAAGCAGCGGGCAGGAAGAACCAGATCATGCCCTCGAAAACGTTGTTCATGATGAAATGAGCCTGAACCACAATGAGGTACAGAGCCATGTGTGTCCAAGCAAAGTTGGTGAACTGGAACTTGTAGTGACCAGCTTGAAGCGAAGTGACAAAGAAGACGAATCCTATATCTTGTTAGTTTGTCGAACTCAGCGAAGGCTAATTGACATACCGAATACGTAGAGGATGAAGCTGATGAAGCGGTGGTGAGTGGCCAGAGGTAGCAGGACCTTGTCAACCAGAATGATGTGCTTGAAGTAGTAGATGACAGTCTCGCCGTAGAGGAAGTACATTGTAGTGGCCAGCCAGTACCAGTTGAGACTCTTAGTAGATCGCAGGGAGCGGGCGCGGCTGGGAACGTTGGCGATGGCGATAACCTCCTTGAAGGAGACGATCTGGACAGCAGTGATGATTGTGATGATGTAAATGTGACCCATGAAGAGCGCGGTAAAGAACAACGCAAACATGACAAAGGTCCAGAAAGTGCGCGTTATGAAGTTGGCCTTTTTCTTTTCGTACTCGGCTTGCTTTTCGCTAATTGCTGGCTTCTTCTGCTGTTATGGGTGGTTAGCTGTGTTCTTCTCGAGAATCTCGCGACACCGAGAGCTGGACACTCTAGTTCCTCAAGAATCCGGATATTCCTTCTTCTGCTTACCTCGTCTACTGTCTCCAGCTGACCCGAAGACTGAGATCTGAGCTTGGTGGGAGAACCATCTTCACTGCTGAAGCTTGATCGTCGTCCATCAGAGCCGTTGCGGTTGGGGAACCTAACCCCTCTCTTTGATCGAGCCATGTCTATCGAGAGTCTGTGTGCAAATGCGCTGGTGGCTTTGCTTGCGAGTTACTGCCAAGAAACTCCGCAGTGAGGTTGTCGTCGGCTGACGTAGTCGTTTAGCGGGTGGTAGACTCGAATCGCTAATGCAATTGCAACTTTGGTCGAGGCGGTGGTGAAGATGACAGTTTGTTTGTTTGTCTGTTTTTCGCAAATTTGCTCCAAGCGACCTGTGACGTCGCTGCGCAAAGCTCGTGGGAGGTGGGAAAATAACGGGTCAGGAGGAGAAGCTTTCGTGGTCGGAAAGACGCTGGAGCTTGTGCGGCACAAAAATGGTCGTCGGTCAATTAGCGCTTCAAAGGAGCGAAGGCTGGGCGGGCGCGGTTCGAGTGGGCAAATATGCACACTTTGTCGCGATAATTCTGACGATGATGAAGGAAGCAGGAAATGGTGGTTTTTGAAAAGCCAAGCAGCCACAGCCAAATACTTGTCAGTCTGCCAGTCTGCCTTAGTCTGGCATTTCTAAAAGTGGGTGGTAATTGGTGGTACTGGTGACGCTGCTGGTCCTTCTGCCAAGCAGCCAAGTACGCAAAGTAACCTACCGACAAGCTAGACTACAGCACATCCTACGCAATTGCAGGCTAACAAGTTGAAAAAGCATGACCAAAGCTCATCTAGCTCATCTAAAATCATCAAATGTGAGCCTGTGAGGGACCAATCGAGTCCCTGAATGGACCACCCTGCCAATGCATTGCGGCTGTGGCTTGACGTGTTTCCGGTGGTTCCAGTGGGTTTTGGGCTTCAATTGCGTCAGGAGGGCGGACATTGGAGTGTCAGCTGTCTACCACGGCCAAACAATTGTGCATTTCCCTTTCTTCCTCCTGCTCAAGTTTACCCTATTCTCTATAATTATGGCTATTCACCCGCAAACACACAAATGTAGATTCCCATTGACAGTACTCTGTAGGGAAATTGTGATAAATGCCCCAGACGCAGGGGCTGATTAGCTGTGGAACAAGCCAGCGACCCCAGCCAGTCGGTATCCGTTCTACAGATCTGTTGAGATCCGTCCTACAGTCCCAGTAAGAAATGGAGATTAGAAAGAATGTCGGTAAGCGGGAGCGAGAAGCCCTAACAAAACCGACATTGCGAGACCGAAACCGCCAAGCAAGATAAGTGAAAGTTATTGTAGTACGGAGTGCCGGACATGCAAACAAACCCGCGATATCCGACACCAGGAGCCAATATCTCCACAGGTCATCTCAGATTGCTTGCTGTCTTATACATCATACGCGTGTCCCATTCTACGGGTTATGATACGTGTATAGGGCTCAGTGCACCATGAATATACTGTATTGCATGCCCTGACAGATTCACAATACGTCGATAGTGTATCATAAGGGTCCAGATCCCTCCCTGTTCACATCTCCACAACCTGCCAACAGCTTTAGAAGCTTGATGAGGTCAATGACGCACATCGCTCTTCACATGCTCAAAACGTAACTCCGCACAAGCTGCGCCTCACACCCTCTCACAGCCGTGGCTGCATAAACAGCGCCACACTTTATCTGCATACATGCCACGTGATTGCGCGACGCGTTTCGCAAGCCATTCTTGGCCCGCTACACGACTCGGCGATCGAGAACAATTAACGTTCGAGATGGGCCAGCAATAACAAACATCCCTGACTTCCTTCGATGGATCTTTCCCGTCCCATGGAAATAACCATGCAAGATGGATCTCGACGAGTTCTCCGATGACGGGTTTGACGACATTCCCGACAATGCCCTCCAAGAACTCGAGGATAATGCAATTCAACTCACACAGGCACAGGCTCATTCGAGGCCGCTGACACAACAGCCACGAATCGAATCCCCCGATATCGTCTGGATTGAAGATGATGATCTCGATACTACTGAAGTGACCAACGATGCTGGTGTTCCTATTGGGAGACCGGTCATTGACAACAATATCCCACAAAACCAGTCATCACAAGCTTATTATCTCGATTCTCGACGCTCAATTCCCCCTCCAAACCCACGATGGAACCCCGTTGTCGATCCTTCGAGCCGCCGCCCTATGGGGCATCCTCAGCAACATCTCAATGTTGGACCACCTCACCAGCCTATGTATACCTCTCAGCAGTTCCAAACCCAGAGTTCCAATTTTGCTCGTGCTCAACCAAGCCAATTCGCTCGACCTCCTCTTCCACAAAATCGTCCCGCAGCCTCGCAGCAATCCCAGAACCAGCCTGGCGATGTCCTGTCAGCGCTCCAACAGCGGGTACGAGCTCTCGAAGATCAGCTGAAAGCGGCTCTTGGAGAGGCATCAATTGTCCGTTCCAACTTCGTCAAATCCAACGAGGAGCATGCTGCAGAGGTTGCTCGCCTGAACAGGATCAATGCCGAGCAGCTTGCGAGACAAGAACAAATCGCTGAGGCAGCTGTTGCTGCTGAACAGAATGCCAACACAGAGCTACAATTTCTACAACGTGATATGAGAGAGGTTAGCGACCGCGTACGCCGGAAAGATCCTGTTGGAGGGGTTTCTGGAGGGCTCACAACCCCGAAGAAGGCTGTCAAGACTTGGGTAGCCGATGGGTTCGATGAAATGGATATTGTTGTGAGCCCAAGCAAAGGCCAAGGACGAAGCAGAAATCCAGGACCGATCGCACTGCATGTTGGCGAAAGAACGCCGAGCAAAGGCAAAAGGAAACGGCAAACCATGGACAGTCCTATTATGCCATTGGAAACTCATACCGATAGCTTCGCAAGTAGCAATGGCAAACCAGATGCCCCAGCGCAACAGGCGCCGATTGTTGTTGCGCCAACCCCTGCTGTCCTTTTCGAGGTTTGTGAGATGCAGCTATTGCGTGCGACACTATACTGACTTCTTCTAGTTCCTGAAGCTCGTGCTTGATCATGGCACCCAGAAGCCCACCCTTGACATATTGTCTCGCTTCTCCTTCGCTGATGATCCAGAGACCTCGTTCTCCGCTATTATCTTCAAGAAGATACCCTTGATGGGCGATCCCCAGCGGCCAATGCAGCTGCTTGTGGATTTTGCAAATCTTATGGTCGGCATATGGACACGCTGCCAAGCAGATCAGCTTTGGGAGCCTATCAAACATTTGCTTGCGTTGATATCCTTTACTTTCTCACTGCACGCATCAGAAGTTGCACCTTTTGTTGTCCCCAACTTGACGGCACCCGCTCAGGCAACAATGTGCACCTTGGCCGAATGGCAGATCCGTATACGAGAAGGCGAACAGCGTCTCAAGAATGACCATTTCCAGGCCATGAAGCAGCACATAAAAATCGTTGATATCCTATCGGTCTTCTATACAAGCGCACTTGCTTGTTCAACGGCACTGGATGAAGCAGAGGATGAAGGCAAGCCTAAAGCGACAGTCTTCTGGAGCTGCATATCGCCTGACCTAGTCTACAAACTTTTAAGCCCGAAACAGGAACTTCCAGATATCTTGGGAATGCTTGAGCTTTTGACCACATCTTCACTCCCCGACTCAATTGGTCCTATTACCGAAGACAAAGATTCTCCTGTGGCTAGTCAGGTCATAAATCTTGTTACAAACAAACTCACAGACTACCATTTATCGGTAACGACCCGCGAGCAGAAATGCACTCTGCGCTTAGCTGCTTTACGAACTCTTATAGCCTTTTCTCGCTATCCTTTTGGTGCCATGGAGCTTGCGTCCGATAGTCTTGCACTCCCCCGCTTGGTGGCCTGCCTCAGCATAGCCATAGACGAATTATACGACCAACCTATTCCGTCTAATATCCTACCACAGGTACACGACGTGAACAAGTCAGTGCTGGGGATGGAAGAGGCTTCGTACTCGGCTAGTTTGTACCGAATCATTTCTCAATGCGTTTTTTTGATTCATGCGTTAGTAATAGGCCCTGATACTGCCAATGTTGCAGACATTGGCCAAAAGCTATCTATGGCTCACGGTGGTAGTCAAAGGTATTTACTTGCCCTGGGACGTCTCACCTTTGCTGAAGAAGACCTGGTAATGGAAGCCGGTATCGATGGGGAAACGGTCGAAGCAGCTCACGAACTACTTGAACTGGCAGTGACACCAGATGAGGGTGAAGTGATTAGCGGAGCATTCGGGGATTAAAATCATGGGATGCTACATCTTGGGCGTTTGGATGAATGACGGGCTTATCTTGGAACTGGCCTACGATACTCATATAGTTATGTTGGTTGGTGTTTGGCGTCACAAATTAGACAAGATACCACGAGGCAATGTGTCAATTTCGGACATAGACATTTAAAATTTACGAGATCACACAAGACTTGACAAAACAGTATGTTGAGAAGAGCATGCAGTCTTAATGTCCCTATATAATGACAAGACACACTAGAATATCTGTAGCATCTTTCCAACCTGTCACTTCACAGGACCTCGCCAAAGGCACACTCTTAGCCGTTGTATGAGACATGAACATGGTCCCTAAACTCTTGTCAGTTCGCAGTTCCACAAAGGGTTGACAAACACTTACCAATGGTTCTGAGTCAGGTCACCACGATCGTCCATGGTTCGCCAGCTCTCCCAGTTCTTCTCCGTCTTATCGACAGAGGTAGTCCAGATCTTTTGTCCCCAGATGACATACTTGAGGTTCAGAGCGCTGCGGTTCCTCATGCACCACTCGGCGATCTCTTTGCCAGAAAGGGTAGCAGTCTCATGTTGTTTGTTAGCGTCTCAAGAATCATAGACGTGTGATAGGAGGAGGGGGACTTACACCACCAGCGTCAGAGCACATAAAATCAGTCGCAAGACCACAGCAATGATCCGAAGACCCAGGACAGTCACAAGCCCTCTTACATCCAATCTCCCTCACCCTTCCAGGGAACGCAGCAACGACTTTCTTGGACGCATCTACAGAAACCTGCTTACAGGCGCCCACAGCGGGGATAGTCGGCGCCGAATACCCACCGAAGCCCGTTCCGCCGGCGGAGCAGCACTTCATCTGCGCAGGACCGGGACACTGACCGCTCGCCGAGGTACCGGTACAGTCGGACGACCAGCGGCAGTTTCCGGAGGAGCAGGTAGCCTTGGAGCAGCACTTTATGTTGGCGGCGTCGGCCGGGCAGGCGCCGGAAATGGCGGTGCCGCCGGAGGATGTGCAGGATGCTTCGGTGATGCAGACGCCCGGTGTGCCATTGGGACCGTAGCAGGGCTCGTTGGGGGCGGCGAGGGAGGGAGTGGAGAGGAGAAGGAGGACGGGGAGTGGAGAGAAGCGCATTGTGATGGGTGTGATAGAGGCTAGTTGTGTATGGATGTGTTTGGCCTGATGCTGAAGAAGAGGTTTGGGTGATTCCAGCTGCTTTATATGGTATTTATGTCTTTGATTTTCTTAACCGATCAGTGACGATCGTCATCATTTCCCACCCTTAATTGATAGGTAACTATACAGGTTTCGTGTTGATCATCGTTGTGTAACACCTAACACAATCTCGAACCTATTATGCCACTCTCGCTTTTAGCAGACTCGGTCGTCATTTAGGAAGGTCTCTCATCAACCATGTCTCTCCTTTCAGCTGTCTAATGATATTTCTCGCAAAGGCAACGTGCAAACTTGATTGCAGACCCTGGTATTGCAGTTGATCTTCTTCAGCTTTTCTACCTTGGACCTTCAGCGGAATGTTTCCGTGGCGCACCCCTACATATGCACCGGCTGTTCTGGTATCCTGATTGGACTGTTGAGTTTTCTTCAGCTTGATCTTCCGGACGATCACGGAGATCAGCCGTTGTAAATCGGGGATCATGTCCGGGCCGTCGCGGCTCCTTGCGTCTGCTGCATATGAGTTGTAGTCACAAGTACAATTTACACTGTCTAGCCTGTCTTTGAGTAGCGGGAAGTCTGTTTGGAGCCATGAAGTCAGTAAACGGGAGTGATGCGACGGCCCGCGATGGGGCAAATTGTTTCATTTTGACACTGTTTTACAAACTTGACGGAGGTTGGACTAACTTAAGCTTAGTTCAAGGTTGCTCGCTTTGACGAGATAGGCGAGTTAGCTAACTTAGGTCGAGCTTGTTTCTTTACCGCGGAGAAGCAAATGAGTTGCAGTCTATGGCGATCTCTTTAACACAGACATAGGCCACCTTCCTATAATGTCATAATGTTTCAGTGACAGTGACGTACTGTAGCGCTTTGAAACAAACGGTGACGTTTTATTTGGCTCAGTCACTTCCTATTTTCGTAATTCGTATCCTGTTGCTTTTCAGCTCGTGTCTTAGTAGGTATGCACTTCACCTAGAAGCATAAATCCTAGTTAATCATGTGGTAGCAAAGACTTATCCATATACCTCATATTCAGCGGATCATACGGGTATTTGTTCACGACTTGGGCAATTAAGAGAATATGATTAACTATGATATCCAATAGTGATCTCCTACGTAATGGTTTGTCTCTCATCATATATGCAATGCATATTATTTATTGCCTTTGCACATCCCAGTCCTGATTCGGAAGTTCTGAATCACGCTGGCGTTTCTTCTCCTCGCTTTCACCTCCTTCAGAGCCCTCAGGGCCCTCTGCAGCCTCCATAGAGTCACTTCTTCGAGGCTCCTCCCCATCCAGTAGCACATTAGGAGCATATGGAAGCTTGCCCTCCTCACGTCGGTCCGGAGGAATAATGGTATTGTACCAGCGAGGCAAGAGGACTCCAAGTCCAATGAGGATCAGACAGATGTGAGCAAGGCCAAAACCGAGAATGTGCAGGGGGTCGTCACGAAGCTCGTAGAAGGCGGGATAGGCGAAACCGTAGATGATGGCGAGCACAGGTGCGGACAGGAAGCGTAGGAGAATTGGCCAGAAGGCGGGAATGCTCCAGTTCTTCCCAGTTGCGACTATGACGTTGAGATCTCTTCGGAGTTGTTGGCCCTGTTTTGGTGAGTCAGTGACAGTAACAGTATGTACAAGGATGAAACTTACAGAGTAGAAGGCCATGTACCAGAAACGTCGCACAAATACATTGCCGAAGAACTTTGAAAGAGCAGCACTCTTGCCAATGAATCGACGAACAAACCCCTTGTCTTCGCCAAAGGTGAGAGCAGGAGGAATATCGTCAGGGGTCTTGCCAATAACGCATGACACAATCGAGCAGACGATGAAGATACCAAAGCCAACTCCAGCACCGGCCTCAGCCTGAACTGCGTGGGCGACTGCAACACCAAGGACCATGCCACCAAAGTATCCAAAGTTCCAGATAAAGAAAGACGGCTTTCCAACTTGGCCGGCGACATCTCTCCAGCGGTAAAAGGTCGTAGAGAAGGCACATTCACCAAACACGACGAATACTAGAGCAACATCGTTAATCCAGCGGTCGACTCCAGTTAGAAGAGCATAGCCGAATTGTGTGCAGTATGGAAGTGATATGAGAAACGAGACAACCACGAGACCTGTGACTACCCACTCGCGGCGTATCTTGGGCTTGGTATCCATGACGAGCGTGACAACAGCATCGACCATGGCGAATGCAGAGCTATACCCAAGCACCACGAGCGTGAAGAACAGAGCAAACGCCCAGAACGAAGAGCCAGGGAGTTGGGTGATAGCCGTGGGCAGCGTGAGGAAACCAATTGTGAAGGCTCCGATTCTCTCACCAGGAACAGGCATCATGTCCAAGTAGCCGACAACACCAAAGGCGGCAAAGGCAGCGAAGCCCTCAAAGAGAACGTTGCTGCAAACAATCAGACACGAGTCCATGACAGCGTTGGCGTGCTTCTGGTTGTAGGACGCATAAGAGCTGAAGTAGCCGAAACCAACACCTGTTGAGAAGAAGACTTGGCCTGCTGCAGTTTGCCAGATGTCGCCTGATGCTAGTTTCTCGCCGTTCCACTCGCCAAAGTACAACTTGATTCCACGGCCGGCGTTGGGGAGAGAAACTGATCGACCAACAAGGATGATAGTTAGGATAACAGGTAAGCCCATGGTGAAGTAGACAACACGGCCAGTTTGGCCGATACCACGGAAGATAGAAATCCAGACGAGGAACCACACAAAGGCAGTCCATCCCACAGTCTCTCCGATTAGTGCAGTTCCGGGATATTGAACGTAGTCCGTGACGCCGCTCGACGTCTTGTTACCGGGAATAGCATCAACATTCTGCACCACATCCTGGTAGTAATACTCCTCGGCACGTCCCTCCCAAGGCAGAGGGCTCTGGAACGAGTTTCGGAAATAGATCATGATCCAGGACAAGTTGACGACGAAGTAAGGGCTAACCATGAAGCCAATGTACAACAGACTGAAGCCTTGACCCTTGAGACGGTGGTGGATGTTATTGAAGGCGACGACGGAGCCACCGCGGTAGGCTTGCCCAATAGCAACTTCGAGAATAAGAGCCGGGATCGCGATGAGGAAGACACACATGAGGTACGGGATAAACCACTGCAGGCCGTTGTTGTTGTACACCTGAGAAGGATATCGGATGAGGTTTCCCATACCGGCACAGCCTCCCATGGCCGCGAGCAGGAATGAAGCTCTCGAGCCCCATTGATCGCGCCCATCTGCAGATTGTGAAGGCGGAGGCGATAGTATGTTGCCCAACTTTTTGAGAAATGGAGGGATCGCCATGTTGGAGCCGATGCGTCCGAGGACGACGAGAAACGGAACAGGTTTTGCTGAGTTGTATAAGCAATGAGTTCCTGTATCGACGAGGTGTGATGGGCTGTAACAAGGCGAGTATCTCACAGGAGAAGAGGTCAAAATATGCCACAACCAGACCCTTTCTTTTCATAAACTCAGGAAACTATACGAGCTACACGCGGACAAGAACGTCTTTTTATCACAGATACCAACACTCAGATCCAGCCAAGACTCTACTTTTCTTCCTTCCCTGTCTCTCTTTTTCCTGCAAGGAGCATCATCCCACAGGACGGGGAGATGTTGCTCGCTGCAGCAAAGCAAACAGAAGATCGACTTGGCAGACTCCATTGCAAATGCTTGGCTTCGTATGACAAGAAAAAGCGCATGCGAACCAGCTCAGCTCGTTTCAATCCTCGAGACTCCGCTGCCAAGATGCCCAGAGACTTGGCGTGTTGGGGCCCCCGTCCGTGAGGAGGGGAGGATTTACTTCTGCTGACCATTGCGTTCGTGGAAGAATGAGAGATAGCTGAAAACTTATTTGCTTCTGGTTTTAAAGATTTCTTGTTAGTCTTGGTGATGGGGAGTTGTATGTGGTTGAAGGTGACTGCTCAAGAACCACATTTAAGTAACTATCAAATTAAGCATAAAGCAAATAAACGCTGACTCCGCCAATATCACTATCAACGCTTATTCCCGCTTTTTTCCTACTCAAGAAATCCATCGGCGGTTTTTTAACAAACATGTTACGTCGTTACTGGAGCCCCAGTGCCTCTACTTCTTGGCAGCCTAGACATCAGTGGGTAGAACGGCACACTTTCTATCCTCTTGGCCAACAAAAAAAAGCTTCAACTAGAAGGGATTCATGCCAAGGTGATCGATGCAGAGTATATCACATGTGGCTTTTTGCGGGCATGTCCGTTGGAGCGCAGTACGTCACTCGTGGGAGATATGAGGTCAGGGTTGAGAAGAGAAGCCTTGTCGTGATAACGGCTTATGTTTAAGATGATTGCGGTGGATGACTTCCACTTTGGCTCCACGTACTATATTTCTCTTTTCTTTGATGAACTATTCGAGCTTTGGTGTCAACTCTCATACCAGCTGCTACAGGAACACCAAATGCTTCGGATGTATACCTAATCTTGCAAGCAGCTTACTACCGTATTGATTTATTGTATGTAATCGCTGCCCAAGACCCCAACGCCAAGCCGACCGTCCGGTCCCCCTAGACCATGACGTTTTCTTGCACAGCTCAACACAACTGACCAGGCACCGATATTCTTTCAACAAAGAGTGGCCCAGATAAAGGATTCAGAATCCTGCTTGAACGTTGTTGTAGTGCCAAGGATTACTGCGCGGAAGGGGCACCGGAGACAGAATGGATTTAGTTCGGTGGCTCCGGACTGTCGGCGCCGATGTAACTCTACTCTGCAGCAGCTTCGACGTTCCGAAGAGGCAGTCAGGCAGTATATGTTACGTTCTTCGATATAATGAAACTGTAGGGAAGTCCATCGTGGGGACGTTGAACGGGGAGTTGTAAATGTGTCCGTGAACCAAAGACTCGGTCTTGGTCATGGCGTCTTGGCTGGAGAATATCGATAGCGTGATGTGATCAACTCCCCGAACCATCAAACTCTGTGCCCCATCTGATGGATCACCTCGGCCTTGGCTCAACTCCATAGGTCACAAGTAGATAGCGAGCAAGTGGTGTTGATGCCATTGCCACATGTTGGTCGCAGCTGTGGCTATTCTTATTAAGGAGCAGATCACGCAATATGCTTTACAAATAGTAACTAGACAAACGTATGATCTTACAAAAGATTTAGGGGCGACTACTCTATGTGGAGAAGAATATTGATCCATGAGATTGAATGCTGTTCAGCCTCAGCCGAGCGTGATCGCTCAAGTGTTGGAGTGTTTCATTAATTTCACTGTTGAGAGCTGCAAGTCATTCGTTTTGAAACCTTTGCTCTTATTCCTGCAAGGGCGAGACGTCAATATGTTGCTGCCATACACACTGGATATGATGGACGTCGGGTCAGTTATCTTGTGGGACTGTACTTGTTATCTAGCGACAAGGACATGTATATCTACATGAGTGTAATAGACTTGAACGATATGATTCTCATATGTATGTGTGTTTATGCATTGGCAGCGTTACTCGCTCACGTGAAGTCTAATGATAATCTTAATTTATGCTCTCAACAACCCTTCAACAGTGGTATCTTCTCCTCTCCGCCATCCCTATTCCAACACTACTCACCATGGATACTTAAAATGCCCAGCTCCTTCTTTTTGCTTTACGGGTCCTCTAGATCTCCCGGTTCCGGCTTGACTCACCAGTCACACTCTCTTCATACTCAGTCAACCGCAACGCCTCCTGCACATCGTTGACGAAGTGCCCTTCGCCTGCCATCTCGACAATTCCACTGCTCACCATCAACCGCCATACAGGGTGGTCCTTGCGAACTGGGCATCGCGAGAAGTATACGCGCACTCCGCGATCAGTGTAGCTGCGGACAATCTCGGTCAGGACTTGTGTGCCTGAACCATCCATGGATGTGACGCCGTGGATGTCGAAGATGACGTTTCGGTTCATGTCGGTGCTGCGTAGACGAGGCAGAGCTGGATGCGCCTTTGACGTGCCGTAAAGTTCCAGTCGACGGAGTCGAGCCTTGAGTTCTCCCGTGTTGGCAAAAGTCAAAGGCTCGGGAATCTTGACGATAAGACAGCCCTCCACAAACTCCAAACTTGCCTTGTCGCCTTCGGCATTCTCAAATCGGTTTGTTCCGGGAATTCGGCCCAGGATCTGAATTCGTGGTCGCGTGCTATGCTTGATGACCATGAGCATCGATAATCCTACACCGAAGGCCATTCCAAGGGTGAGCGAGTAAAACATAGTTGCAAGGAAGATGATGGCCATAAGGCCCAGTTCAGTCCAGCCGCGGATCTTCAGGAAGAAACTAATGTCGTGGGGCGCCTCTTCTATCAGCGAGTAGGCCACGACAGAAATCATCGCTGACAATACAGGTTTCTACGAAATATTAGCTCATGTACCAGAGATTGTGTGCTTGTGCGACTTACCGGCAAGTAGTAAAAGTACGGAAGAAGGAAGAATATGGACAGCAAGGAGATGATGCTCAGAAACATGGAACTAGCAGGACTCTTGCCACCGGTGCTCTTATTCACCTTACTTCGACCGTATCCGCCAAAGGCTGGCAAGCTCATGAAGCAACCGCCAACCATATTGGCAATACCAAGTGCGATCATCTCTCGGTTGGCGCTCAACTGAATGCCCTGGATGGTCTCGCTCGAGCCCAGACTCTTTGCAGCTACCGAGGACTCAAAGAATCCAAGGAGGGCAATCAGAAAAGATGTCGACATGGCGCTTCGAATATGAGGCATGTGCTCCAGCTTGAAAGGCCACTGGAAAGCCAGCAGCTGGCCGTTAGCAGCCTTGACTGTTCCGAGAACTTCAACACCCTGGCTTTCCCAGTCGAGTTGCCAGCAGAGAATCGCAGACACGACAACAACCACAAATCGATCCGGAATATAAGCAACGCCAGGGTATCGAGGTTGGAGGCGGTTCTTCATTTCACTAAACACTCCGTTAACACTGGATCGGTAGCAAAGCCACAGAGGCGCCACTTACCGGCAAATCATGATGACAAGAAAGCTAATTCCTGCCACGGCGAATGTCAACCCGTGCACCTTGTCAATGTTGCTAATCATAAACCCGATCTTTTCAACAGGGCTTCCATGGCTCACGCCCGCCTTGTCAGCCAGAGCAGCGAGTCCTAACTCAGGAATCAACTGGTCAACGGCAATGACGAAACCAATCGCACTGATAAAGCCACGCAGGAAAGGTTTGCTGAGCACGCTGTCCATGAAACCCAGTCTCGCAAGGCCAGCGATGACAACCATTGCGCCCGCCATACCAGCGACAATACCGCAGATCTGCGCGTGCAGCATATTGTTGTCTTCGTCTTCTCCTGAACCAACGTTCTGCTTGACAACAGAACCGACAAGTAGAGAACCCGCAGCCTCAGGGCCGACTACCATTTGCGGACAGGATCCTAGCAGGGCGTAGATGAACGGGTTGAAGACGAAAGCGTAGAGACCGTGGATTGGAGGGACGTGGGCAAGGTTCGCAGCGAGAGACAGGGCCATCGGCAGATAGAACGAAGCCATGGTCACGGCTGCGATGAGATCGCCACGGAGATATGAAACCTTGTACTGGCGCATCCAGTTCAAACATGGGACGTAGTACGCGAGGTACCTGGTCGGGAAGTCAGCCAGTCGCTTTACACTCGAGCTTTAGCTCACTTACATGAATGTTGTATCCTCGAAACCAGCCTCTTGAGCCAACACACTGCTGTGGCCCATTGTCTTTGTTCGCATCCTCTTCTTCAGCCACTTCTTCCAGTCTTCGTGGCCAACGATTGTGGTGATTGCGTTATCCAGAACAGGAATGTGCGTGCCTGACCCTGCAGTCTCGCTACCATCCTCGTCGGTGCTCCTCATAGTCAACGTAGGACTCATGGGTCGCGGACTGAAAGTGCCATGGCTACAAACACCGGGATGCGCAGGGTGGACGCTCCCTCGACGATTGGCCGGCTTATGGTTGTTTCCGTCGATCAGAGGGGTAGACTCGTTGGCGAAGATCTCGTTTATTGTGGCCCCGGGATGTCCTGGCGAATCTGGCGGGGATGCGACGGGTGCACTTGTCGGAGAGCCAGGACTTCCTGGGGATGACTGTTCATTCTCGCCTCGACTCTGGGCGCTGAGAGCTTGGCGAAGAGCGCTTGGTTGAGCAGGACGGTGGTCGTTCCCTGAGCTGGTGCGGTTATGCTCGGGTCGTTTCGACATGACTGCGGTTTTCGATCGAGTTGATGTCGCTCAAAGAAACTCGGTGCGGCTCGGTTTTTTCCAGTAACTGCTGTTCGTGAATATTTTCAACAATCTATATGTAAGCTCAACAGGAGAATGGATCCTGTTTCGAGCGGTGCAGAGCCCAATCGACTATTGTCGGCTGAAGAGTGCCGACTTTGTTTCGGACGAAAAGGACGCGACTGTCGACGAGCAATGCATGAAGTTGATGCTTGGACCTTGCAAGCGATCAACAATCACACAATGTCAACTCACGGCGAAAGTAACTAAAAGAAGAGGGTTTGAATATTTTTGAAGATTGAAAAAATAAAACATGTCCTTCTAAAACTAAACCCGAGACCCTCATTCCAAGGGTTCTGTTCCCGTCCATCGGTCAGGTCCCTTGACCTTTGTGTGCAATCATCAGGCAGTTTCTCATCCTTGTACCATCCAATCTCAGATCCAGTCGCAGCTTTACAGCCAATCATCAGCAACCGTTGGTAAAAGCCACCCACCCACCGCTCGACTTTTTACTGCAGATGGCGTCTGTTCAGTGACATCAGTGCGCTAACCCCCAGGTGACTTTTCTGGCGGGGTGACCGCCATTCGGGGAATGTGGGCGAATGATCAACCTCGTGTTGTTCAGCGATCCCTGCTGTTTTGGAAGGTTGCTGGTGCCGTAAACCCGACTTCGGCCGCGAATAGATAACATAATTCTCACCAAAGTTCATGATAATATGTGTTCAATTCTCTTGGCTGACACATTGGTCAGACAAACATCCCACGTGGTAGTTTGATGTATTTTGCAGAATAACAACTTTTATGCTCTCAAATTCGGTGACATCGCTTAAAATACATATCCAACTGACTCTGACTCGTATGCACTTATATCGTCGTCTGGTGGTGTTACATAATTAGAATAACCCAGGTACGTGCCGGCTGTCCTATACCTGCTCGTTCACAAACAGGCCTGCCATACCCTGGCCTGTACCGATACACATGCTTGTCAAAAGCATCTTCTTCTTCTGCCGCCTGCACTCAGACAGACCTGTAACAATCTGTCTCGCACCAGTAGCACCCAGTGGGTGACCCAGCGCGATGGCACCTCCGCGGGGGTTAAGCTTTTCTGATGTCAGGCCAAGCTTGTCCTGGCAGTAGACAGCCATGGAGGCGAAGGCCTCGTTGATCTCGACGATATCGATATCATCCAGGGAAATGTTGTGCTGGGCGAGAAGCTTGGGGATAGCGATGCTGGGACCAATGCCCATGATGCGAGGCGCAAGACCAGCAACGGTGGAACCAACATACTTGGCCATGATAGGCTGGCCGAGCTTGATGGCGGTAGATCGCTTCATCAGCAAAACGGCGGCGGCTAAAACGTGTATTAGTAACTCATCTCAAGAAACAGCCGCAGTCGCAATAAACTTACCTCCGTCAGTGAGTTGACTGGCGTTACCACCAGTTGTAGCTCCACCCCATTGAGGGAAAGCAGCTCGAATCTTGCCAAGGCTCTCAGGGGTAGTGCCCGGTCGGATACCCTCGTCCTGAGTAAGAGTAACCTCCTTCTCCTGACCATCGGGACCCTTGATCTTGGTGGTGATGGGAACGATCTCATCAGCAAACCAGCCAGCCTTTTGCGCCGCCTCAGCCTTCTGGAAGCTCCCGGCGGCATACTTGTCCATCACGCCACGGGTAACGCCAAAGTCCTTGCTAACGTTCTCGCTTGTCCAGCCCATAGGCTGCATGCAGTCCTCGGCTTCCTGGCTTTGTGATGTAACAGCGGTATCGAAAGGCTGGTCAAGCGCGTCTCCACCAATTGTCATCTGCTCGGCGCCCATGGCGATACCGATCTCGATAGAACCATTGGAGATGGAGTGGGCGATATCGGCGGTGGCCTTGAGACCGGAAGAGCAGAATCGGTTTATGGAAGAGGCGCCGGCGGTGTTGGGGAAACCAGCGGCGAGGGAAGAGGCGCGAACCTTGTAGGCGGCCTTAGCATCGGAAACCTAGATGACTGTCAGCGCGCGCTTCTTTAATCATTAAATGGGTCGCGACGCACGTTTCCAAGGCAAATATCCTCGACAAGAGCGGGATCTAGCTTTGATCGCTCGCGGACTTCCTTAAGAAGAGCATAGACCATATATTCGAGAGTCGTGTCCTTAAAACCACCCTTCTTGGCCTTTGTGAGAGGTGTTCGGGCAGCATAAGTAATGACAATATCGTCGGGGTTCTTTGCTTGACTGGAGTTCGAAAGTCAGTTTGTGTACATGAAGCTGGTCATGGACGGTGGCGCTCACATGCTGCTAAGAGCCGACCCAGGGGCCAGGTGCTTAATGATGGAACCAATGCGTTCGGCGGCCATTGCGTATATTTGTATATTGATGGATGTGAATTGAAAGAGTCTTGTCAGTCAGGCCGGATGATGAAGATGAGGCGACAGCGCGATTGTTATTAAAATAGGAGAAAAAGATGCCGAGGCCAAGTTCATCATGCGGAGGGGTCTGGGGTCAGAATATGGACGGGAGCTGCAGCGGCTCTTGGCCTCTTGCAACGGGCGCATCGAAATGTGTGGGGTTGGGCCGAGGTAGGCTCAAGGTTGTCCGACTTCCCGAGGTTTCGGGGGGCGGAGATAATCTGGATTACATAACCCGGCATCTCCATTAAGAAATGGAATTCTACTCTGTAGACTCAGACACTACCCATTAAGCTATTTCTATTTATCTACGGAGTGTTGACTAATCGACCAAAAATAATTTAAGAACAACTCTGCTCCCATCATTACCTACCTACGTACTGTTACTTATCATAGTGTAACATGTTTTGCATCACCTCTCACATTCGACACCGTCAGTTGCTTTTCATACTCTTGAGACAACGTTTCTCGTCATGACAGAATATCCCAATACGTGACCCAGGCACTGGAATGTAAATAAAAGCTAAACACAGCAAACTCCCAGTTGTGTTGCATGTCGCATCATCAGGCCACCGATTGATTCAAGACATCACCTCTGGCTCGCGCGGCTTACCCTATAGTTGCGTCCAGATGCAAGATAGTGAAATACACTCAGACACAGTTCGCCAGAAAGTGCTCTTGGCTGGATGTTTATACACTCCAACGTACGCTCGTCATCTTTGTAGTCGCCACCCAAGTCTTTTAAACCCAACACCCAAGAGCCCGGTCATCCTCGATCGTACCGCTCCATCCGTAGTGTGGCCAGAAGCACGATCCACGGGGACCTGCCGTAGTGCCACACTTGTTCCTGAATCCCATCAACGATCCAATGGATGTTGTTGGACTTCTTGTAGTGTCTCGGGTCTCCGTAGTGCCTGGCTATCTAGACCCTTGGCTCGACAACCCGTCTTCCTCATCCGGCCAGAGAAACTTACCAACAGCCCGGATGGTTTCATACCATGTCCATTTTCGGCGATTTGTCAAAAGCCACGGCCCCCAAATTCACCAAAATGTTAGAATTGAGAAGAACATTGGTAGAAAACCAAAGTTTGGCGGGCCTGGCTACTAAAATGTTCAAAGGGTGGCTTGATATCTCTGTTACTGTAGTCTCGCTTATACCTGGAGGCTCCCGGTCGATCCATCATTGGTGAATAACTTACTATCTTACGCTCTTTGGATTCCTGTTCTAAAATATTGTGCTTTCATCGTCTCTCCTTTACGTGCCGACTCATTAGGGCAGCTTGTTACAAACTCGATTATACTAACACACTCCTTGAATTCGACAATCATTTTCCTCGTCTTGGCATAACAGTGGCATCTCATAGGCACATTTAACGTATTCCGATCTTATGGCTCTCTCAAAATATCTCCTCGCTTCTCTCCTGGCCAGTCTGGCATCCGCCACCCGCGATCACAAGCGAGGACTCTGCTTCGTCCCCAATGAGAAAGAACCTCAAGACGACAACATCTGGGTCCAGAGTGGCAGCAATATTACATGGTACTACAACTACGGCGACAAGCCTTCTCCTGTATACAGAGATGTCCCCCAAGAACAGTTCGAGTTTGTGCCCATGATGTGGGGTGTAGGAGAGGACTCAAGCGACACGACATTTCTTCAGCATGTCAAGAGTCTTATCAACGACGGGGTCAACATCACACATGTGCTAGGTTTCAACGAACCAGATGCTGGGAACGATGTTGGCGGTAGTAACATTGCACCAAAGGTCGCTGCTGAAGCATGGGTCGCCAACTTTGAACCCCTGGGCGAGATGGGTGTGAAACTAGGTCTTCCTGCTTGTACCGGCGGCTGGGGTGGCATGCCCTGGCTAAGGCAGTTCTTGGGTAACTGCACTGAGATAAAGAGTCAAGGCGGTCCCAAGAAGAACTGCACATGGGACTATCTCCCTGTGCATTGGTACGACAACTTTGAAGGTTTGGCATCTCACGTTGGTGAGCGTCTTGCCGAGTATGTACTCACCTCTTCTCGCACTTCGTCACGCATACTAACACTTCAACGATAGATGGCCCAATGCCTCGATATGGGTTACAGAATACGCCTACGCGCACCAAGAACTCAAACCCACCGAAGCTTTCTTTGAGCAGACACTCAAATGGTTTGACGAGTCAAAATTCATCGGCCGATACACGTACTTTGGCGCATTTCGCTCTGATGTATCCAACGTTGGCTCCAACGCCGCTTTCCTCTCGAAACAGGGGCGTCTTACAACCATTGGCGCACAATACCTAGGGCTCACTACAACAGGCGTAAACACTGCTACGCTTAGCCTCCCAAGTGTAGGACTGTTGGCACTGGTGTTGGCCGCTGTATTTAAAATGGTTTTCTAGGGTTGAGTTCACGAAGCCTCAATTTATTGTCTCACAAGTCATCATATCAAAAGTCAAGTTCAATAGAAGAAAATAATGCATTTCGCGCCAGTGATCATAACTAGGCAGCGGGATATCTAGACCCTTCATGAGGGCAAAACAATGTAACTAAAAAACAGAAGTGATATCAACATAACATGTATGTAGTGCAATATTAAGATTCGTCATAAGTCTCCCCCCATCAACAGATTTTCCAGTTCATAAATCCTCCTCTATCATTACTTTTTCGGTGTATCCTTCAAATGTTTTGTATCTTCATAAAGATGGAATTCGTGAGACTAAGCCTCAGTGGCTGCGAGACCCTGAGGCACAACATGTCGGTCGGCAGGTGCACGAGATGTAGATCGCTTTCCGAGAGACTCGCCAGTGTCCTTGCGTGAGAAGGAAGCCCAGGTCTTGAAGCTGGAGAAAGACATGGTTCGAGCAAGTCGACCTCCGTCTTCACCTCCCTGGCCCCAGACACCACGACGGACAGGGGCGTCCTCAAGAAGATGGAAGTGTCGCTTGGTCATCTTCCAGAGCTCAATACCGGCCACAAAGACGATGGTGAAGCCAACAGACAGAGCCCACTCCCACGTGATACCAGTGTGCTTGAAGAACTTGTGGTTGAGAACGGGGATGTAGACGACGGGGAAGACCGAGAGACCGCCAATGATGACAGACCAGAAGAGGAAGCGGTTGGAATAGATATCCTTGAAGACGGGGAACTTGCTGTCGTCGTCGGGGTTGAGGCGGAAGATGGAGCGGCGAAGACTCTTGAACTCCCAGGCGGAGATCAGAATCAACCAGGTCAGTTCGGCGAAGGTAGCAGCGCGAGCTTTGAACACGGGAATACAAGCCTCAGAGTATCTCTGGTTGCACTCTTCACCCAAGTTACCGCCATTGGCGCCATAGATGATGATGCAGAACGTGCACATAGTACAAGCACCCATGATAATACCGTAGACAATCATGTCAACAATAATCTGGTTGGTGAAGACACCACGCTTCTTGTCTTGCGGGGGCTTGCGCATGATGTCCTGGGCACCCTGTTCACGACCAAGTCCGAAGGCAGGGAACGAAGAGGTAGCCATGTTGATCCAGATAATCTGAAGAGGCGAAACAGGGAACACGGAAAAGCCGCTGTCGTCGACGAAAGCAAGACCGCAAACAAGGAGAATAACTTCACCAACGTTGGACGTCAGAAGATGGAGGACAAATTTCTGGATGTTGTCGAACATGCGGCGACCTTCTCGGATAGCAGCGACGATAGAGTTGAACTTGTCGTCAGTGAGCACGATCTTGGAAGCGGACTTGGCCACATCAGAACCAGAACCCATAGCAATACCAACATCAGCACGAGACAGAGAGGGAGCATCGTTGACGCCATCACCAGTCATGGCCATGAAGGCACCGCGGCGACGAAGAGCGTCAATCATACGGGTCTTGGTGTCAGGAGCGCAACGTGCGATAACCAGAGGTAGTTCCTCGAGGGCGTCGATCTCGTCATCAGTCATTCGGTCAAAGTCGGTAGCCTTCTGAACAATCGATTTCGCGACGTGATCAGGCAGAACACCGAGGTTCTTGGGAATGATACCGACTTCTTTAGCGATGGCCTTGGCGGTTTCGGGGTGATCACCAGTAAGCATGTGAACGCGGATACCAGCATTGGAACACTCAGCAATAGAGGGCTTAGTTTCGCGACGAGGGGGGTCGTAGATACCGGCAAGACCAAGTAGAATGAGACCCTGCTCAACCTCAGTACGGAGCTTCTCGTCCTCGGCGGGAGAAGAAGCCTGCTTGGCAGTGAAGCGGCCATCCCAAGGACGGTAAGCAATAGCAAGAACACGTTGGCCTTGAGAAGCGAGGTTGTTCATCTGCTCAAAAACACTCTCCTTCAGCTCGTCAGTCATGGTCTGCTGATCAGCTCCAGTGCCAACGTAGTCGCAAAGATCCAAGACACGCTCAACGGCACCCTTGGTAAAGACCATAGAGTTATCAGTCTCGATGATAGATCCCTTAGCACCTTCAGGGGCATCGTAGATAACGGACATGCGCTTGATGGAGCTGTCGAAGGGGAATTCGGCAATCTGCTTCCAGCCGTCACCCTCGAGAGTCTTCTTGCCAGAGTTGAAGCGGTGGGTGAAGACCTGGAGAGCGATTTCGGTAGGCTCGCCAGTGACCTGCCACTTCTCTTCCTCATCATCGTAACGGACGGTAGCCAAGTTGCAAAGGGCAGAAGAGAGCAAGAAAGCCGAAAGCTCATCAGTCATTTCACATTCGACCTCGGGCTCGGGCTTCCTGGACTGGTTATTGTTCTGATTCTGGTTAAGCTTCTCATCTGGGACATCGAACTTGAGAACGGCGGCACTTCGCTCACGATCATAATCACGAGGAGCTTCCTTCTCTTCGGGTTCGGCATCATTCTGCTTGGAATAGGTGACACGGCCCTTGGTGGGGTCGTTGGGGCTCTGAGAGTCGCGGACAGTGTAAATATGGGAGGAGGGGATCCAAGCCTTGCGAACAATCATGGCACCTTCGGTGAGAGTACCAGTCTTGTCGGAGCAAATGTTGGTAACTCCTCCGAGAGCTTCGAGAGCGGAAAGATCACGGACAACGACGTTGGCCTTTCGCATGACAGTGACAGCAACAACCATGGTGATGGTCAAAACAGCCACGAGGGATTCGGGAATAATAGCGATACCCAATGAAGTGGCATAGATAATGACCTCGTTCTTCATATCAAACTTGTTGACGGCAAACACAACAATGGCAAGAATAATGGCACAGCCGAAGAGAACATAGGCGAGAGCTGAGAGCTTTCGCTGCAGAGGTGTTCCCTCAGTAAGACCCAAGAACTTGCCAATAACATCGTATGCTCGCTTGGAAGCACCAACAAAAGGCTGCTTCTTTCCGTACTTCTTGTAGTTCATAGAGCGGCCAGCCTTGCGAGTCTTCTTGGAGGTAGAGGCGGCGATCTTTCCGACTTCAGTAGACATTCCGGTGGAAGTGACAATACCACGGCCACGGCCCTTACGGACAACGGTGGTGGCATATGCCATGTTGACACGGTCACCGATACCAATCTCATCCTCGGACTGGACAAGCTTCTCGGTTCCAGGAGCGGTGATATTGTTGTCGGTGATCTTCTCGACGGGGATGGACTCGCCAGTCAATTGGCCTTCCTCGCAGGCAAGGTTCATGGCTTCAAAGAGGCGGAGATCGGCGGGGACTGTGTCACCCATCTTGAGGAGGACGATATCACCAGGAACGACTTCGGGGCTTTAAGAACGGTTAGTGTTGGAACAAAACTTATTTGCAGGCGCGAAAACTTACTTGGAGATAACCTGGGTCTTGCCATCGCGAAGAACCATGGCGCTGGGAGAGGACAGAGCTCGGAGAGCATCCATGCGCTTCTCAGCGCGGTACTCTTGCCAGAATCCAATGGTAACATTGAGGACAATAACAAAGACAAGCACACCACCTTCGATGTAGTCTTTGATACCGAAACTGAGAGCCATAGCAAATGCGAGAACCTTATTGTGTATTAGTATGACCAATTATACGGTAAGACAGCGTAACTTACAATAATCATGGCATTGAGCAATTGTTTGGTCAAGATACTATACCAAGGTATAGTACCGCCAACGTCAAGCTCATTCTTTGGGTATTTCTCCTGAGCTTGCGCAACTTGTTGGTTTGTAAGTCCCTTGTCGATACTGGTACCGAGGGCTTCCGCCGTCTCCTCAATGGTGAGGAGAAACGGGTGCTTGGGGTACTCCGCCGCCATGGTAGATGGCTTGGAGGATAACGACCAAGAAAGAGGAGGAGGGCGGGAGGGAGAGGAAAGCTTAAACTATTGTTTGTGTTTCTTATACGTGTAGTGAATGCGCGTATCGTCGGAAGAGTGGTAGTGTATGTGGTTGAACTCTGTACAAGATAGTTGATAGACTATCTCAACGGCATTGAGGAAGGAGTGTAATTGGTGATAGATGTAAGTCTGAGCAGGAAGTTCCGATGCTCGGAGTAGGTATGATGTATATGTAACGGGTATAGATATAAGTACTAATTAGAGTGTTGTTGGTGATTGATAACCTCGAGCTTGATGGAAATATACCTTGGCGGGGTGCGGGGGAGCAGGTCATATATACTTGTGGAAGCGACAGAAATCTCGAAAGCCACCGTCATAAGATAAGTTGATTTGAGAGCTCATCTTGCCCTCGGAGCGGAACCTGAGTCGTCGCCAGGCTCGGGGTTTCTTGGCGTTGGTCGCTGAACCCGACAAGCGGTTTAGATCCGCCACCGAACTTGGAGTCTTTCCCCACACACCCACTCCCTACCAATCCTTGAGCTTTGATGGCAGGTGTTGAGCCTCTTTCGCTCGACAGTGGACGTTTAGCTTCGCCGAGGTGTGTTGTTATCAATTCCGTCCTGTACGGTGCTCTCCGCAACGGAGAAGGATTGCAAAACGGAGGGCTCCGTAGCGGCGTAGCCTCAATTCCCATACCATCAACCGTTTTTCACGGTTTAACTGCCGTGATGTTTTCATCTCACAGCAATAGCTTGACTGTATTGCCAAAGGCCTTGAACATGTCGCCAATTCTTTCCGGGGCACTCGGGGCCATTCTTCCAGATTCTACCGCATCTCCATATCCCAGTTCGCAATACCACCCAGAAATCCAGATAAACCGTACGTACCGCATGCTATATTCCTAGGGCAGGGAAAAGTCTAAGGGTATGGAATACATTGTCGTGAGACTATCTGGTGGTGTGCATAGTGGGGGTCTTGGCAGCTTGGCAGCTTGGCGGACTGCGCAAATGCGCAACGGGTGCAGAGGGTGGAGGGCAGACAGCGCGAGAAGAGAGATCTTGCACTTGAAAATGTGAGGTCATCGGTATGCCATCGCAGGGCCGGGTAATCGCACGGTTGCGGTGGGCATGGATCCTTTTGCTACTCACGAGGCCAGCAGCGTCTAGAGCGTCTCTTATGCTGAAGGAGCATGTTCGTTCGGCAGAGCCCTGGTCTTGATCACCATGGGCCGTTCGTTTCAACGGCTGACAACGCATGGTATAACGTTGATGCATGGTGTTGCGAATGCACTGCGATGCGATCGTGGTTTTCGGTTAGAGCCCATCCATATCGACATAGTATACCGAACATGGTCAGCATGTATCATATATTCGCTACATACCCAATGCTGTCTCATATCAATTTACGTCAATTGATACACAAGTCTTGAGCTGCAGTTACTCCAAACGTTGAGCCAGCATTCCTCTACCGTCAAGAACAAGCACCTGCCAAGTATTGATGGCACGGTACTCAACCATGCCATATTAGCCAAGGCGACAAAGCCAAGCTGACCACAAACTAGTGCTTGACCAAAGCGACAACTGGCCGAGAAGCAGAACGCATCAAGGTTTAGCTGGTTTATCACATCTTGGCGTCCAGGACTCGTCTGTCTTGGCGAGCATTCGTGATAGCTTCAAATGGTTCAAAGCCAACTTGGCGGCTCTTGGCGCTTGGGCAATGACGCGTATCCAATCGATTCTTGGAGCTCTTGAACGAAATACGCCGAATTATCGAGCGTTGCGACCCACCTTGTTCCGTGACGATCCAGAAACTCAATGTTCTGATCGTTTCTATTCACGTGTCTTTGCAGCGTGGGATTGTGCATCTAGTATGGGGGGAGAATGCACAGTCTGAGTGAGGGACACTCTTTTCTGGAACAAGTCCAGAGGGCAGGCTTGGCCAAATGCTCTTTCCCTTGTTGATTGGCTGTATACTTATCGTGTGGATCGCTCCTCCCTGTCAGCTTCTACCCCAGGAGCAACTAACCTTGCGCTTATTTTGCTTAAGGTTCTGGGCAACTGCGACGCTTGCACTAAGCTTATCGGCTACTAAAAATGAAATTGTCACATGATCCACATATCTCGGACGCATTGCCCAATAGTTGACGCAAGTTTGGTCTTGGCAAACCATATGCTCAGTTCATATTACGTCGATAAAACAGAAGAAAATATCTGCCAAACTCGCGTATTTTTCTTTCTCTTTGCCCTGGCTCGTGTTTTTAACCGTGAGACATGGTGCATTGATAAAGCACTATTTGCATCCTGGTGCGCTACTGTTGTTGCACCCTTGTCAACCTTCCGGTGCACTTTTCTTTCACGACGATATCTGCTACCTCATAGTCAATGATCATGGTACCAATCCATGCCTTACTTCTCCAGCTTTACGTTTCCTCATGCCTCTTCGGAAACCCCGTAACCAGTTCCCTATCGCCTCGCCCTGCGCCTCCTCTACCTTGACGCCAAGAAAAGAATCGTACGAGTCACGTGCTCCGCCGCGGGGATCCACCCTCCGCTCTTGGCACAGCCGAGTGGCGGCGTCGGACTTTAACCTTCGGCAAGATACCTTCAAACGCCGAGGGGAGTGTTTTCCGTCGCCGGAGAGTACCGGAGAGTACTGCAGCTTTGGTACTGTGTGGCTTCTCGGTGTGTAAAAGCAATTGCGCCGATTTACTCCGTACATGGTGTGCTATCCTAGACCCCACGTTTTTCACGTCCAAGTTCCAACCCACGTTGTGATACAACGCATTAGGAAACAACGGTCGCCCTCTATATAATTATGCAGTAGCAGGTAAGACAAGCCGCCAAAAATTGACAAACCGTGCATTTGGTGAGTACGTTGGCAAATGCGGTTATTGCGCCAATGCTTGGGATCAGCAATCAATGTGAGGAAATTTCCACCCTCCACTATACACGCTCAAGCTAGGACTTTGGGCAGATGGAAGTTAACCGATAAGATCTGGGAATACCAGGATACTGGAGCTGTCCTTTTAAGTGTAGTGCTACCACTCGTAGAAAACCTGCTGGCCGTGCAGCTCGAAACCCCGTACACTTGAGTGCAGCATGCCAAGTAGTAGGGGCTTTGACGCATAACGATAAGGACTCCCGCATTGTACGAAAATCACTGCCTGCTGCGTTGTAATCACATGAGGGGGTCGCAGCATCAAATGCAGCCAAGCGGTTGTGTGTACAGGTAGTTCCGTTACGGTACTTGCGTCTATGCTAAACCCAGCGAAACGTGGATTTGGCAGATTTACTTGTATCAAGAGATCAGTGCGGAGGCCGTTCATGGTATAGTCAGACCAGTAAGTTATTTCAGATCTGCCGTCCGTTGAGGACGTGACTGTCAATAAAGACTGCACTCTTCTTTACTTGGGCTGTTTAACCACTGGCAATCACAACAAATTTTGTACCGGCAACAACGCGCTGCTCTCCCCGAACTGCGAGAAAAGAATACTACACAAGAGACTATAAATGCCTACGGATACTTATGGGGTTGTATACGGGTCCACTGACAATCTTCGGCTCACGACTGACTCCATGCTTCTAGCTACAAATACCGTCAAACAGGTGGGGATGCTGCTAGCCAAGGCTATCACCACCGCAACATTTACTTCATCCCAGCAGCCAAGCACCTAGCATCTAGCTAATATAGATAGCCTCACCTAAAACAAGAATCCTCTTGGCATCCGCGTGCTTCGACTTGGCCGCATAAGTTAGCCACCTACCCCGGATCAACATTGCACAAGCTCTGCCAAGTTCGCCCAGCCGCCATATCTTACATGCATCGTCTTTTATTCATGATCTAGCGCCTGGGCTTCAAGGGTCTTTTATTTAGTATCAGGCATTTTCGTTTAAAGTATGCGAATTGATCTTGGCGCAGTATCGGAGGATCGGAACACCGAGTTCTTAGTATTCTAGCTCATAGGCCGTTTGCTATGGTGCATACAATATTGATAGGGGAGAAATCATTTAGTAAAATGGCAAATTCTATCGACTAAGATGAGCGGGTAAGAGTGTAATCAATTGCGAGACCAAATCCTTACAACCAGTTGAATTTGTGTAACGATAGTATTTCGCGATTTGTACGTTGTGGTGACCACGAAGGTTAGATCTGAGTTGGTATTGGATAGCTCAAGCTAAGACTGGGTTAGCTAGCTGTCAAGCCATTGGACTGATGGAGGGGCTTTGAACATCTCACGCCTCGGCGGCTTACGAATCAAGAATAATCCAAACCTTATCTTCCTACGTTTACCTGGCGACCAGTGACTATTCCACGAAGATACAAAGATGATATTGACTTTCTGATAAAATTCGTTGCAGAATATCCCCTTGAAGTCAGGATGTCAGCTCCCAACCAGACAAAGCTGGACCTCCGGTTTGTCAGCATAAGTCACCCAGACGAGATTAAGAGTCAACGCAATGGACGGAAGATCCGCCAACATGTGATGAAGGATATAGGATACTCAAGACGGAAAAAGAAATCGAATCAAAATATTAAAGCGGCCTCAGATGATTTGATATCTTCAACATCTTACCAACAACTTTTCGAACCACAACCCAACTCAACTACCCAGCATGGTATTATATCCCCATCGCCTGTACAATTTCTTATTTCAAATTCCGATTCGATACTGTATTCGAGAACCGACACACGGGCAAAGATGATGAAAGAATTTCGTAAGTCTTATCTCTCCTAAAATACCAGCACTAACAAGAGCCAGTGCTCCGCCCAAAATCATCTTTTTGTGACAAGGTCAGAGAGGTGTGTTTTGCTGTTGGCCTCGCCAACGACGGCGCTTTCCATCTCGCACTTGCAGAAATCGCCCTTTATGGCCATGAGAAAATCGAATATCTCCATCCAGGACGAGAAGATGTGAATGCACTGAATCACTATACTTTCTGTCTGCAATACACCAGCCGAAAGATTCAGGCCATGGAAAACTTGATGTCTGATGGTCTGTTGATCACTGTGCTATGTCTCGCAAACTACGATGTAATTTTATGCTGGCTAGATGAAAAGAATCAAGCTGATCTTGCTAAAGATGAACATCGGTAACCTTGAGCGTTATGCTGCTCATATGTCTGGCTTGGAAACGATAGTACGAAGTCGTGGAGGGGTGGATAAGTTTCGGTCCACCCATCTTGTATTGTCTCTGCTTTGGTAAGATATAATCAAATTTGCATGATGAAGTCTTCAACTAACTCAGTAATGTTAGGTCAGATGTCATAGGTTGTCTATCGTTGGACCAGCCACCTAGATTTGAAGCTCCTTCTTATCTATGGGACCAGACTTCACCTTCCTCTATAAGTCCTACATTGAGTAGCATATTCCAAGATTTGAATAATCTCTCACCGAAGCTTGCAAGTATATGCGAAGTGCTTGAGTCTCTAACAAGCGTTGTGGGAGCATCACGAGAATCGAGGGAGACCTGCTCCTTAACTATTGCACGAAGCGCTCACTTTCTGCTCTCGATACCCCGAAACAATCCACTGGACGTAGTGAGCAGCCCTTATTCTTTAAGATTTATAGTCCACGAGACCATCAGACTAGCCGCTCTAAAATTCCTAGTCACAGCCGCCGAGCACACTCACTACACTATTGGAGCTGCTCAATACCGCAAGCCTCAACTTTCGAATTTTATCAGGAAACATGAGACCTTATGGACTGGTTTAGAAGAGCTTCAGCTTTGGATACTGTCTATTGCAGCAGTGACAGAAGAGAGCTGCGATAAGGCCTGGCTAACCGATAAGATGTCTCTTCTGATGGGGAAGCTCGGGTTGAGGTGGAGCGGGCTTGGGATTGCCCTACGTCAAATTGCTTGGGTCGATGATTTTGACGCTCGATTGGGTAAGCTAGAAGAGGATGTATGTTTTTGAGGTCTATGGGGACATGGCGAGTCGATTCGTTTTTCTCACTGCAACTGATGAACTATTCTAGAGTTAATGCATCTAGACCTTCGATATGAATATTTGCTAAACATGGGCAATTGCATGGGACGTAGACCGGCTAGCTTAAATCCTATATCTCGGACTACATCTTTCGGACTCTGCAAATAGTGCTGACAGTGGATTTCCTCAATTACGGAACCACAATCCTTTCTCCATATTAGTCGCACTAGCGCCCGTCAATTAATTTCCCGCCTAAATACTCAGTGGTCAGCTCGGTTTCGAGATGGAGCTAAGCCTCAACGTCGCCATTCTGGGGTCACATTCGAGCATAATCACAAGAGAACATTTGGCCTAGTCCCAATCCCCCAGATTTTATCCTATATACCAATGCTACTCAACCCTAGCCAAGGTAGTGAGTATGTGGCTCAGAAGCTCAGCCATAATCGGAAGGATTCTTAGTTTAAGAGCTAATGGGATGATCGTCCCGGAGTGCGAGCAACCACATCTCTGTAGGGTAAAATTGAGGCTGTCAGTGATCCTCCCTAGGCAGTCTATAAGAAGAGCGATTCTTGTTGTCCGCTCTTTGAACACAAAAGATTGTATCCATCATTCCAGTAAGACAACATGAAGTTTGGCCATCTCTTTTCTGCCCTGGCGTTATACACCAGCGGAGGTTGTGCGCGCAAGAATCTCACTCCGCAACGAGTGGCCGATGATGTAAAGGCAAGCGAGTAAGTACAGAATTTTATTCTCACCATCATGAAAATTGAGGGCTAACAGCATGTAGCCTAGACGATACCCTTCAGAACCTATATCAAATTGCTCTAGATAATGGCGGCAATCGAGCCTTTGGTCTTCCGGGCTACAACGCTTCCCTTGACTTTGTTCTCAGTCACCTGCGCCGCGGCAATCACTTCGACATTACGGTTCAGCCATTCACCCACCCTTTCTCCCACTTTCGCAAGATCTCTTTAACCGGCTCCGATGGAGAAAATGTCGCCGTGGTCTCGCTGCAATATAACCATGCCACACCCCTCCCCGGTGGTGTTACTGCTCCTTTGGTATTGGTTCCCATCGACGATACACGCGGCTCTGGCTGTTTCGAAGACCAATGGAAAGATATTGATGTCAAGGGGAAGATTGCCTTGATCAAGCGTGGAAAATGCCAATTCCCTAATAAGCTCAAGCTAGCCAAGGCCAATGGTGCCGCAGCTGCTATTGTCTTCAACGATGATCCCAAGCAGACAGCAGGCTCGGGCTCTCTGGGCGCCGAGAATGTTGGTAAACTTGCGCCTGCTGGTGTCATTACGTATGACATTGGCACTGCTTGGGCCAAACGTCTTCAGGATGGTGAAAAGCTTGAGATCAATTTAACCATTGATGTCTCTGTCGAGAAGCGTGAGACTTGGCAAATTATCGCGGATACTAAGGAGGGTGACGCTGACAACATCGTCATGTTGGGCGCTCATCTTGATTCTATTCAAGAAGGTCCTGGTATCAATGACAACGGAAGCGGTGTTGCCGCCCTACTTAGTATCGCCCGGTCGATCAAGAAGTACAAGAACTTCAAAAACAAACTCCGGTTTGCCTTTTGGGGCGCTGAAGAAAGTGGAATGATCGGATCGACTCACTACGTGTCTAATCTGTTGAAGGAGGAGGCTAGCAAGATTCGATTTTACTACAACTACGACATGATCGCCTCTCCAAAGCCTTATTACATCGTCTACGCTGACTCGGGTGCACACAAGGCTGGCGCCAAATACCTTTTCGAATTTCTAACAAAGGAGGGATATCCCGCCGAATATACGTAAGCCAACCTAATTAATCTTACACTTTGTCACCTGCTAACATGTTCAGACCCTTCGGAGCCTCATCTGACTATGTCGGCTTCCTTGCGTTGGGTATCCCATCCTCGGGGATTTTCACCGGCGCGGGAGCCCCCCAGGATGCCTGTTACCACACTGCTTGTGACGACATCAAGAATATCAACAAGGAGGCATTCTTAGTCAATGCAAAGGCTGCTGGATATGCGGCCGCAAGTCTTGCTTTGGATGTTGATGGTGTGCCCAAGCATGAAAAATCAACCATGAACCCGTTGAGCAAACGCGGTATGGCGCGAAACATGGCCCGATGGGCGAATGTTGCTCGAGGAGCAGAGAAGGTGCATAGTTGCGGTGGCGAGAAGAAGATCTTGATGTAAAGAATGTGTCATTGAAATATTGGAAGTTTTGAATTTAGAGACGAGGTTGGAGTTCATGGAGATGCCATGTAATGGGGATGAGCTTCTGTATATTCTCTGATGACATAGTAACGAGGTATTCACCACAATGCGTATTTATGTCTTAACAACTATGGTCTTTATTGAAATTCAGAGGAATCAATCGGAATGACCAGTGTAAACGAATATCTTTTGCTTGATTTTGAATTTCCTTCCCTATGTAGATAAAACCTTAGGACGACCTTCAGCATCTAAATCGAACATATCTTCCTCAATCTTGGCACCGTTTTTAATAGCTTCTTCAAGTCCTCCCCTCAGCATATAAGGATCAGTCGAATACCCCTTGTGCCACTCCCGTCCCTCGTACTCTTCTTCTACTGGCTTCTCACCCGTGGCCTGAATAGCCTTTGCGCTTTTTTCAATATTGCCCCATACTCGAAGGATGTTTTCACCCGCGAGCAAGCGGATTTGCTCATCTGTCGCACCGCGCTGCATTAGCACTTCCATCAAACTAGGATATTTGGAGACATCCTCCAATCCAATGGGGACATTTGACATTCCGAAGAAATCAGCGCCGATTCCCACGCAAGTCCATCCGCAGACTTCTGCGATGTGGAAAATATGGTCTGCGACGTCGTGGATTGTTGCTTGTTCGGGGTGTTTCATGTTGAGAAAGCGATTTAGGAAAACAGCCATGACAATGCCTCCGTTGTGCTTGACCTGGCGAAGGACGTCGTCAGGAACGTTCCGGAGATGCTGTTCAATTGTGTATGCTCCAGAGTGTGAGAAGATGACTGGTGCTCGGGCGATGCTAAGCACATCCCTCATTGTTTGATGTGACACATGTGAGAGATCGACCATCATTCCCATCCGGTTCATTTCCTTGATTGCATCCTTTCCAAGTTTCGAAAGTCCTTTGTCTGTGCTTCCAGCAGCTACAGTCGTAGCAGCCATTGCAAACGCATTGTCGCAATTATGTGTGATAGTCATATATCTCGCCCCCAACTCGTACATCTGTCGGATACTCGCAATGCTGCCGCCGACCTGATGGCCACCCTCGATGCCAATCATACTCGCAATGCGGCCCGATTTGAACGCGTTTAGAGCGCAAGCCGAAGTATCGCAATACTCGAGGTCTTTGGGATGCTCGCGGATGAATCGTCGAGTCACATCTATTTGCTCCAGTGTGTCTCGGACGATCCACTTTGGAATGGGGTCAGCGACGACACTTATACGAGAAGAAGTTTTAAGGACAGTCGTGACTCACAGAAGGATCTTCAAAGTGTTTCTGTTGTTCATCGCAATCTACGTAAACACTCCAGAACTGACCGCCGACCATGCCTTGCCTCAAGCGTTGCAAATCAGTATGCCCAAGCAGTCGGTTTGAAAAGTCGAAGCGTTCATCGTAGATACGATTCTTCAATTCAAGGCGAAGCATGAAAGGTAAGTCATTGTGTCCATCTATCAAACTACGCAACTGCAGTTAGTGACGTCTGTATACACAATATCAATCAACCTACGGCGTGGTCTCGAGAATTCGTTTGGTGCGTTCCGCATAGTTCTTGGGATCAATTGACTCCTGGCCGGGCCACAGGAATGTAAATGGACTCAACAGAAGCACAATTCCAGCGGTGATTATTGGGTATCTGAATCGGGACCACCAAGCAGTGCCAGAAGAATTGGCATGTAAAATCAACGCTCCATCGCGGTTGTTGGTTGATGTACTCGCGTGAGCATCATTCAACGGTGGACTGGTTTTTCGAGGCGGGAAGGCCACACTTGGTGACGAGTCAGCCATTGTAAAGAAGTCTGAAATGCAATGAGAAATGACATGGCTACCGCGAAAAATGGCTGAACTTTTAAACTTTATACGACTTCATATCGGAGCAAAGTATGTCACTGAGTCATGATTTGTTATCCTTGCTAACCAGAGAATGTGGGGGTTGTCATGAGTGGTCATCCGGGATTGCAGCGGGAATAATGTGAGTAGTGAAATTCGGCGAAGGTATGACCTCCAAGTTCTGATTCTGTCTTCAGTTATCGATCAAAATGTGTAGCAATGATTACATATATCATATTCACAAACTGTGGCCAAGAAGTACAGTTACAAGATTCTACGATTTTACTATAAATACCATCCACTCGCTCAGCCGAGGGTGACTCAGTCTTGTACTCCACGGATCAAATTCTTGATTCCCTCCCCTCTCATTGTCCTCTTCCACGCCTCAGGGGCCTCTTCGAAAGGTACAATACTGCTAATCAGCTTTGAAACAGAAACTTTATTTGTTTCAAGCAAATCCAGAGCAATTTCAAAATCACCAGAGCCATAACGGAAACAAGTCTTAATCACAATCTCCTTCTCACACATAGCGTGGATAGGCAGAGACTGCACAGGCTTGCCGAGTCCAATTTGCACAAAAACACCACCGGCTGCTAGGGATAAGATGCCAGTTTGGGCTGAAGACTCAACCCCTGTGCATTCCAAGACAATGTCGGCACCTTGGTCAAGATCTGCTTCTTTTTTAAGCCGGGATGCTTCTTGCTCAGGAGTTGAACTCGAGTCTGGCTGAAATATATGGCATTGGAGGCCCAGCTTTGCGAACTCGAGTTTGTCGGGTTTGATATCGGCAATGACAACCTTTCTAGCGCCGTAGGCTAAAGCAGTTGCTGCAGTAAGATAACCAACCGCCCCCGCTCCTTGGACTATGACACTCTGACCAGGCCGTACATCGGCGAGACGAACACCGTGGACGGCAACACTCAGAGGCTCCACAAGAACAGCCTCTTCCAGATTAACAGAATCAGGGAGTTTGTAAGCAAAGTCCTGAGGGATCTTAAAGAAACGAGAAAGCGTCCCATGAGTAGATGGTGGGTCTGCGGCGAACTTCATTTTCTGGCAGAGATTGTATCTTCCAGACTTGCAGTAGCTGCAGCTTTTGCACGAGAAGCCCGGTTCGATGGCTACATGGTCACCAGGCTTGAGGTGCGAAACGCCTGGGCCGACTTTGTGGACAATTCCCGAAGCTTCATGGCCCATCACCAGAGGCTGTTGTTCAGAGACTCTTCGTGCGAAACCACCTTCGGTCCAGAAGTGAACCTAAAACTTATCAATGATCAGATGGGAGAGTATTTAAGAAGCTGATACCCACATCGCTGCCACAAACACCCGTGTAGGCGATTTTGATTATCACATCGCATGGGTCCTCAATCTGAGGAACTGGTCGGTCTTCGAATCTAGCGTCTCCAGGACCATATAAAAGACAGGATGGGTTCTAATTGTCCACTGTTAGTTATGTCTATAGTGTTTCAAGAACTTGCTTACTGTTTCAGTCATTGTATCAACTTTTACACAATTACAAGAAGGTAGACTTGGCTATTTCTCTGCATTCGGGTAACTTATATGATTAAATAGCACGGATCCATGTGCGTGGACACAATTTCTCTTGTAATTCCAATCAGGTGACGTTCGGGTCACTATACTCCGAGTGAGGGGAAATGCAACTCTACCAGCGATGATGCTACTGGCTCATAAGGACTTATGAATGATTATTCATTTGATTATTTAAAAAAAATATCGTTCTGTACATGACTGCTAGCTGCAGTTGTCATGTTATGAGGATAGTGTCTGGAAGTGTATCTAGCCGGCCAAGATTTGTACATGACAAACAGTAGAAGTTTGCTCTCGTCTGGCGCATCTAGGCCTTTCTTGGCTGCGATATTCCGCAATGCTTATTAGAAGTTTGAGAAAGTAATTGATGTAAACCAGTTAGTTACGTATTAAGCGTACAGGCATTCTCCTCGTCAAGCTGGGCATTAGTAGTTCTTCTAGAATTTAGCTAGATCATGACTATGAATATCGAAATCTATAGTTATTCAATGTGAGCACAGCTAGCATGTCAAATGAGTAAGTCTAATTTTTCTCTAGCCCAGAGTCTAGTGAGATATATTATTTGCAACCCTTTCAAGGCTCTGCTTCCTAACTATCTAAGGAAGCACATATCCTCCATCAATAAGCAAGTCGCTACCCGTCATGTAAGTCGAAGCGTCACTCGCAAGGTAAAGATAAAGACCCTTGATCTCCTTCACATGGCCTTGTCTTCCCAGTACAGCCATGCGGTACGCCTCGTTAAGCGCCTCCGGACTCGCACCCATCTTTGTGTCGAAGAATCCAGGAGAAACAATATTCACACGAGCGAACTCGCGCCATTCTCGAGCGAGGGACTTTCCGAAATGTGTGATAAAGGCTTTGCTTCCGTTGTAGACTGGTTGATCAGTTGGTACGTTGACGATGTGGGCGCTCATGCTGGATGTGATGATGAAGTTGCCGAAACCTTGACGCTTGAAGATCTCGCCGGCGTATTTCGCTGAAAAGACGACACCGTCGACTGTAGCTGTTAGAGGTGCTGTATACAGTAGGTAGATGCTACTTACCATTCACCGACATCTGTTTTCTGTATTCATCGAGGGTTTGCTCAAGGATAGGTTTTGAAATTGCCATGCCTGGTGATATTTCTTAGTTCCAAATTTGATGTTGAGCTCACTTTGACTGGAGACTCACCTGCATTCGCAACATAGACATCAATCTTTCCGAAATCATCGAGCACCTTTTTCAAAGCGTCCTGAATTTGCTGTGCATCGGATACTGATCAAGTCTATATCAGCTACTGTAAAGTTTCACAATTGTCAAACATAGGTACTTACCATCAACTTTATATGCAGAGGCCTTGATACTATGCTGCTCTGATAGAGAACGAGCCTTTTCAATAGCAGCATCGTTTCTAGGACAAGATGAGCTTGTCTGCACCTGTGTTGAAAGAATTGCCATAGATAACTCACGAATTATACCATAGGGCGACATTTCCTCCTGCCTCGGCGTATCCCTCAGCTACAGCGTATCCAAGTCCATCAGCAGCGCCGTTGACAACGAGGACCTTTCCATCCAAGCGGAACTGCTCCACCACGTTGGAGGGGATGTTGGGGAACGGTCTTGGGAAGCCGTCCCGCACTTTGGTGGCATCTTCGACTGACATGGACATGATGAATGATTTTGTATGATAATTTCTCAGATACAATATTGGAGTAATGAATTATGATAGCAGGAAGAGGGGTAGTATCATGATCGAGGAACAAATTCACTGCAATGTACCTTTTTTGAAACCCCACATCGGGGTATTGTGCTCCGATTTTGGTTCCTCTCAGCAGCATCATCGTCATTCGTTATTTCGAGACAGCAGACCCTAGATTTCATGATCCAATGAATAGCGTGTCTGGCAAATCTGTACTACCCCAGTTTTATCTTATGCGCACCAGTTACTGGGGTATCAAATTGTGACAGTAAGGCTCTGGAAACGATCCACCCTGATTTATTATAGTCTCCAAAACAACAGCATCGCAACGAATACGTGCGATATACTTCAGAGGATCTATTATCTATCCTTTCGAACTTTGATCTGTTGAATGTATGCCCACATAGCCTCCATCATCATTGCCTTGCCATTCATGAACTTGACAGCAACCACTACATACCTAGGTAAGCGGGGAAGTTCAAGCTTATCATCCGTTCCATGATTGGCCGACTCCAACCCTGCGTGTTTGTACTGGAGGAAGCAAAATGTCTTACTCAACTGCATAAGAAATCTCCTCTTGCCGACAACTTTTAACCTCGCGATATTTAAATCCTTATATAGTAGGCCTTGACCTTCTCACATTGATTCACGACCACAATGTGGCTCCTCCGCCTCCAAGATGACGCCTCTTCGCTTCTTACGCGCTTCTTACGCCTCTCAGGCATCGTGCTGGCCGTGTTGCTCATGCACGCATTTCGCAAAGGGTACCAAGTCCGCAAGAAATTTCAGGCTCTCAAAGATGAAGGAATCGTATGTTACTCTAACAGCCGAGTGGGACCGTGGTCTAATATGGAGTAACAGCCCATCATGAAACATTCCATGATTCTTGGCCACCTCGAAGTTGTTGGAAAGCTCGTCTCCAGTCTTCCTCCTGACGCTCACGGCGACTATATGATGATTAAAATCCGCGAAAACTGGCGTGAACTTTTCCCTCAATGTACCAAATGCCCACCCGTTACCTATATCGACACCTGGCCTTTTACTCCTCCCATGGTGATTTCGCTCGATGCGAATGTTTCGTCTCAGTTCACACAAGAACACTCTTTGCCCAAAGCCCATGAGCAGAAGCATGTTCTCTATCCATTGACCAAGAACCAAGACCTTTCTTCGATGGAAGGAGCTCAATGGAGGGCCTGGCGTAAGAGCCTGAGCCCTGGTTTCAGTGTGCAAACCATCACCAGTCGTATCCCAGATATTGTCGAGGAGGTTGAGGATTTTGCAAACGTCCTCAAGAGTAAAGCGGGTAAGAATGGAGAATGGGGGGATGTCTTCTCCTTTGAAACGGCCACCACCAATCTCGCTCTAGATGTCATTATCCGATTCTTTCTGTGAGTGTACTCGCGTCTTGAGGAACCCTTTGCGAGGTACTGATTATAGTATGAAGTGACGTTCGCATGAATGAGCAATGGTGAAAAAGTTCGGCGCTGTGCGTTGCTCTGCAAGACACCATCTCTCGAATGTACTTCTTCGTCAATATCGCCAACTTCATCCATTACTATAATCCGTGGCGTCACTTCAAACTTTGGAAGAACTATCGTACTCTTGCCAACACTCTTACCCCTGGAGTGCAACAGCGTATGGATGTACTTCAGAAGGATCGCTCCGTGAAAGGGAAGACATTGGTCGATCTCATCGTCCAGGCCCTTGATGCAGAGAAAGCCGAACAAAAGGCTGTGGTCCAAGAGAACAGTGATTCTCCAGCCGCAGAGCTCGATGCCGACTTCGTCAAGATGGCCATTGGTCAAATCAACACGTTCCTATTCGCAGGATTTGATACCACAGCAGCGACTTTATCCTGGCTCTTCCGTTTGCTCTGCCAATACCCAGAGGTTTTAGCCAAACTTCGGGAGGAGCATGACACTGTTCTAGGACCAGACGCCTGGGGCGCCTCAGACGTATTGAGAAGAGATCCTCAGTTGCTCAACCAGCTGCCATATACCCTTGCTGTACTGCGCGAGTCGATGCGATATCGTACCAATATTGGCACTATGCGTCGCGGCGAACAAGGCTTCTTTCTCGTAGGCCCTCCAGGCTCCGGTCCTGGATTTGAAGGAAAGAAATTACCCACTGATGGCTTCATCGTCTGGGATGGCAATTTTGCAGCTCATCACGACCCTGAGCTCTGGCACAGACCGGGCGAGTTTCTACCGGAGCGGTTTCTTATCACTGATCCCCAAGATCCTCTATTTCCGCCACCCAATGGCTGGCGGTCGTTCTCAGCAGGTCCACGAAACTGCATCGGTCAGAACCTTGTTTATCTCGAAGCCAAATTAGCCATGGCGCTTGTGGTCAGATGCTTCGATATCGAGTGTGCGTGGGAGAAGTGGGACCTAAAGAAGTAAGTCTAGATATGTGTGAAGACCACGGACTGTTACTGATGTTTGGCCTTCTAGCGGTACTCATGATTCTGGCAAAGCACCTCCAACGGTTTGGGGTGATCGCTGTTATCAGGTTGGAACAGATAGTCCACCTCGAGTCAAGGATGGTATGCCAGTCCATGTCAGGATCCGCACACAGTAACCTGTTGTTTGAGATTGGTTCATCATTCTTGGGGATGTTAATGAACAGAAAGACGATATCCCAAGGTAATTGGGGGCGCAAATTGAAGTATTGAGAGCCATTCTATGTAAAAAGTAACTTGTCTCTCGGGGCGTAAAGAGGGATAAGTCAAGGTCACTTAGTCAAGCAGGGAAAGTTCGTAAACATACTTCGCCGACTTTATTAGCAACTCATGGGGATCTTCCTAACATACTCGGTAGCAATAAGATATCTGCCGTTCTGGTTCTCTCTTCCTCTCTGAACTCGCAACCTACTGGATCTTTCAGGTACAGCTATTGATCAAGCTTCGTGGCGTCCCTCAATACCGGATGATCACTGGAGATTTTTACCCCTTGTATGGCCAAACCTCCTAATGCAATGTCCTTCCTGTACGCCATGGGCTCGAATGACACACACCCGACACCCATGTATGCCTTTGAGCGTGCTTCTTCAAGGGTATCTGCATAGGCAGCCACAGAGAAGACTCGCCCTCCTGCTGTCTTCAGCGACTCATCCTTTTCGTCACTACAAGTTCCGGCATGGAAAATAACTACACCCTCCGGCGGAGGCTTCAGCGTTACAGTCTTGCCTGTCTCGTATTCAGCTGGGTATCCGCCTGACGCAATTACAACATTGCAGGCGAAACCTGGTTTGATTTTGATCGTATCTTTTGTTTGCTCCAGTGTTCCGTTTGTGCATGAGAGCAAGATGTTCGCCAGATCGGTATCCTCGTGTATAAGCAGCATTGAGCTCTGAGCTTCGGGATCGCCAAATCGAGCGTTGTATCCGATCACCTTGGGGCCAGAATCTGTAACCATGATTGCAGTGAAGAGTAGGCCTTGGAATGGTCGTCCTTATCGACTGTTAGCGGCCAATCAAGGTGCAACGGAACTACTCACCCTCTTTCTTCATAGCGTCGAATGTGGGCTCCAGTATGCAGTTTTCAATCTGCCGGAATACCTCCTGAGTCACCATTCGCACAGGTGAATACATTCCCATGCCACCAGTGTTAAGTCCCATGTTGCCCTCTAGAGCACGCTTGTGATTGTGGCCTGGTGGGAGGGAAAAGAAGGTCTTGCCGTCGCTGAATGTCAAGATGCTGATCTCGTAGCCTCTCATGTACTCTTCGATCACTACCGGGGTGCCAGGCGAAGAGACTTTGCCATCGCTCATGATGCTACAAAGATCATCCAAAGCCTGTTCTTTTGTCTCAGGGAGTGCCACGCCTTTACCGGCGGCGAGGCCATCTGCCTTTATAACAACGCGGTGATTGTTGTCCGTAAACATGCGGCGTACATATGTGTGGGTAGCTGGCAGGGAGGCAGAACTGATGTAGTTAGCAGTAGGGATGCCCCATTTTACCATGAACTCTTTCGCGAGGACCTTGGAGCCTTCAAGCTCTGCGGCCTTGCGTGATGGAGCGAAGCAGGGGATATCGACTAGCTTGTTAGAGAGTGTTATCACCTCGGCTCCATGACTGGCTCACCTTCTCGAAAGTGCTCCTCGATGCCATTCACAACATCATCGCCAGGGCCGACAACAACCAACCCAACACCAAGTTCTTTGGCGTGTTGAGCCAGCTCATGATTGTCTGAGATCTCCTGTGTAATATTAGAGATTGCGACTGTATTGTCCTTGGCCTCGATGTCTTGCGTGCCCGCGTTTCCAGGGAAAACAAAGACTTGTCGCACAGATTTGGCGTGGCTCAGCTTCCAAGCTAACGCATGTTCTCGACCGCCTTTCCCAGTCACGAGAACTGTGAGTGAATGGTCTGGTAGCTCTGACGACATTTTGTCTCTAGTTGGTTACTGCTGATCTTGCTTCGGAGTGTGTAAGGGTGAGGTTTGAGTTCATCACCATGTGTGACAAAGCGAAAGAGATGGATCGGAGAGCTACGGCAAAAGGAAGGTATGTTTGAGGCAGGTGTGAACGCTGCTAAACACATGCCGGGAAGGTTAAAGTGCATCGTACCTGAAGTCAAGAACTTGGGTTGCCCTGCCACTGGGTCAAGGATACCTGAAGTCATAATTCTGAAGCATGAGGTAGGTAGGTACTAAGGTAGACTGGAAGAAGGATATTAAACAGTTTGTTCTGTCACAAAAGTTACAGGACCTCAAATGTGCAGACTATTCGCATCCAGAACACCACACAAGACAACTTAAGAGATAAAATATTGGGCTATGGTTCAGTTTCCATCCGCTGGAACAATGACGATTTCGTCGTCGGTCAGCAATTCGAGGTCTTCCTCGCCAATAGCAGGACCTAGAGTGCACATACACCTCTTTTCCACCCACCAATGCATACATAAGAGAAACAACAAAATAGGCATTGGATTGGGTGGAACTGACATATCTCTGTATAGGCAGAGTGATCTTGTCATATTTCCGATACGTGATCGGTGTTAAGCCTGAAGTTGCGGAGCATCGTTGCCAAGTGCTGATTGCTTCACAAGGTTTCGGGAATAGGAGACCGTAACTCCGCGATGTGAATACTATAAGATCAGGTTGCCTGATGCTAATTGGGGGGTTAATAGCACATAATTGACCACAACTTCCTTCGATCTTCAAAAAATGACGACTCCAGTTTGGCTCATTACTGGTAGCTCCAATGGCCTTGGTCTGCTATTAAGTCTTCGAGTGTTGAAGGCTGGACATAAAGTTATTGCAACGGTGCGAGACTCAAACAGATCAGCTGATGCCGTCCGTCAAATCGAAGAAGCTGGCGGAAAGATCATTGCCATCGATCTCTCAGAATACAAAGCAAACATCACCAAAAAGATCCAAGATGCTGAGAAGATCTATGGACGAATCGACTATTTAGTAAACAACGCTGGATACTCCCTTTTGGGTGCTATCGAGCTCTTCACGTAAGTCAATTAGTTCTGCCACCAATCCTCTACATGTGTGCTAACACAAGAACAAGGGAGACTGAAGCCGAACATCAAATCCAAACAAATGTGTTTGGTCCGCTTTATGCCCTCCAAGCTGTTATCCCGGGTATGAGGAGCCGGGGTTCGGGCACCATCGTCAACGTCAGCAGTATAGCTGGACAAGATGCCCAGCCAAGCTGCGGACTCTATAGCGCCAGCAAGTTTGCGCTCGAGGGTCTAACTGAGAGTTTATCTAAGGAAGTTAAAGAGTTCGGGATCAATGTCCTCCTGGTTGAGCCTGGAGCATTCCGCACCAACTTTCTCGAAGCCAGCGTCAAAAGCAACATCGCCGACGAGAAGGCGTATCAAGGAACTTTGTTGGAAGCAACTCTTACCAAATTCACCAACGCAGCAGGGAAACAGTCTGGAGACCCCCGCAAGGCCGTGGACATCATCTTTGAAGTTGCTAGTGGAGAGGGGGCAGCTGGACATCTGAAGGGCAAAATACTGAGGCTACCTTTAGGCAAAGACTGTTTTGCTCGCCTGAAAACAAAGCTTGAGTCTGTGCAAAGCGATGTTGATGTAACTCAGGATATTGGTATCACTACTGACTTGAACGAGAGATAGTTGACAAGTTCCAACAGATTTCTTCCCTATCCTTTATGCATAACTGTATAAGACTCTAACAATTCTTACAACCTTATATAATTTGTATAATTGATGCGAAATCTGCAAATCTTTGAAGAATTCATCAACACATTACCACATATGCTCCTCCAACTAAAGACAACATTAAAGACTGAAATTGTGGTACCAGAAAGAATTTTCCCAAATCGCTGTGAGTAAAAGCAGCAGCTCACTGTCCTATGGATCAATGTCACAAGTCTTGACACTCGTTATTCGCAGAAAAGGTTGGCATCGGCCCTTAATCAGAATTCCTATTTACGTGTGCACAATGTTTTAAAGTAAATACTTATCAGCTACCTCTATACAGCACACGGATACGGCATACGCTTCATGTATCACGCCAAAGTTATACTTGAGCAACCAGGGACTGAATTACCAGACCAAACCTTCCAGGAACGAACGATCATTTTCCCTCAACCACAATGAGCGGCAACTATTCTACTGAAAACAGCAGGCCGATATTTAGGCATCGAATCAACAAAGGTCTGGTTATCAACATTGTTTACTTCGAGCGCATACTGCGGCAACTGTATGGCGACGACTGGGGAAGTATTGAGCCTGACGGGGACGACTTTCTTATCGAAGTCTATCGAGAAGACCCAGCGCATCTGAAAGAGCAAATGCACCTATCGAAAGTTCTACGCTTTGAGTCCGAAGTATTATGGCAGTAGTTGGAACTTCTTTAAATCATATTTCATTAAAGCTTACTTGGGATCAGTTCCCAGGTTTTGTGCTACCAAGCCAAGCAAAATGGTGACAAGGTACTTAACTTAGTACCTAGGTGTCGTATTTTTAGTCCTGTCGAGTACTTCAGATAACCGAGTATCAGACTCCTAAGTACTCATGCAAGGGTCGAAGGGGTGTGGGAAATAGTATTGCTGCCTGGTCACATAGAAGCATCTTCATTCTACCTGTATGGATTAAATGATACTACAAGGTTTAGTAAACAGGACTATTCAATTGAGGAAGACAGCCCGGTGAGATCAAGACTAGTGATTAAATAGGGTATACCAAGTTTGACTTGCATCCTTCTTCTTAGTATTCGATGGGGTATCTTAATATACATTCTAATCAGAATTACACCTCAAAAGGTATGTAGGCACCCAGTATATACCATTGCCAAGTTCACACCCTCGATATACACCGACACCTCCCAAGAGTGCAAAGCGTTAACACTCATCACACAACAGGATACTTAATATGATTGTCCACGAATTTCGCCCACCTCAGCTCGTAGTGGTTGCCATCAATAATTTATCGATTAGGGACAGGTGTGAGTTTTGGACTGTATCAACTCGAAGTGTGTTGTAGGTTCATCGCTCCTCGGGACGTTTCGCTCCATCTAAGCTACATCATTCATGTGCGATGTCTTCAGGTAGAATAAGAGTGAATCTGGGAGTATTAGTATCATGTGTACAATCGTCAGAGTACCATCGAGCCATACCTGGTCGGCCACCTGAAGCCACTCCTCCATACTCCGAACGTAAGGATCCGCACTAGCGTCTGCTATTGACTCGTGGCCCCATACAACCATCTCATCGAACTCGGCCGTTATTTGCATGCTCTCAGTCTTCTCTTGTTCCTCGTCGACATCCTCAACTGGCTCTTCGGTAGCGGTTTTGGGGTCTTTCTCGGGTGCTCGTTCAACGACAACACCTCGGCATTGCTCTGGTAGTTTGACGACCTTTCCTTGAAGCTTCCTTCCTCGGAAATATGCTAGTTTTGTGCCATCTTCCCAAGCTGTTAGCCAAATTGAAGAGTGTCGTTGGCAACCAGGGATACGAACCGTCGGCGACAGTAGGGGTCCAATAGGTCGATGCTGGGTCAATTGGACCATCGTGATGTATACGGCATGGCAATACATTTGCCACTACCTTTGACTTGTTCTCGTCGGGCTTTAATGAAAAGATTGGTTGCGACATTGCAATATTATTACTTTGTTCGTTGACAAATCTAAAGGAGACGCGTTGAGACGCGTAAAGGGCTTGGCTAACATATCTGCTTATCTTATCTGGCGTCAAAGCTAGCCCAAATCGGTAAACACTTTGCGCTGGAGAATTGCAACAATCGATGAATCCAAGACTGGAGTAACCGCCGCTGCTCCATTTACGCTGTAAGGGTACCAACTAAGTCTGGCATTAATGAACGTGGGTGTTTGTATGTAGATCGATCCATCTGTTTTTGTAAGATCCGGCCCATTGTATTTACTGCCATAGCCAGAACGTAAAAATTAAAATAAAAAAACTAATGAGTCGGGCTATGCAACGCTTAGAATATTATACATGTTATTTCTATATGGGTATCTTATAAAACTGCTGTGGTGTATTCGCTTGTTTCACTTCTATCCATCATTTCTTCTTCTTTTTTTGCTTGCTCCCTTTCTGAGCCCCTCCGATTGTTGGCTTCGGTGCATACCGATTCGCATGATCCATGTCGAAAGCCGATTTGTGTTTGCGGAAGAGCAACATGGTCGCCCGCGCATCTTCGATACTGGAATGTGCACCCCCTTGTATCTCGACCCCCAACAACTCCTGAGCAAGAACTCGTAATGCGGGTTTCCTTCCGTTGCCGTACTTTTTAAACCCCGGGAACTTGGCTGTGTCTCGAATATCTTTGCCTGGGTGGCTAAGAATGAGGGCATCGAGGTCATGCTTGAGATCGTGTCCAATCAATATCCGACCTCGGAGAAGCTTGTCGATGTCTGCCTGCACTTCCTCAAAGTCCCTGGCAAATCTCATACTCTTTTGGCTGATTCCACTAACGGCCGTCCTCCAGTTCGTGACTTTCTCCTTCGGCTTCACATAAGAGTCGTAGATTTGCACGCCGTGAAAGTCGACAATGCTCACACGAGCGAGAACTGATTCATGACCACCAGGCCCCACGCCAACCATTTCGCAGTCAATGGCGATGTATTTTCCAACCTCGATGCCTTCTGCGAGCCCGTGGTTGACTTTATCCTTTGCAGCAGCAAGCATCATTGAGTTGTCCTTGGCACCCAGATTGTATGCCTCTGCAAGGGCTTCTGCGGATACATCATGGTCTTCAGCCCATAACGCGAGGGACGTCGAGGTTCCTGGCACTGTCTCCTCAATTTTTGTACTGTGTACACCTCCCATTTTCTTCTTGGTGGCTGGTCCTGGTGGTTTTGCTGTTTTTTGTGGTTTTGTAATAGTCTTTTGAGCCTTGGTCTTTTTGGGTGGTGGGTTTGTCGTCGAGGTCTCTGATTTGCGCTTCAAGGATGGCTTTGAAGCCGATTCTTCCTTAAGCTTTGCCTGAAGCTTCTTCCAGTTGGAAGATAGTGCCGCCATTCTCTTAAAAAGAAATATTTCCAAACATTAAAATGGAAACCGAATGCGATGTGCTTGTATAAATCTCAGTGAGAAGCAACCAGCAGGAAATACTTTCCGCGAAATGAGACTAGCGGGGCTTATGCATCTGGCGAAGGACTGATAAGGCCAAAATCAGTTCACCGCCTTACTGATAAGAGGCTAAATCATTTTCTGCCATGCCCCTCCAAGAATAATCTATCATTTTACACCTTGCGACACACTCACGACGACACAACAATCATCAAATTGCACCCGCCCAAGCCATTTCCATCATGGCTGGCGGTACCCCTGGTGGCGAACCTACAGTTGGGTCTGGTGAGCCACGGAAAAAAAGCCTTGCGACAGCCGAAACAGTACAAACAGGATGTATTGCCTGGGTAGAAAAGGAAGGCCAGCCGCGACGCGCCGAGATCCTTAGCATCAAGACAACCAAAAGCGGCAAACAATTCTACTGTAACTTCGACAACTTCAATAAGCGACTTGACGAATGGGTACCTGTAATTAGGCTGGACTTCTCTCGCGAAGTAGAGTGGCCAAACCCCGAAAAGGATAAACCCAAAGACCCCAAGACGAAAAAGGCTACCACTGTACAACAATCTAAAAAGACACAACCCTCCAAGAAGTCGCAGAAACGACCCAGCAAACGAGAACAATCGGTTGCTTCAGAAGCAAATACCCCGCATCCTTGGACTGGTATGTATTGATTTGTCTGTGACTGACGACACCCAGCTAACATCCCTCTTGACTTTGTAGACTCCCAAAACCGGCAAAAGTCTGCCTCGATCGGTCCTGATGGCGAGAGCCAAGCGCGCGCCAGTGTTGATGGAGGCGCAACCCCGGCTGGTGGTGATGATATGGACATAGAGGAGAAGGAGACGGAGGTCAAACGGGAACCAGCTGAGTTCAGTCGCGAAGTCGAGATCGAAAAGCTTCGCACATCCGGTTCGATGACACAAAATCCGACCGAAGTATCGCGAATTCGAAACATCTCCAAAGTGCAATTCGGTCGTTTTGATCTCTACCCATGGTACTTCTCCCCGTATCCTGAGATTTTTAGTCAAGAGGATTTCATCTTCATCTGCGAGTTCTGCTTGAGCTACTATGGAGATGAAAAAGCTTTCTCACGACACCGAAGAAAGTGTACGCTGCAGCATCCCCCTGGAAACGAATTATACCGAAATGAAGACATATCTTTCTTCGAAATCGATGGGCGACGACAACGAACGTGGTGTCGCAATCTCTGTCTTTTGTCGAAGATGTTTCTTGATCATAAGACATTGTACTATGACGTGGACCCGTTCCTGTTTTATGTCATGACGACAAGAACTGAAAAAGGATGTCACTTGGTGGGATATTTCTCCAAGGAGAAGGAGAGTGCAGATGGCTACAACGTTGCCTGTATTCTGACCATGCCGCAATACCAGCGTAAAGGATACGGTCGACTTCTGATTCAGTTCTCGTACGAGCTCTCCAGAATTGAAGGAAAGCTTGGTTCTCCAGAAAAGCCTTTGTCGGATTTAGGTTTATTGAGTTACCGACAGTACTGGTCAGAGAACATCTTGGAGCTCCTCGTGGGTTACAACGAACGCGAAGAGAAGGCTACGATCGAGGCAATTTCTACAGCATTGGCCATGACAACGCAGGATGTTGAGCACACCCTACAAGCATTGCGAATGCAGGTCTATCATAAGAGCGACCACAAGATTGTGATACCAGAGAAATTGATCCAGCAGCGGGAGAAGACCAAGTTGAAGAGGAAGCGAACCGTGGACCCCGCCAAGATCCAGTGGAAGCCCCCCGTGTTTACAGCTTCAAGCCGAACATGGGGATGGTAATTTAGTCGTAATATAGATAGATAGAGCAAGCGTTGAATGTCTAGATAGTTTTGAATGATACCCATCCATACTCATTGAAAAATCTTATCTACTTTGGTAAACATGCAAATGGTTCATGGCAACAGTGGGATTGTTTACCCCAGCTTCTAACAGCCCCACGTAACTCGAGCTCTGACGGAGCTTGTCTGGCGCTACGTAATCACAGAGTATCACAATGCGACAAGTGTAGCTCAACTCTTACAACATCAACAATTAACTTTGTCACTCGAACCCCAATTGCGAACCTCGCCGAACCTTCGGCAGAATTATCTTATTGCATCTCGATTGCCTCACGCATACCGAATCTCATCATAAGCCCATCATGTCGCTCCGTCTGATGGCGTCAAGCTTGCTTGGCTTAAGCGCAACTCTCGCCAACGCAAGCCCGGACGAACAGACACCCTTCGGCGACTACCGCCACATATGTCCAGATTATACACGATATGCTGGTTACCCTCAGTACGTTATTAGACTGCGCATATAGTATGCTCAGCTCAGCTAACGTTGCTTTCACACAGCCGTCCCTTCAGTACTGGTCCCAAAGAGCTTCCTTACCAACGACCAAGCACAAAATGCCGGACGTTTCAGTCAGATGCTATCGAGAAGGTGATTGAGGATATGACATCGCGTATGCAGGACCCCGACCTGGCCCGATTATTCGAGAACGCATTCCCTTCGACGACAGACACGACAGTCAAATTCCATACAAAAGGAAAGGAAGACACTGGCTTCTTCCGCATGGGAGCCTTTGGGGGCTTCCATGATGAGGGAGCTTGGCAGGGACCGCAGTCGTTCATCATCACAGGCGATATCATCGCCGAGTGGCTGCGGGACTCGACGAACCAGCTGCGGCCGTATCAACCGCTTGCAAAAAAGGATCCTGCTATCCACACACTGCTGCTCGGCGCGATCAATACACAGGCCGAGTACGTTATCGAGTCGCCCTACTGTAACGCCTTTCAGCCTCCGCCTATCAGTGACTTGCCCATCTCGTCTAATGGGCAAGAGGACAATGTACATCCAGCCTACGAGCCGCGAGCTGTCTTCGAGTGCAAGTATGAGCTTGACTCCCTGGCACATTTCCTTGCACTTGGCAATGATTTTCATGATCACACTAGCTCAACCGAATTTCTAAATAAGAGATGGTACCGTGCTCTCGACACCGTACTAAGGGTGCTGAATGAGCAGTCGAAATCGACATTTGACCCCAAGACGGGCGAGTTCCAGCGCAACGAATACACCTTCTCCCGTCGCACAGACATTGGAACTGAAACACTCAACTTGAGGGGAATTGGAAATCCCCTGAACTGGGGCACGGGGCTGATTCGGTCAGCGTTCCGACCTAGCGATGATGCGACAATCCTTGGCTTCTTTATCCCTGCCAATGCGCAGATGTCTGTAGAGCTGGGCCGGGCCTCGGAAATCCTCGCGGCCGCTGGCAAGACAGCGCTGTCTGAAAAGTTGGAGGCGTGGAGCACAAAACTCCGCGAGGGAATCATGGAGCATGCAGTGGTCAAACACAAGAAGTATGGGGAAGTTTTCGCTTACGAAGTAGATGGGTATGGCTCGTCGATATTGATGGACGATGCCAACTACCCATCCTTACTGGCCCTTCCCTTGATGGGATTCTGCAAGACCAGTGATCCCATTTACCAAAACACAAGGAAGATGCTATTGGAGAAGGGTGGCAATCCTTACTATCTAGAAGGGAAGGCTTTTAAGGGCATTGGTGGTAAGTCTTGCTATATCTACGCATTTTATCAACATCGACTGACACTTCACAGGACCTCATATTGGACTGCGAAATGCTTGGCCAATGAGTCTTCTCATCCAGGCTCGAACTTCAGATGACGATAAAGAGATCAAGGAATGTATCGATCTTGTACTCAACTCAGCCAAGCTTGGTCTGGTTCATGAAAGTATCGATGTTGAGCATATTACGCAGTACACGAGAAGTTGGTTTGCATGGGCCAACGGCGTGTTCGCATCAACGATCCTGGATTTGGCAAAGAGAAAGCCGCATCTGATTTTTGGTGAGGGCGCTTCGGCGTACGAGATATAATTAGCGATGCTATCAAAACAATGAAAATTTGAATCCAGACCGCTACAATAAGACAGTTTGATCGTTTCTATTCACAGAAAAGAGAGAATGAATGTGTTGAGTTAGTCTGCTGATTGACCCGACCTTGGCTTGTATCTTGTAGATACCCCGAATTCAGGTCCGCTTTTTATTACCTGTATGCACGTAATAGCTCCATGTTACTGTTGGTCAAAGTCAAATCAAGCTCAGGAGACACTCCAACTCCAACTCTGCAGGTCCAATCAATGATAATGTACAGAATAGATCCACAGTTATCCGTTCATACCCCTCGCCATCCTAGACTAGTCGGCTGTCAACCCCATTTACAGACATCCTCATCCCCATGAATATCTTACAACAGGTCCGACATCGCTCGGTTGCGCCTACGGTTAGCATTTACCGGTTGAGAGATTGCGTGCTTTTAAAAGGCCATAAATCTCAGCTCTATAGGACTTCGTGCTACAGTTCTTCTCTTGCGTCTTACTACGCTGCAGTTTCCCCTCTGTGCCGCCATCGTAGTCTCTGCCCCTCAACACCACCGTCATCATCACCATCATACTTCCGCACGGCCACAATGGCAACTAAGCCAACACACGTCTCGGACGTCCCCTCGAATCCGCAGTCGGGGAAACATCAGATTAACCTCATTCGCGGTTGGCCAAATCCAGGTCTTCTACCTGTTGATCTAATTTCAGCTGCTGCCCAGCGCAATCTCGCTGACCCAGAGATCTATGTCCCGGCGCTACAATACGGCGCGGACGCGGGATATCAACCACTACGCGAGGCCCTAGCAACATGGCTTTCGGAGCATTACAGCGTCAAGCGTGATCCGGACCGTATTTGCATCTCGGGCGGTGCGAGTCAGAATGCCGCATGCATTCTACAGAGCTTCACAGATCCCAACGTCACACAAGCTATATGGTGCATTTCACCATCTTATCACCTTATTTTCCAAGTCTTCCGTGACAACGGCTTTGACGGACGGTTGAGAGCAACGCCAGAAGATGAGGAGGGTGTTGATATCGAGGCATTGGAGGCCAAACTTGCTGAGTTCGAGAAACATGCGCCAGAAGCAAAGGTAACATACTTCAAACAACTTGTAGGCAATACTTGTACTGACTTGATTAGTCTCCTTTGAGCGATGCTGGAAAGTACCGCAAACACTACCGTCATGTCATCTACGCTGTACCGACATGCTCCAACCCCTCTGGCAAAACCATGTCTCTGCGCCGTCGAGAAGCCCTCGTTCGACTTGCGCGGAAGTACGACGCTCTCGTCATTTGCGACGACGTCTATGACTTCCTCCAATGGCCCATCGACAGCGACCCCAGCAAAGTATCTGCCAGTGTAAACGGCAACGAGCACCCCGAAATGTTGCTCCCTCGCCTGTGCGATATTGATCTCGCAATGGGCCGCGCGGACAATGATCCCCAAGGCTTTGGTCACGCTGTGAGCAATGGCTCGTTCAGCAAACTTGTTGGGCCGGGATTGAGAACCGGTTGGCTCGAAGGCTCGCCTGCGTTTGCTCACGGGCTTGCACAAACGGGTTCTACGAAGTCTGGTGGATCGCCCAGTCAGTTCTGTGCATCTCTGTTGGCCGACCTGGTTCAGTCTGGGTCTCTCCAGGAGCGAATTGCTACGACACTACGACCTCAGCTTCAGCATCGACATCGTCTGATGATGGATGCCATACACAAGCATCTCGAACCTCTGAATGTTGGTATTCGAGATGCTGGTCTCGTTAACGGCGGCGTCTACGGTGGATACTTTGTCTGGCTCACATTAGAGAAGGGTCTTTCAGCCAAGATTGTTTCCCAGGCTGCAATTGACGAGGAGAACCTAGTCCTTGGAAACGGGACAATGTTCCAAGTGCCTGGTGATGAGAAAGCTGTTGAATTGGACAATGCAGTCCGGTTGACCTTCGCATATGTGCCTGAGAAGGACTTGGTAGAGGGAGTAGAGAGACTGGCAAGCGTGCTGCAGAGGATAAAGTCCAACCCAGAAAAGTACAGATCGCTCGCCAGCTCGGCGACAGACAGTGATCTCATAGATGCAAACAAGTAATCAAAATATGTTTTCTTCTGTCAGCCTTCATCTCCTCCAGACTTTTAAATAATGACGATATAATCCCCCTATTTCTTGGCAAAGAACGACATAATGTTCCCCTGTCCCTTCGGTGCAGCCTTTTTCGCCTTGGATCCAGCGGATGATGAAGGTGTTGGTGTCGGCGCAGCCTTCTTAGCTGGTGCAGGTGCCTCGTCTTCTGAGAAGGACTCCCAGCCTGGCTCTTGAATCGTGACTTTTGACTGTTAGCATCATGACCCAAAATAGTTGCAGTACGGACTTACCCATGTATCCCTGATCATCAAGAATTCGCTTCTTCTTCATCACGCGTCTCTTACCCCTCCTTCGTCCATCGCCGGTGCTTGAGACCATCTCAGCAGGCTCTTTTTCTTCCTTCTGACTTTCGGGCTCAGGCTCAGCTTCAGGCTCTGGCGCTTCTTCCATCTCTTCATCAGCTTGCTCAGACTCCTTATCAGATTCCTCCTTCTCATCTTCATCGTCGTCTTCCATCATCTTTCGTAGCGCATCCTCGCGTTCTTGTCGCTTCCGTTTGATGTCCCCTGAGTCGACCACAGGCTTGGATTTTGAACTGGTGCCGACAATATCAGAATCGTCCGCTTCACCATCATCAGACAGAGCCATAACTGTGTCTTCTTCCTTTTTGGGTGCAGCTTTGGGCTTGGCTGGTCGAGCGGCCGCCTTTGCGAAAGATTGCATAATACCACCCGACACACCCCTCTTCAGAGATGGTGCCGGCTTCTTTCCACCACTTGGAGTGGGTGTGCCCTCTTTGGATGAAGGCGCTGAAGATTCCTGCTTAATGGACTTGGTTTGCTTCGTTTCTGGCTTTGACGCTGGGGCTTCTTGCTTGACGGTTGTAGACGATGTCGACTTTGGCGCAGAAGTGACTTTCTTGACAGGATTTGAGGGAGCTGGAGCAGAAGCTTGAGCTCGGCCCTTTCGCTCTCTCCGTTGAGCATTTGGGTTACCAATAGACCCATACTTCTTAGATGCTGCCGCGATGTCTTCCAGAGAATACTCCGACAATTGTGTTGTGATGTCTGACAAGAGAGTAAGGTCCTTCTGGGGATGAGGTGCAAGGCTGTAGACATGAATTGAAGTGACTTTCTCGTATGCAGCCAAGGTATCTACTGATGGTTAATTATGCTTGCTTGCAGTAATACTGACGTTAGAGTTGTTCACCTTTAAGTTCCTCTTCTCGAGCAAGAGTTATGGTAGAAGTCGGGACCTCATCTGATAGAGGCTCCTCGGGCATTGAGCTTGACATTTCCACGTCACCGTCCGGCTGCTGGCTTTCGGGGGCTTTAGTGCCATAAACGAGGTAAGTGGCATGGACGGAGTTGGTTTTTTGAGCATTTTGGTAATTGTGAAAGTCGTAGAGCATCCTAATAGCTGTGAGAAAACGAGATATAACTTGTATGTGATGGTCTTACTCTTTTGCGGTGTTGACATGCACATCTAAAGCTCGACTCAGGAGCCGATATGTGATCTACGCCATGTCAGTTTGGGCACTGGGGGGGTAAGAACTGGAATATGGTACATACCGGACGCTCCTCGCTGAGCAGACGATCCGCGAGGAATTTCTTATGTTCGTCCATCTTGGTCGAGTATTTACGAATATTTTGAGCTTAACCGGAGTCAGTGTCAAATAAAGTGGAAGATGCAATTGAGTATGCGCATTGAGACTCAATCCGCTGAAACCGCTATCCCTCATTAAAGATACCCGGGTAACGGACGCGTTAAGCGAACGCGGAATCACGTGCCACACTCCGACCATAATTGACTAAGAGCATAAATATTCTTCTAGTGGGGTAGACGCTAACTCTGCCTGGTGTTAGAGCGGGCTTATTGAGCAATCAGGCTCTTCACATTACCATCGTCATTCCAACTATCGCGTCTCCAGCGCGACGACTTTATTCTGGGCCCGGGATCGCAACACTGCCCCCTGTCTTTGTTTCAGCGAATTTCAGTTGTACTTTACACATTGGCACTCAAACTTTAGTCCATTTTGCTCTTCATTTCACTGCTTTTTTCTTCCTTTCACCTCAATCTCTGCCTCCATGGCCGATCACGATGTTCCCGACTCGACGGATTGGCTCTCAACGCCTCTTGCCTCCCTTGCCGCTGTTGAAAGCGCATTGCGATGTCAAGTTTGCAAGGACTTCTTCCGGACGCCTATGATCACGACTTGCTCTCATACATTCTGTTCACTATGCATTCGAAGGGCATTATCTAATGAGGGAAAATGTCCGCTCTGTCGGGCACCAGAGCAGGAGCTCAAACTACGGAGCAATTGGTCGGTAGAGGAGGCTGTAGAGGCGTTCGTGAAGGCGAGAACAGCGACTTTGGAAATGGCACGGAACCATGATGGACAGCGAACAACTTCTAAACGAAAACCTGTGGAGGACCATCACGAGTCAGGAGATGCGCCAGACGGCAAGCGGCTACGTTCATCCTCGCGACTACGAATCACACGAAATGCCACGTCTTATACAACACCCACAGAAGAGGATGAGATTGTTGAAGTATCAGACGAGGATGATGATTTCCAACCAGAGCCAGGTAAGCGCGCATGATCTAGAAGTGTAAGAACTGGTTCTGATAAATTACAGAGGATGGTCTTGTTGCATGTCCAGTTTGCCAAAGCCGGATGAAAGAATGGCAGGTATTCAAGCACCTTGAAACATGCACGGGTTCTACACCGAAACCCCGTCGGACTATCGCGAGCAGTTCGAGCCCTGGTGCCGGCCAGCATCGACAGCAAACACCGACTTTCGAACGTCTTCCTGCGATTAATTACTCCATGTACAAAGACCCAGCTTTGCGTAAGAAGATGTCAGATCTTGGAATTTCGAGCCAGGGCCCCCGCACCCTTCTTCAGCGTCGACACAAAGAATGGATGACAATATGGAACTCGAATTGCGATGCTGCACAGCCCAGAAAACATCGCGAGTTACTACAGGACTTAGAAACATGGGAGAAGACTCAAGGAGGCAGGGCTCCAACTACAGGCCGCTCGGCTCAGAATGCTGCCGTTATTAAGGACAAAGACTTTGATGGCGCAGCATGGGCGGCTAAGCATGATGCATCTTTCCAGGATCTGATCAATCAAGCGAGAAAGACCAGACTTGAGGCCAAAAAGAAGGCCGAGGCAGCGGCAAAGGAGACGGCCACCAGTCTGTCTCAGGAACCCTCAAACTTCATGGGGTTGCCGTCAAGTACGGCTGAGATGTCTGCCGACTTATCCTCGTATACGGCAATCCCCAATGGATATTCTCAAATGCCTCCACAACCTCAATTTGCTGTCTCACACGATAGCAACATGGATATGGACAACCAGAGGGCATATTCTTACAGAGATGTGCTCCCACAAGACCCAGCGCTGGGTCAAACATGGTCACGGAATGCCGGAAACAATTCTTGACTTGGAAAAAACGGCGTAATGATGGTGACGGAGTATATAGTGAAAGCATGCTTCAAGATACGAGATACCACGTAATGATATTAGAGAGGAGACACAAGTGTCCCTCGTGGATATATTCTAATGAACTACGACCCAATTGCACAATCTCTAAGTTCAAAAACGCCCGGGATATCCTGCTGTATAGTCATGTACACGTGTGAGCTGTTCAATTTGCCCTGATTCTCTTCCTCTCCCGAGTCCTTACAGCCGGCATCTTCTATATTGCCAGGTTCGCAATTCCAGTCTCGGCTGTGGGTGTCTTCTCCTTTTCTCGGATTTCTTCAGTGTCGGCCGGCACGGCTGGCAGTTTGTCGAGCTTCTTCTGTGCCTCGGCCGTCTCCCGCTCCTCGCGAGCTTTCTGCTCTTCGGCCTCCTTGCTCTTGTTCTTCTCCTCTTCTTTCTCGCGCTCCTGCGCCTCCATGGCCTCGAGTTCGTCGTCGAGCGCACCCTCGTCGACCACTTGGCCTGTGGACTCGGCCATGATGGCACTGATCTCGTCTGTTGCAGTTGTCTGTTCTCGGATGCGGTCCATGACAGCGTCGACGCGATCCGCGCCGCCGACCTGTTCGTTCAGGCTCTTCAGCGCACCCGAAGAAGCCTCCATGACATTGACGAGCTGCACGTTGTCGGCGGCCTGCTCGAGCTTGGCGGCGACTTCCTCCAGTTGATTAAGAGTGGCGTAGCGAGTGGCCAAGGACGTCTCTGCAATCTTCTTCGATTTGAGTGCTGCGAGAGCCGAGACACGGTTTTTCCGGGTGACAGCGTCTTTGGCTGTCTGTGAGAGTTCATCGATGCGTGTGTTAAGGATATCAGTCTGGTGCTTGAGGCTTTCAGTAAGCTCCTTGAGGGATGCGATTGCAGCATCGTCTTTTGTGATACCGCCTTGCTCCCCAGAGCCCTTAATTCTGATAGTAGTTCCGTCGTATTCGATAACTTCCTTATCGCGTGACAGGAACTTCAAGAGCACGTCCAGGTCGGTATCTGTCAGGCGCTGATCTTTCACCAGAGCTGCAGAAAAGGCTTTCTGGAATTGCGCCCTACTGAAAACGCGATCGAATCTTGAAACCTTATCGGCCATCAAATCGCCCAGTTCTTTTGCAGCAGCTTCCATATTCTTTACAATGACATACTGGCCAGTTGGCAGCTTGTCGTCTCCTCTTGAAGGGTCCACCACGCCCAACTGCCGGAGCGTCCAGCTCATGACACTCCATGGTAGACCGGCCCAGCTGCGTTGATATATGCTCTGTTGGGATTTTTCGAAATCGGTAAGGGGGATGAAGTCTCGGCCAGCGGTAGATTCGCGCACTACGGTGCCGAGGGCCAGAGGTAGGCCGAATTCCTTGCATTCTAGTGATCGCAGTAAAGAATCGTCGAGCTTGAGTATGAAATGGTCGGGGTTCGATCCGCGATGGGAGATCATGCCCTTGGCAACAAGGTCGGAAAGGGCCTGGCGCCATGCCGAGATGTTGGCCTGGTAGCCATCTGGGTTCAGAGTGCGTTGGGATCGAAAGTCCGAGTATCGGGCCGGTAGTCGCGATCTTGAGAATTGGTTAATATAAAGTGAACACACAGATGGGTATGGCAAGATTGTGTTACCTGCTGAAGCTTGGGTCGTTATGAATGAGGTAGTCAGCGAGCTCGCCCATGATGCAAATTCGCACGCTTGATGCGTGCGCCCGAAAAGAGTAAGTATTCAGGAGGAAGTGATCCACGGGCTAAAAGGTCTCTGCAAGCAAACAAATCGAAGATACCGTGGGTCGTAAGTTTAATGTTGTACGTTGGGTGATGAAAGCTTAAAGGGAAATTTCACGAATGACGACACATTTGATGCATCCCGTGAATGTATGCACGTCGGCGTAGCCCGTTCCATGGGGGTTGTTTGTTGGCTCCAGCCGTCACCAGGGACGATGGTAGTGGGGGTTGATTCTTGTTAGTGAGTTGACAGGGGGTTGCATCCTTTGTTTGATACCGTACCTACGGATAGTTAGTTACCAGATAAATGCCCTGCTTTGAACTCCGCCTATCAGGACCAAGTAAACGATCCTTGTTATATTTCAACTCGTTGCTCTGACTGCCTGTTTCAGATCGATGTGTAGCTTTGACATTCGTGAAGGTGGAGAGTAAAATATTGTCTTGAGGTGGCCTTTGTTTGTATTGCCTCAAATGCTGGTCGATCTAGCATCAATAGCTACTATGCCTGGCCACAGTCTGCGCTGAGTTGTTTCTTCTACTGGAGTAACCATAGAAGTCAAGTATTTGTCTAAAGGCACAAGTGGATAATCACGACAGCCAAACTCAAAGCCGAGGTCATCGTGAGGGATTGGAGATACGGATCCAATTCAGGTATAACCACCATAGCATCAATAGGGTAGTCCACAGTCTTATGTTCTCTCAGATCCAGTTCATCAATACACATCGATGACCAAACCGCGGGGGGAAGAAGGCCGGTCGTCTCTGGCAAATTTATAAATTGTCTATCGTAATTGAACACTTCATTCTGCTGATTTATCCCGTTTGATGCCCAGGATAGCATCTCGGCTACGCTATATAGTGTCAACTCTATGGCTTGCCTCATAGCGGAGCCGTGGTCTTTTATCTACTAACTTACCTTAACAACTTTATGATATAATTCCCTCTATCCACGTCACATTGACTCTACATCCTTCCTTTCAATCCCAATCACACCATCGTCAACTCCATCTTCCCCACCCTATCATCCGTCTTAGTCAACAAATGAATACCCGTCAGCTCTTCACCACCGCATTCAAAACCCTTAACATCACTTTCTCAAGGTCACATTCACGCCCGCACTCACCTACGCCCCTTTGTACTCTCTTCAATCGTCGCACCATGGCTTCTGCCGCTGCCAAACGTCTTACCGGCAAGACCATCCTTGTCACCGGCGCCTCCTCCGGCATCGGACGCTCCACGGCTCTGGAGTTTGCCCGGACTGCGCCCAAGAATGACCTTCGTCTGATCCTCACAGCACGTCGTGCTGATTCTCTCAAGGAACTCGCGGAGGAGATCAAGAGCGAGGTCGGTGATGGTGTCCAGGTTCTGCCGTTCAAGCTTGATGTGAGCAACCCCGCCGAGGTTAAGGGCATCGTGAACAATCTGCCCGAGGAGTGGAGGAACATCGACGTTCTCGTCAATAATGCGTGAGCTCTCAGACCATAAGTTACTACCCAGAGATGCATCTAACAAGCAACCAGTGGCCTTGTCAAGGGTGTTGCTCGAGCCCCTGAGATCGCCGAGGAGGATATCAATGTTATGTTCCAGACAAACGTCACTGGTCTCATCAATATGACCCAAGCCATCCTACCTATCTTCCTAGGTCGGCCTAATGGTGGCCACGGCGACATCATCAACGTTGGGTCGATTGCTGGCCGAGAGCCCTACCCTGGTGGAGGCATCTACTGTGCTACCAAGGCTGCCGTCCGCAGCTTTACTGACAGTCTGCGAAAGGAACTTATTGCTAGCCGTGTCCGTGTAATTGAGATTGACCCCGGTCAAGTCGAGACTGTAAGTCAGAATCTGTTGGACGTATCCTGCAAGGTTCTCACATGTGTCTAGGAATTCTCCGTCGTGCGGTTCTACGGCGACAAGGCGAAGGCAGATGCTGTTTATGCGTGAGTTGTCCCCTGGCAGTTGGCAACACTACTCACAAAACATGATGCTAACTACAAGCAGTGGATGTGAACCCCTCACTCCCGACGATATCGCAGAGGTTGTCGTGTTTACCGCTACTCGCCGAGAGAATGTTGTTATTGCCGATACACTCGTCTTCCCCAGCCATCAGGTAAGACACAATTGCAGCCTCAGCCGTAAGGATCTTGCTAACCTTGTGACACTAGGCTGGCGCTGGTGTTATGCACCGAAAGGGCACTTAGATAATTCAGAATAGATGAACAATAAACATCAAGGATAGATGGATTCTAAATACCATGCGTGGTGAAGACGTTGTATTGAATAACCTGGCTTTGGTTTTGTCTAAGGGATTTATCGTTATAGAGTCATCGTTTACGAAATGTTCGGAAATTTCTCTTGCCCTTAACCCACTTGTCTCCGAAGAGACAATAGACCATAAAGGTCTTGAGTCACAGGCCTTCTAAGACCGAAGAGTTTGATCTACCAACGTTCCGTTAAGAACCCATTCTGGGATGAATCGGGCTCCTGCCGTCAACAAGTGACGGCACCGCTGGGTTGCATTTCACCAAGCCTCAAAAGAGAGACTGGCATGGCACATAACATCACAAGATCACGAACCTGAACCAAAAGACCGGAAACCTTTATCATAATTCATCACCTACTCTGCTTTTGTGCCGGAATTGTATCCTCAGAGTGAATGGCCCAGTGCAGGACGCCAATGGTTCCTTTCCCCGACGCCTCGCTAAAATAAAAATAAAAATCATCAAAAACACGCACGATAAGTGCTGTTCAAATACCAAGCTGTTCATACAGACTAGGCCCAGGTGCGTAGCAACAGGTGATTGAATAAGATCGGACGCATCGTGATGCTATTCCATCTAGTCACCATAGTGTTGAAAGAGAGGGGAGAGAGCCTCGCCGTAGTGGTTACGTCGAATGGCTTCAGCCAATAAGAACGAAAGGTCGAGAACCACAAGCTTGCTGATGTTGCGTGCCCTGTCCTTATCAATGGGGAAGCTGTTAGTGACAACAATCTGGTCGATGCACTCGCATGCTTGCAGCTGCTCCAGACTGTCACTGCCAAACACACCATGAGTGGCCATGCAGTAAACCTTCTTGGCTCCACCCTTCTTGACCACAGTCTCTGCGGCAGCGATCCAAGAGCCGGCCTTGTCGATCATGTCATCCACGATCAACACAGTGCGACCTTTGACGTTTCCAACCAGGGTGATGAGATGTTCAGCACCAGGTTCTTCGAACGCGTTGTCCTCTTCATCGGAGCTTGCTGCGGCATCGCCAGATCCTCCAAGAGACTGGGGCTCAACGAAGAACGACGACGCATGGGACATTGTCATAGGATCATCCTCAACGCTGCCATCGATAACTGATCGATCAGGAGATGGGAAGTCATCCTCGACAATTCGACCTTGAACCAAACGACCCTGTGTGACCTCGGACGCCTTATGGTCATCATAGTCCGTTTCGCCGCTGTTCGTAGGATCAGGCGATCCTGCAGGAGGTGTGGTGTTGGGATCCTCAGCCTCGGCAGCGTTGGGAGTGGATGAGCGAGCAGAGGTATTAACCCGTGTGGGTGAACCCTGTGAATTCGTCATGATTCGTGAAGTCCGAGGAGGAGTTGTTTCCCTCTTAGGGGTGACTTCGGATTCGGCAAAGCGTTCAGAAGTTGGTGGTCCACGATAAGGAATAGGACGGTTAGACTCCAGCGGCGTTGGCTGGCGCTCAACAATGTGATCAAAATGTCGCATGATCATGCTAGTCGTCATATTACTGACACGCTTCCTATCGGTGGTAATAATTCCGAAGTTGAGCTTAAGAGCATCCGCAAGCGATGTCACACGCTTGGTTCCTCCAGCATTTTTGGAGACCACGACCGAATCGCGCCAGTTAGGCACGCTGTGACGGATCCACTTGGCGAGGATAGGCTCTGCATGCAGATTGTCGACGGGACACTTGAAGAAGCCTTGCATCTGAGAAGCATGGAGGTCGACAGTGATCACGTGCTTAACGCCAGCAACCCCCAACAAGTTGGCAAGCATGCGAGCAGTAATCGCTCCTCTATGCGACTTCTTCTTGGACTGCCGACTGTAAGGGAAGTAAGGAAGGACGGCTGTTCAACGAGTAACAAGTGAGCCGATTGAGGTCTCAAACAGGGGAAGAGAACCACGAACCAGTGACTTTGTTAGCAGAACCGCCTTTGCAGGCCGAGATCATGATGAGAAGCTCCATGATGGAATCATTGATGCTAGGGCTGCCCGACTGGACAACAAAGACATCCTTCTCTCGGACACTTGTCAAAATTCTGACGCTCGTTTCACCCTTGGTCAACTGGTTAGCTCAGAGCACGCAGTTTTCTTCACTGCCAGACATCGGGCAGAACGCATCGTTCCCATAGGGCGCGTCGGGAACGATTTGCCAGAGAGGTTATGTTGAATAACGATGGCCACGAGGGCAGGGGAAGCTCACATTGGAGAACTGAGTAAGCTCGGCGCTGGCAGGGTGCATGCCCAGGTTTTCACAGATTTGACCTGTGAGCACCGGGCATGAATTGCCTGCAAAGATTAGTGTGTTGCGCATCTTGGCCAGTCCATCAACTGAGGTGGAAAAAGCGAAGCGTGGAGGGAAGTAAGAAGGAAGAGAGAAGTTTGAGGTTGGAGGAAAGCTGCGTTCAGGTAGGAGCTTTTTTTTCTTCGTCCCCCCGGTTCGGAGTACTGTGTGAAGTATATTGGTAATTTACTGTCCCTCGGTCCCTCCTACTACGATATCAGTGGCCAGAGGATGAACGTCACCTAACTAGACGCTCCACAGATACAGCTAAAACAGTGCTTCACACAGTACGTCACCCCCGCAGTCACCCACCAGGCGGGGCAAGCCGGAAAGTGCGTCACGGCTTTGTATTTTCTACCTCACAGGGGTCCAAAAATGCTTATTACCTGGACTTGGAAAAGTCTCATGCAAAAGAAAATATCCCGTTGTCCAAGAGTTGACTTTCGTGGTTACTAACAAGCCTGAACTGCGTGGTTTGGGTCTATCTTCTGCAGAAATAACCACTCTAGCAGCTTTGTGTTTGTTGAAAATGCGATAACGATTCCCAAGCCCTCCATATCTCCCGTAAAATGGGAATACCGCGTCTCATCGTTACCCTAGAACCATATGTTGTTCATGGTGTTCTCGAAAACCAACATGTAGTTATAGATGGCCCGGCATTGGCATATCACATACTCTATATCTGCAACAGGCACGGAATACCTCAGCCGTCGTACAAGCTCCTAGGCGAGACTGCTATAGCCTGGTTTGATGAGCTTATTCGATGTGGTGTAAGCGTGTAAGTAGGAGTCTTCTTTTGGCTGATGTAGACTGACCACGACTTCCAGTGATGCTATATATTTCGATGGATATCTACCGCACGCAAAAGGGCCTGTTCGCATGCAACGAATGGTCAAGAGCCTCAATCAGCTAAAGGCCTTGCATTCTGCTGAGGCCCAAGGTTTCTCTTTGTCGTACTTCTCTGCTGTGGATGAAACTTCGCCAACCCTCTTTTCTGCAGCGAAACCACCAGGGAAACCGGCCCCGCCTCCTAGCTTTCATGTTCCTGCTATCATAGAAGCTCTGAGGTCTTCTCCGCGCTATGCAAAACTTATACACCTTGTTCCAGGAGAAGCTGACGCATACTGCGCACAACATGTGTCAGAATCAGGTGGCACGGTTTTGACCTCAGATTCGGATCTTTTAGTCCATGACTTAGGAAAAGGGAGCGTCGTTTTCCTTCGAGACATTTATCTAGATGAGCAGTCCAATCTTGCGTGTGCGAGTTTCAGCCCTGCGTACATCTGCGAGAAACTCAAGCTTGCTTCGTCGGCTGAGATTTGTCGATTTGCTTACGAACGAAAGTGCTCCCCTCATTCGACTCTTCCACAACTCTTACGGGACTGCGCACGGCCAATCACTGACCGTGAGGGCTACATCGAGTTCTGTCATGAGTATCTAGACCATGTAGTCGCATCTATACCCGTCTGTGTACAGGGAGCTCCAATACAAACCGGTTCTCTGGACCCGAGAATATCGGAGATGGTATTGCAATTGGGCAATCAGGACGACAAAATGGACGGTTTCAATGACCCGAAACTATTCCTTCCAATTTTGCTTGAGAGTCCATCAAGAGGGAGTGCTTGGGAGCAGAGCACTCCGATACGGCAATTGGCTTACACGATAGCCCGCTGGATTGTCCCTGGCCCTGCTTCTACCATCCAGGAGTATAGGCGTGTGAACACTACGGTGCAGAAAGGACGGCAAGTTCTTATGTTGCCTGAGAGAGCAGCAAAAGCTCGAGTCCAAGATCTTGTTAGGTTGATGTCTATGGCCCAAGCAGGACCCCAAGGTGGTGCAGCTCAAGCCTGGCACACGCTTTGCTTGACCTTGGATATCCGATATTGTCGCGAAGAAGGCAAACATTCCCATACATTGCAGACTCTAGAGGAGAGTCTGCAGAGCCCAGCGTTCAAGAGAGTTACCTGGGATATTGTCCACTTCGTCGCACATCTACAAGCAGCTTACTACTCGTTTCGGCTCTTGAAGCAAATTTTTTCGATTGCACAAACCAAAACTATGTTTCCAGAACTACAGGACATGCTGTTATCACTTCCGCCCTTGGCAGAGTTTCCCGATGTCGGAAAAACACTCACATTTCTGCAAAATGGCCAGGCAGATGTTTTCAGGACAATCTCCAGGCTTGTTCCATTACCGGATACAAATGTTGCTACGAAGCCCAAGCGAACCACCAAAGACAAGAAGCGGAAAGTCAGCAAGGAGAATGCACCCAAATCGAAAGCCAGAATCGCGAAGCCTGCAACAAGAAACTTCTTTGACGTCCTATCTTATCAGGGGTGACATCACATGTCGGATGAAGCTAAGACAGAATCAATTGCATTTCTCTGGTGATTACGGTTACATAACGATTATAACTATTTCCACAATTTCAACCACTGTTGAAGTTCCCCATATCGAATCAGCCAGTTACCTCTCGTTGCGCCGCCACCAAACCCCGACCTATCCGTGCTTTTTTTTACATAGTTCTCATACAATCATTTGTTCTGAAACTGACCCAGACCATGAATCTCATCTAGAAGTTGTGACAAGAGACTAGCCTCTTTCTCAACGTCATTCACGTCGCGAAGCAAGTTCTCCTGAGGCGCGCCGTTGCTAGCTGACTTGATAATCTTCCATGCCCGGCGGAACTCGTCTCGAATCGACACAATACCATTGTGCGTGACAGTTCGAGCGACATTGTGATCTAGCTCGAAAGGATCCTCAATAGCAAAGAGGTACCGGTGGCGAATTTCCTTGAAATCACCCGTCTTGGCGGCTGCACTACCTGACTTGCTCTGTGCCCCAACTTCCTTTGAAGCATTCTCGTTGGAGGTTGCTGTCGTTGGAACCCCTTGGTCGGGCTGAGGCGGTGGGTGAGCGCCTACGTTTTGAGCCTCAAGGACTGTCTTGGCGCCAGTCCAACCCTTCTCATGCTTCGTTCGCAAGCCACCAAGAGTGCGCAGACTGAGTACATCTCTGCCCCAATCAAATCCTCTGCCCGAGGAAGTGCTTAGCATACTGCTATGGGCATAATACTCGAAGAAACCCCGCAGAAGATGGCCAATAGTGTCGCTGTTACCATTGAGCTGGTTCGCAAAAGCCAGTCGCTGAATTTCTTCTTCGTTACGCCAAAACTGAACATTGTGGCCTTGGCACATTGTCAACTCCTCAAACTGGACAGGTGACAGCCCTGGAGGTGGCGGAGGAGCGAGTTGCTGGAGGTTAGGACTAACGAATGGTTCGGCCACATTGACCAGGTAGTGAAGGACCATCAGGACGTAGCCATAACTACTCAATGTTCCTCGATATCCTGAATTGATGCCACGCGTTTTTGCCCAATTTTTGACAAATAACACCATGGGTCGGACACGTGGATCTGTGTGAGAGTAGCAACGGAGAAGTGCTGTATTGTGAAGGGCTAGATGTGCAGAGAAGTTGATATCGCATTGGACACCTGTGCCCGTCTTAGGGAACTCTAAGTGATCTCTGTAGCGATCGCGCGGCTGGTTTGGAGCCATCTTGTGAGGGTCAGGTAATTGACGAATTCTCGTGACGAGGTCCAATGTGGTTGGTGTAAGAGGAATTAAAAATCTATCGCCAAGACCATTCTCTCCAATATGTTGCAAAGGCGAACGGAGCAGCTCAACATAGTCTTTAACGTCTTGAACAACCGATTCATCGTACAAGTCCTTGTCTATCGCTCGTTCAAATTCCCATGCAAGATGAAGGCTTTTGTGCAATAGCCCGACCCCTCGGAGTGATAAGGTCTCTTGACAGGTGGTCAGACAGTCTTGTAACATCTTTCGGATATCCTCTTGATGGATACCGCCAACATACTGGGTGACAAGAGTTTTTGTCCAGTCCGAGGCGACTTGCTCTTTGGCTGCTTTGAGGCTGTTGAACATATAAGAGGCTCTTGTGTAGTATGACATTGGGGGCTCGTGCTGACTCTGTTCTAAGATCACGAACTGCACAGATGGGGCTTTCTTGAGCTTGTCAAGGGCCAACTGTAGTTCCTTAGTATAGAATATGGGATCAAGACCAAAGTTTTCCTTGTACTGGACATCTTCCCAAGCTTTCAGTGCCTGCTCTGTGAGAAAGCGTGAGGGCTGGCTTCGCTCCTCCACGCCGTTCTCCTCCCACAGCTGCCGGATCTGTTCACCTTCGACCTGTGTATACACACCAAGCAGAGATCGCTTATTCAATGCGGCCGCACCTTGCTTAAAGGCAAGAGATGGGTACAGGGACAGTCGGGCTTGAATGCGTGCATCTGAAAGCCCAGAAATAAAAGCTTCACTGACTCGATTCAATAGTGTCCAGTCTTGATCCGAGAGGACCCGATAATTGGATATTGTAGCGTCGCGGCCGCCTGCCCTGCGGAGAACTCGTTTGGCTAAACCATAGTATGAGGAAATTGAGCTTTTGGGTCCTTGCTTGAGCTCAATTGCCTGCGTGTCATCCTCAGCAGGATTTGATGGTGTAGGCTCGATAGTGGAAGAAGGGTTCTTTTGATCTCCCAGGGTACGATTTTGGTTACCTTCGTGATCAGCTGGGGTTGCGTTCTGTTCGTGTTCTTCGTCTTCATGAGTTTCATGAACTTCATCCAGTCCATTTTCCCACCGAAATCGTTCTTCAAGAAGCCCTTTGCGCAGCTGGTCTGGTGGCGCCTCGCACAATTTGATGATGGGCACCCTGGTCCGAGTCAGGAGTCTGGCTCCAAGACCAGCCTCCAGGAATGCCTTTTCCAGCAAACGTGGGATAGGAGATCCGGGAGCATCTGGTAGGGTAGTGGACAGTGGCGAGAGAAGCCCGAGATCCATGTCTGAAGCCTTGGTCGCGAAACCTGATGACAAACTACCAAAACACTTGAGTTGAACGGTGAGAGGGTGAAAATCGACTTCTGGCTTCTCCTCCCTTTCATAAGTGGCAATGACCTCTCTGCTGATAGCTTCGATGCGGCAACGAAAGTTTTCTTTATTTGCAATTTCGGACCTTTCTATGGCAGAATTTGAGACAACTTGGAAGCAAAGCTGCTCGAGTAGAGCAGCCTGTGCTGTGATCTCTTCAGGGTGGAACTGAGCTGTGCGTCTGGCGTTGTACAAGTAGCCAGGGCCTCGGTTTGGTGGAGATGACATAGAGTCCGCGCGGACGCCAGTAGAAGGAGGGGCATTGTCATAGCCTCGGGGCCTGGACTGCTGAGGGCCGTTCCATGGACGATGAGAATATGAGCCGGTCTGGCGGTTTTCATTTGATGCAGTCCTTGACTGAGAATCCACCTGTGTGTGCCGTTGATAGGATTGAGCCGGCCGGGAGTAGTGGGGAGCAGGACTTTGGTGGTTTCTGTTCTGGGGAGGTTGTTGGTATTGCTGCTGCTGTTGCTGGGCCCGAGGGTCAATGGATATCGACAATTGCGAGCTCATCTGGCGCCTTTGTGCCTGGTTCAAGCGCTTTCGTGTTGGCTTAGACGGGTGAAGGGCACCGTCGGACGATTCAGTACGAACACTGGCGTTTCCATTTCCATCCTGACGGATGGGAGATTGTGTAGGTATGTTTGGCAAGGCATTCTGGGTTTGCGTGCCACTGGAGATGATGAGATTGCGTAGGTGGTTCTCTAGACCTGCAGGTTGGTCACTGGGGACCTCTCCTTGAGGTTCGCCGCGATGAGGAGCCATAGAGGGCCAAACAAACAACCCGCATTAAAGTGCGAAGTGCTGGTATGTAAAGGCAACAAACCCACTCAGCGACGCTTTCTTTAGTGACAAGTCTGATTGAGATGACGATGCTTTGTAATGGTTGATTGAGTATGGAGTGGTCCCATTCCGTTTAAGAGACTCTTGCATAAAAAGTTTAAGTCATCTAAAACTTTTCGTGAGCCGTTGAAAGGGTCAAAGTAAACATACACAAGCCACGACACAGTTTATGAGTACGTTCAGTCCTGAGGGTTTCGTCAAGCTTGGTCCGAAAGGCAAAGATGAGAGCGTGCTTTTTGCACTGGGTCGCCAGTGTAGGGTATATGGGACGCAGTGTATGAGAAATTCGGAGGAAACAGACAAGAGTAATGTTCTTGTTTCGAGGAAGACTGAATTGGGGCGACAAAAGTATGGAAGATGTTGTTGAAATGCGCCTGTTGGTAGATCTCCACAAAATGCAGTTATGCGTTCACTGCTTGCCCGAGATATGTGCTACAGTATTACAAAAATCGCCTCACTGTGAGCGGTGCTAACGGAAGCAGGCTACAATAAAATAGCAGTTATTTATTTGAAGTGAAACTCAGGGTACAGTATTAAGTGATATTTATAAATGAAAGGCATGATCTGAAGTTTAATCAAGCAGGATTCGTTTAAGTTCATATAAGCTGTTTAGATAGCTTCCATGGATGCTACCTGAATTAGCAGCATGGGATGCCACTGAAAATTTAAAGAGTTAATTGAGACGACAGCCGCACAACAGCGTTCAAGCAAGAGATTTTATAAACTAAGTATAAGCAAGATCTATTCAGGCGCTCTTCTGAAAGACACGAAAAGAACAAAGAGAATAATATTATGCATGTTCAAATAACGAACAAAGGGTAGTTGCTACCTCAGTTCACTGATCGTCGCACTATTAAGTGGGGGTTGGCCTGTCACTAGCCACTTGTGGCTCACCCCTGTGGTGCCTTTGTCCTCGTCATAAGATAGCATAGGTAGGTAAGTGCGCCTTCTTGCTCAGCATCTTTGTTCGTGCACCAAACACTCTCGTTGTCAATAAAGATAGAACCTCCGTCGCACTCCAGCCTGGAAGACCTGGTCTCCTGCATTATTGTTAACTTGAGCAGATTCTAAGCAACATTGATATCACGTGCGATTTCTAGACGCAGCGCGTTAGACTCTTGCTTCGCGCCCGGCGCAGAGCTAGGCTACAGACCGTGACCTGTTGTTTTCGGACCACTCTATACAAAAAGCATTTCAAGATATCGCAAGCAACTACATCAACATGAGCGCGCCGCCGCCAGGAAATCCACCGGCCAACGCACCCGGTCGTCCCAATGGCGCCCCGAAGAGCCAGAAGGCAAACCCTCTCCGACCGATGCGAAAGAAGCCAAACCCCCTGGTTTCTCGAAGACCGCCCCCCAGACCTGCGCTTCCGTCTGGTTCGGGAACAAAGAATGGAGCGAAGCCAAACATTGAGGAGGTTCGGAGGCAGAATGGAGGATGGTCGGAGCCACCACCAGCTCAGTATAGCGACATTCCCATCATGACAACAAAAAAGGCCCTTCTTGATGGTATCCGCTACCACATGATGAAATTTACACAGTCCAAACCAGGTGACAGGCCAATCGACCCGACAGATCAAGATGATTTCGCACGTCCTGTGACATTGCACCGACGAGATGCTCGTCAACCACCTCCGGGAAGAGCTGCCAAGATTGAAGCGCCAGATGCGCCTCAGGCGGATGAGCAAGAAGCTGAGAAAATGGCACAAATGAAAGCCGAGAAGGAAGCTCAGCGCGCAATTGACCAGGCCAAGATTGCGCCTGTCGCGAAGGACGCTAATCCTAAGCGGCCAAAGAAGCAAAAGGAAGAAAAGACAACCTTCAACAGAGCCCCTAAAACTGAAGCGGCCAAAAAAGAATCCGACATCCGATACGAGGAAGCCCTCCCGTGGCATCTTGAAGACGCTGAGGGGAAGAACGTGTGGGTTGGGAACTATGTCTCTGCTCTTTCCGAATCAAACGTTGCATTCATGATAGATAAGTCAGTCTTCCGCATGGTTCCTTTGGAGAAATGGTACAGATTCACATCGAAGCCTCCATTCCAACCCTACACCATTGACGAGGCCGAGGCACTCATGAGCAAAAAGGTGGACGTTGGACGTTGGGTCATGAAAGATGAGGAGAAGAAAGCTGGGCGGCAAGATTTGGAGGCCACTCGACGAATGTTCTACGGAGGTGGCCAGATGGTCAAAACCGAAAGCGCTACATTCAAGGCAGCCTCGAGATCAGAGAAACTTGACCACGACGAGATTGATATGTCTGGCGATGAATTCCAAGACGACGACGAGGCTCCCATGTTCGAAAAGAACGATGACGAAGATACAAAGGAGACCAAAGACCGCGTTCGCCGCGAACAACTCGGCGCCAATTTATTCGGTGAAGGTGATGAGGGAGAGGTTGACAAGGAATTGGACGAGCAGCTTCGGGAGGAGATCATGAGACAGAAACTCGGTAAAGCTACCAAGAAGGCGCTTATCAAGCGAGATAGAGAGGATATCTACGAGAGCGATAACTCCGAGGAGAACCCGTGGTCCAGCTCGGTAAGAATCCCTCCACACACATGGTCAAAACAATGCTAACTAGCGCTCAAGTCTGAGGACAACTCCTCAGACGAGGAAGAAGACGAAGAGAAGAAGGAAGAAGAGAAAAAGGATTCTGGAAAGGAAGACAAAGCCCAGAGCGGCTCTGGCTCGAAGGGCACTAATACTCCATCTGGCAAGAAACCTGAGGGTTCTAAGAAGAGCAAATCACTCAAGAGAGCTGGCTCTCCAGCTCTCTCTGAGTCTAGCGGAAACGAGTCTTCCCGCAAGAAGCTCAAGAAGAATGTCACATCGGCTGCTGGTAGTAGGTCGGGTACTCCTCTGCCACAAGGCGCAGCCGCCCGTCGAGCTATGGGCGCCGGATCCGGTAGCGACGGAGAGGCTACCGCTGGCGAAATGTCAGATGGCGCTGTGTCAAAGAGAAAGAAGCTTAAGATCGTTAGCCACAGCGCTCGAGGCACTCCTTCGGCGTCAAGAGCTGGCAGCCCCAACCCTACGCAGGGTGGTAAGTTTCTGCTCGATCTAGTTAAACTCCGAACTACAGCTGATGATGATTTACAGCTGCTTCTCCTGGCTCCCCTGGCGGCTCAGTTGTCAAACCGGCCGAAATCCTGGACAAGATTCCTGACGAGGGTATCGCCATCGGCGAACTTATCAAGCTCTTTAATCACCGACTTGGTACAGGTTCTGGGCAGATGCCCAAGACAGAATGGATTCAACTGGTGAAGAAGATTTGCGAGTATGGACCTGATAAGAGGCTTCGTCGAAGATCCTAGATGTCTAGATATCATGATGGGTCGGAAATGTGTTGCTTTGGTCAAGATTTATTTCCCTCGAAAGAATCGTCTACTTAGCAGACCTGAGACTGAGACGAGATCGGGGCGACGATGGATGAGATGATGCATCCAACAGTACATGTTGAGCGGATGAGATCGAATTAAAAAGCGCTCAGAAATGGGTATATAATAGAATAACCGTATCAAACCTTACTAGTCTATTCATCCATCTGCCATGAATAATCCAGTCCCTTATTTCGCTCCCTCCTATTGATGGCCTTGAACCTTTCTGCTTCAAAGCCATTACCGCGATCAACGCCATCCCATCGGTAGCCTGGCTTGATACCGTACCTGTTGGGTGGTGCTGCACCTGCGTATACTGGTTTTCGCTTCGACTTTTTACCTTGCCCCTTTCCAGATTCCTTTTTCTCGCTCATGAACTGCGTCATGGGATCGTTCCAGCGGTCCTGTTCCTTCATTTCCTGATTCATTTCTTCGTCGTCGGCGGTGCGAGCAAATGACATGAGCTTGGCATCTTGTAGCTTCTCACGTCGTTTGCGCGCCTCCTCGAGTTGCACATCGCCCTTGAGAGCTTCCTTCGCAAGTCGTTCCTTTTCCTCGGCATCGGCAGCGGCGCGTCGAGCTTCTGCGCGCTTCATAGATATGTCGATTCTCCGGCCGGTGGCGTCTCGATATACCGTTTCTTCCTCCTTAGCCGACTTGCGATGCCGTTCGAATTCTTCGCGTTCCTCCTTTTGTCGTCGCTTTAGTTGTGCCGATACAGTGGCTGCACTTTGCAATCCTGCATGTGTTCCATCGCTCATCTTGACAGCCGAGCCGTCGTCCTCGATCATCGGCATGTCCTCATCCTCGTCGCGACCTGCATTCTGCTCCGCTGCTGCTGATGCTAAGATCGCGTCTGCGGCTGCTGCAGAATCATCATTTGCCGTTTCGTCGCCGGCCAGCGATTTCCAATTGCTTTTTTTGGTTTTCCGAAACTCTGCGGATCGCCCTAATACTGTCACTGGGGCATCTATCCCCTCGTCGTCTTGCTGCGCATTGGCATTGCCCCAGCCTGAATCGTCATCGTCTGTGATAAGAAGACCGTTATTGGCTTCTGCGCCACGCTTGCGCTTTCGTTTCTTAGCTGGTTTCGGGTCGGCGACTAGATATTTCGAGGCCAGATATTCTGATAGATCTGAAGGCATTGTGATTTATGGTGCGACAAAATATTACTTGATGTTTATGTCCCAGATTTGGCATGAGTTGCCCTGACTTTCTCATGCGACGTATGCAGTTACCAAGTATTACAAACTCCCACCCCGCTAGAGCAATTCAAAGCTCAACCTTCCCCTGTTCTCGGGTGGATTCCGCTGAGCCCATGAGTGAAATGGTACGTACCGATATCATGTCCCAGGTTTCCACATGGTTGCCCAACCTTTGTCGGTAATCAAAGATCAAAGTTCCTCGATGTTCAAGGCTACATTGTTATTCACCTAATGCACCTATCTCCTCAACTTTAAGATCATGCCGAGCCGACTTGCAACTCTTACGATTTGCGATTCACCCTTACCCTCCTGCGCCTCTTAATCCTCCGAACTCCGGGCCCATATTCTAAATCCCCTACGATTACGACACTCTCCGATATCATCACAGCAAGCCGCAGGCCGCCATCGCCTTCATGCCACAACCTCTTGAGAATGAAGCTTCGCCAATGGAACCGCTCCAGGCGTTGCCAGCAGCTGCGTCTGCCTTGAAGCTCACGAAATCGAGACATTCCACCCCTGTCCTAGAATCATTACCGTTGTCGCAATCTGAAACCAATCTTGCCTTTCGTCGCTCGAATCCGTCGGCCGCTTCCTTATATGCTTCCACACTCTCCCCGCCTGGTTCGCGGTCGATATCACCAGCCGGGCGAGGTTCGCCTTCTCGAGTTCTATCGCATACCGTCTTCGATGCACGACCCAACCGGCCACTCCCTGAGACTGGGGGAGACGGCTCAGAACCGTTGAATCTGATCCTTCGAGCATTCGTCCCTCATGTCTCAATTTACACTTCAGAAGATACGGATGCCTTGATGAGTGAAAAGGGCTTCCGGAATAGCCTGTGGGAACTCCTTCGGCCATTTGGAGAAGATGTGCCAGGCAAGGTTACAATAAGAGATAGCAACGGCTTGAGTAAAGTAGCAGAGGGATTTTCCATCAGATTTACAAGATTTGGCGACAATATTGAGCATCCTGACCCGACAGTCTCGGGCTTCAGAAACCCCACGTCACAAGCTCAAAATGGCACCCAGGCAAGCACATCAAGGGATAAACAGTTTCTTACGGATGTGGAGGCTGTGGTTGACAGCCACTTGTCCTATGCAGAGGAGTCTTTCGCAGCAATGCCGCATCGCGGCTTATTCGCGGATCAAGAGACCGACTCGGGAGAGACATCGCCATATTATGCTCTGTATCTGCGGCGATTGCTATCCGGCCTTCCTATATCACCGCACGAAACCTTCTCGCATCCAATAGCATGTGTTATTGCCATTAGCTCACGAAATCCCGACCCGCTTGAAGAGTTGAGGAGACTCTACACTGAGACAAACCAAGGTGCCAAAAAGCTGCCACCTTGGGTGGACAGTGAATTTCTCAGATATTATGTGTTGGTACATGATGAAGAAAAGGACGACATAACAAAATCCATGGGACTATTCGAACAGATGAAGCGACATCTTGGAATGCATTGCCATCTTCTTCGATTGAGAAGTAGCCAGAGCGCCGAGACAGACGATGACAGTATACCACTACCCCGTAGTGATTGGATGTCTGCCCATAAGGAACTCGAGGATATCCGACGAAGCGAAGATGACGAGGATTTTGAGGACCCAACACGCTACATATTTGAATCTGATGCTACTGCCATTCGTACATTTGTGCGTGAGATGGTGACCATGTCCATTGTCCCCCATATGGAGCGGAACATCTCCCTTTGGAACGATCAGGTGGCATCTCGCAGGAGAGGCCTGACCGGTCGCTTCATGAATCTATCAAGAAAATGGGCTTTTGGTGGTAGCTCCAGAAACTCAACAGGTGGCACTAGCAATGCAAGAGACAACTACAATGCTGCAGGCTTTTATGGATCAGAAGCCCCTGAGGCTATTATGCGGAAGTTGGCTGACTACGCCTTCATGCTGAGGGACTGGAAGTTGGCGCATTCAACATACGACTTGCTGAGATCTGATTTCAGCGATTCCAAAGCTTGGAAACACCATGCAGCCGCCAACGAAATGGCTGCCCTCAGTCTTTTGATCCTTCCACAACAAATGTCGTCTAAGAATCGCGCTGAAACCATCGATCAAATGCTGGAGGCTGCATTCTATTCATACAACACCAGGTGCAGTGCTCCCTATGGGGCCTTGAGAAGCCTACTCTTGAGCCTGGAGCTGTTACGCTTGCGAGGTGGCACGAACATTGACGACGCAGGCCGCTGGGGAGTAAGGCTTCTTGAGTCAAAGATTGCGGGTAACGTGGGTGATGCCTTGATAAAGGAACGTATCGCCACTTGTTACAGCTCGAAAGAGGGAGTCGGAAGCTGGCGCTGGGGCTCACGTCGTCGCAAGTCGGCAACGTGGAGTATTCTTAGTGCAGATGCCTGGCTCCAGCAATCAAAGCATATCCAGGCGCGACGGTGTTTAGATGAGAGCCAGAGGATGTATTCGACTTTGCCTCATAAGGAGGGGATTTACAAATTCGAAGCAGCGGGCGACTTCATGGCCTCGTTGCAGCATAGTTTAGCGGAATCGCCGGGTGCCTCGGATAATGATGGTGAAGGCGGCGACGATGATAATATTGATGAGGAGAGTGAGGCACTCAACGATTTGAAGCCAAGACGGCCTAGTACGGCGGCGGCGGATATGTATCAAGATACAGCCAAGGAGGAAGGTAGCAGCACAGACGATGGGACGTAAAACAATACAGCATCCATGAATTAAGCCTTCTACATAAGATCCTGCACATATCGCCTGTTGGCATTAGCGCATTTGATAGTAGCAGTCCTTATTAACCTTGAATCCTAAGGAATTGAGGTGTGTAGTCGCGTGAGGAAATACACCTGCCACTGTCGTGGTTCTGAGTTCACAAACCCACAGAGTACCGTCGTCTTACAGCATTGTTAAAATGACATAAGTAGCCCCAATGAACATCAGGCAAAAGAAAAAGCCTGAGTTTTGTATCTCCGAACGTATATTTGCTTCAGGGCATGATAGTCTCTTGTTAATCTAGTGGAGGTATCTGAATAGTTTCGTAAAATTCGGTTCTCGTTCTGCATCCTAGGCAATATCTCGAGTCCCCAGCTACAACGCTGAATGTAGGCCAAGTCAAAACACGCCAAAATGTCACTACATCCTGACTCGATACCCTGTAAAACGCGGATGTCATACAGGTATTCTATAAAGCCTGCTCATTTTGTGCACGGCAACGAGCAGTCTCCTGTGCCACTACCACAGCCCGTTGCTCGGCTATCAAAAGACGCTGCTTGCGAAAGGCGCCAAATGCAGAAATGATGGAACAAGCTGCAACAGCAGTTGCTATCTTCATCTCGACCTTGAAAGCATCGGCGTACGTATGACGAACAGCTGACCACTGTGTATTTGACAGGCGAGTGCTGGAACTGCCAACTGTTGCTTGTTCGTAGGGGGTTAGAACGCCTGTAAGGTAGTTTGTGCTCTTCTCATTGAGCAGAGCCGATGAAGCTGCAATACCCAGACTACCTCCTAAAAGTCGCACCTGTGATAGGATGCCTTGTGCAGGGGCTAGAGAATCGTTAGCATCAGATATTCCCAGTTGCAAGACGTATACATACCATAGTCTCGAATAGGTACCTCAACCATCGACAACATGGTTGACGACGCGACAGTCAGTCCAAAACCAAGGCCGCAAAACGACATATAACCAAGCAGCTTAGCATCCCCAGACTCATCTGACAGCGAAGAGAGCAATCCACAACCGAGCGTCATGAAGCACGAGCCGAATAACAACGACTCAAAGGTAAAGTTCTTTGTAGCATTGATCTTCCCAGCTATCACACTGCCGATTGCGGACGTTCCCAACATGGGAAGTAGCATAACGCCTGCGATAAGAGCTGACTTCCCGCTGACAACCTGAAACCGCAGAGGGATTGCATAGATGAGTAGTAGATAAGGGAACCCGGTGAGAAGGGTATTGACGACAGCTGTAGCGTAGATACGATTCCGGAAGATGTTGATTGGGAAGGCGGGTGCGAAGCGTTCGTGCCATCGATGCTGAATAAATATCTGCCAAGAGACAAGCAGACCGCAGGCGAACAGCCCGCATAACAGGGGTGCAATAAAAGCGGCGTTTTTCCATCCTTCGTTGGACCTCGATGTACCAGCGTTTTGGAATGAGAATACGACCAGGACAGCTGCGGCAATGGCAAGGAATGAACCCAGGAAGTCTACTTCTTTCCAAGCACGTCGTTGTAGCTTTGGGAGATATTCAGCTTTAGGCCAAGTAAGGACGAAAATGAGAAGAGAGACAAATCCAACAGGACCACTAGATTAGTTAGCTTCGCTGAACTCAGCATCAGGGAGAAGATAATACTTGATCCAAAAAACCCATCTCCAAGAAGAGTAGTGTGTCAAGATACCGCCCAGAACAGGGCCGAGAACACCCGATACGGTTATGACAAGACCAACCAGTGCCCCCATGTGTGGCTTGATGCTTTCCGGGCTGATCTCGGGCAGCATGATCATCGTGAGGGAGTATAATCCTGTCTTTGTCAGACTGCTGAGCTGTGGTAGGGGTAATTGTGCTTACCTGAGCCACCGATACCTTGCAGAGCTCGAAATGCAATAAGCTGGTTCAGGCTCTGTGCAAAACCACATGCAAGAGAGAAGATGAAAAATATGACATAGGCTGCGATGAAGGCATCACGACGTCCGACAACGTCAGAGATGCGTGCAAAGACAATGGCACATCCCAGATAAGCAAGAGTGTAGGCAAGGGCGACCCAGTTGACGTCTTCAAGGACCTCGAATTCAACTCCGATACTGTGTAAGCTTGTGGCGACGATGGATGTGTCTATCATGGAAAGGAAGAGGCCTAGAAGAACACTTGAGGGTATCTGTCAGTCAAGTATACATAAGTATTGATGAAAATAGAACTTACCCAACGCACAAGCCCCAAAAACGAGTTATTGGGATCGTGAGCTCCTGAACTTCCTCGCAATCTGATTCTGTAGGAGTACGTTCTGTTTGGGAGCCTGGGGCAGTCTCGGGTTTGCCATCATCATGGACGCGCAAGTCACCACTCTCGAGTTCTTCCTTCATGATGGGCCAAAAAAAGGGGGATGTTGAAGAAACCAAAATACTGACGACAAGGTCAGAGAAGTAGAAGAAAAGCCGTCAGCGTGTAGAAAGTCGTAGTGGATCTGTAGGATCTGGTTGGTGCTTTTCTGCAGGAGATGCAGCAGTGCCAACAGAGGATGAATGGAGAGCTGAGGAGTGGATTCTGATTGTTCAGGTGATCATATCAGGAAGAAATCCTTTGGCGCTTCGTTTGCAGGAAGATCAGGTTCTCATAAGGCTGTTATGGCTACTTTACTAGATTGGTAGCATCAACATGCCGAGCGACTCAATCCTTTATATGATCAGGAAGATGGATTCTAGTTCGTATCGTCCTGATGAACTCAAGGGGGCACATCGAGTCCGAAAGGATTAATGCGAGCATTGCATCGCATATGTGCAGTCACAAAATACTCGCAATGCCATCCTATAAGCATCGTGGAAATGAGAATTGGAGACTACACGGTACACCTCGTTAACCAACATGGCCTCCTAGCTGCAGTTCGAGCAGGTAGTTCCGCTAAAGGACGTTGAAGTGGAGTATATCAACTCCACTCTCGCACTCGCTTCTACTGATCCTTGCAAAATCATTGGGAGTTTCACGTCAAGACTGCATGAGATTGAAGATTCATATGGCGCTAAGTTATTAAACTGGCACTAAGCAGAAATGGGCATACCATTCGAAAGACTCAGCTGTTGAAATCGCGTTAAGAAAGCCGGCTAGACGCCGCATTCGCCATTTGTCAAAAAGTCCGATTGTTAGTGACTGAGAATCTGATATGCATCCCAAGAACACCAATCTCCGTTCCGGAGTTTATTCTCTGTCTCAGGTATGCTTTCACGAATAAGTTGTCTCGGTAATGCTTACCCTCTTTTTCATCGCACTTCTAAATTCCAACTCAGCTTACTTAACCCGGAGTTGCGTGTCAAAAGTCAGACCCTGGCTTATGGTTGAGCCGCTCACATCATAAACAATACAAAGTGAACTCTATGCTTTTTTCTTAACGGTTTTCTATTGTAAATAAACTAAAAAAGCTAATCAACATTTTCGGTTTTCATTACATAGGTACCTAGGTATCCATATACCCGCCATGCTTTGACAGCTCTTTGAGAACGACGTGCTTGAAGCCTAGATTTGTTTAGGCATCTCCGCCTGCCAATCACCACTCCGTATCAGCTAAGCTCCCCACTTGTCAGCCGTGACGTAGCGTAGCTCCTCCCCCACTAGGTGTGGTGGTCAGAAATGATGTGGCTAGCGCTCAGCGACTACCAGTCAGTCTCGTACTGCGTGTCTATCACTGGCAAAATCACTCCATCGTTCAACACCATCTTATCACTATCAACGCACTTTTGTTCGAGAACGCTGTTATCGGTAATCTCGCAACACTCGTTTGTCTAAAGTCTGATCGCTCGCTGTAGGACTTGTTCGGAGTACGATCCACCGCGCGATATCTTGTCACCACTTGAAACATCCGCCACCTACACAATTCTATACACCCAGCTCAATTATGGCCGATGTCATGGCCCAGACTCCTCCGGTCCTCCATGGGCCGTCCGAAAAAGAGCGGAAATATGACCGTCAACTCCGGCTTTGGGCCGCATCTGGCCAAGCCGCCCTTGAGTCTGCAAATATCCTACTCGTTAACTCTGGTGCTGGCACGGTTGGTGTTGAGACCCTCAAGAACCTCGTACTACCTGGCATTGGCCAATTCACAATTGCCGACCAAAGTGTCGTAAGTCATGAAGATCTAGGCGTCAATTTCTTCGTGGACGATAGTTGGCTTGGCAAGTCGCGAGCAGAAGCGTGCACAAACTTCTTGTTAGAGCTGAACCCTGAAGTCCAAGGCGGATGGTATCCTCAACCTCAGGTAATTATTCAGCTCCATTTATAATAATTTTGTTCCGCTGACATATTTTAGGATGGATCGTTCAACCTCGAGAGCTTTCTCAGCAACTCACCTGCGTTCACTATGATCCTATATGCATTGCCATTACCACAAGAGCAAGTCCAACTCATCCAGAACTACGCTGAACAGCATAGAGTGCCCACGATTGCAGTACATTCGGTGGGCTATTACTCCTACTTCAAGACTTCCTTACCCGGTACATTTCCTATTGTTGACACCCACCCTGAGGAGACCGCTACTACCGACCTAAGATTGCTTACCCCCTGGCCTGAGCTTACTGAGTTTGCTAAGAGTATGACTGAGAATATCGACAGTTTGGATAATCATGAGCATGGGCATTTGCCTTTGGTCGTCGTTCTCCTCCATTACCTCCAGCAATGGCAACAAAGTCATGATGGGGCTTACCCTACCAGCTACGCTGACAAGACTGCATTCCGCAAAACTGTTTCCGAGGCCATGAGGACGAATAACCCTGAAGGAGGCGAGGAGAACTTTGAAGAGGCCATAGCTGCTGTCATGAAGCATATTGTGGCGCCATCAATCCCAAGCTCTCTCCAGCAAGTATTTGACTACATACATCAAGATCCTGTAAGTACTTACTGGCCGCGCTATAATGCTCCAGCATTAACACAACGCTAGGAAGAGAGCAAGTCCAGCTTCTGGACTATTGCAGAGGCTATGAAACGATTTTATCGTGAGCACGGCCGTTTACCTGTACCCGGCGGATTGCCCGACATGAAGGCCCAGTCCAACGTTTATATCAAACTCCAAAATATCTACAAGGAACGAGCCCGCCAGGATGTCAGTCAAGTTCTGGAAACGGTTCGGAGTATTTCTGGCGGTGACGATGTGGATTCCGAGCAAGTTGAACTTTTTTGCAAGAACGCTCGCTTCATCAAGCTTATCAACACCTCGGAAAACGACACAGCTAAGCTTGATCAAGTTGTTGGTCAGTATCATTCTTCCAAATGGGCAGAGTTCATGCTGACACCTACCTTACAGAACAGCAACTTGCCAATGACGAAATCGCAGCCGTCGCTGGCCCAGAAATGCCTCTGTCTCTTATCCCAATCTATCTTGCCCTGTTAGCAACATCACATTCCAAGACAGCTTCCTCAGATGATATCATGGCCTTCATTGATGAGAAGGCGCCCCAGGCCTCTGATAACGAGCGCTACAAGAAGACCGCTCAAGAAGTGGAACGAGCTGCTGGCGGTGAACTGCACAATATCTCGGCCGTCATGGGTGGTATGGTTGCACAAGAAATGATCAAGATCATCACGAAGCAATACGTGCCAATCGACAACACTTGTATCTTCGACGGGATCGATAGTCGCTGTCAAGTTCTTCGTCTGTAGCCAACACTCAGCCTTCATAAAACATGTTATATCGAGACAGCATCGAACCAGACGTGAACCGAGGAGGATACCGACCCACAGATGCCTGCTACGATTATTTTGAACAAACGAGTAGGTAGAGCTGAAGCAACATCACAAACAATGGCTTATAGAATCATCAACAATAGAGAAAAGTCATATCTCACCATCTTGTGAGCGTTGAAGGGCGTCCTGGAAACGTCCAAGTTTGCCCACTCGGACATCGTGCTTCAATAGCAACAGACCTCATGTTCCACGTCGCACACCTACCTGCCTAGATGCCAAGTACCAACCAAATGCACATCCAGCGTGGCAAAGGCCAAAAAGGAGGATGACCTAGGTGAGGCAAAAGAACATACAACAGCGGGGATTCGCTGGTCGTCACCGACCCAACTACTAATCCGCCGGTTAGTGGCTTGACTATGGGAGAGCGGACGGGATCCCGTATTTTCCACTACCTTTGGTCGTATGTGCTCGTTTTGGTGATAGCATTGCTTATGTATATCGACTCCTGCATGTCGCTCTCCGCAAACTATCCGGAAAGGCTCCCGCTTTTCCTTGTGAGTTCAACGCTGTCATACTGCACGACGAAGATGGTTGTCAAAGTCATACTATGACATATTGTCATGGGCCGTTGAAGTCTTGTGTTTTCACAGCCTCGTCACGTCAAGAATGTGCATAGTCAAGCCTCGCTGGCTAAGTATGAAAGACAAGGAATGGGAACTCTCACAATACCGACTCGTCGTGCAATTGGATATCAGGTCATGAATTGGTAAGCAACTGAATTTACCCCTAATTGCAGGATGGATACGCTGACGGCCGATGTTATATGGTCCACAGGGTTCATAGAGATCGAAGGTCAGGAGGAACATGTTTGTTACGTATGATCACCGCTTTTCAGCCCTCGCCAGCTTCCTCGCCTAGTATTTTGACTTTCAACTACCAGCTGTTTCCTTTGTGCCGAAAACCTACTCTTGCATATTCCCGAGAGGAGTAAAGTTAAACCAGGTCGCATCCGTCCTCAGACCAAGCCAAGATGCATAGCTGCCAGAGCTCGACCGGAACCCTAAGCAACCGGCCGGCATCAAGCATCAAGATACGACCTAGCCAGCGAGTTCCATAGGGCTATCGGCAAGTCCTCTCATTGCTCAGTCTAAGCGAAAACAACGGTTGCTTCAATGAGGCGATTAGGACGGAGTGTTTATGGACCCCGGAACGTCAGGTGGCAAGCGTACTAAGGCGTCTCAAGTTGATGAACTGTCACATCAAGGACGGGGCCCGGAACTGTTTACCACTCACCGCTCTACGGCAATACAACGTCTTCTTTTAGGGGGAAAATCGTTGTTGTTGGACAACGCCACCGCCTCTCGATGGACGAAGCCTGAGTACTGCGACCTGAGCTATTGAAACATCTCTTCCACAAGGGATGAGCGATCTACATGCCTAACTAATGAACGAAGGCCATGGGTGTGGCAAGAGCATCATCTGAAGACTTCGCAATGCGGTTTATCACAGTTATGTGTTAGTGGCGGACATAGCTCACGAGCTTAACAGTACATACACTACGATCGACAGATGTTTAACACAACGATAATATGGGACTTGCGGCCAATCGCAAAGTTTTGCTCAAAGGGATAAACATCTTATCAACTTTGGAAGGTGGAAGAAAAGTGCCAGCAGTCATCACATTTCCATGCTATAATCCGTAAATCATGTATATGATCACCTTGCCAAGCTACAAAGTTTACGTACTTTGGATCACAGACATGGGTATCGGGATATTAGGCGAAATCGAATCGACCTTAGCAACATCCTGTCCGTACGATGGCTCTGTTAGCCTACACGTTGACACCGATGGCCGGCGGCTACTAGGTAGCCCACGCCGGCACAAGCTCATGTGAATTTCGAAGCCAGGGTCAAGGGGTACTGCTACTGCGCCATGGGTCCTGAAAGTCAGGCCCATACCCCGTGGCATTGCATGTTATCAGATCAACTCACATATGGAGTGTGAAGGGCCACTGTTGTTTTGCGTTGTGGCTGGGAAATTACAGGGGCCCTTAACAGAGGTACTATGATCGACGGACATGCAAAAGGACTGTGACGAATTTTGACTACGGACCTTGCGCCTATCGGAGAGCAGAATGAAGTTATGGTGGGAAAAAGGAAGACAAGGCTTGGACACCTAGTGGGCCGGAAACACCGAGATTTCCGATATCTTTTCCTTGATTAAACACGAAAACCCTGTTCTGCTGGTTCGTGATGAAATATTGCCCTCAGCCTGCTCAAGAAGGCAGAGTATGTCAATATTCATGCAAACCGTCAGCAAGAGGCAGACAATAGGGTGTTGAGCTGCTGATGGAGGGTTAGATTAGTGTTGAGTTTATTCTTGATATAGACAACGTCCGACGTTGAATCCGGCCGAGATGGTAACCACGGATTTACGCCCCGATCGGCCGCTTGACAGGAAAATCTGGAGAAGTGTGAAGACAGCAAAAGGCGGCTCGCGTGGCGATGAAGGTCCGGCGCACACATCGCCATTGCCATCGGCATCATGATGCTATCGAGTGGCCCGTTGTGACCAGACCCATCTGCCCGGAGGGGCAGCCATATATCGCTCCAGCGCCGAGGCTGAGTCTCCAGCGACAGTGCCTGCCGAATTGCTCCGATAAACAACTCACGTGGAAAACATGGTCGGTAAATCAGGCCGGCTCATTGTGAAGTGGATGAATCTTGGCGCCGGGACCCCAGGTCTATCAACGAGCGGGCCTTGAAGTTGGAAACCGGTGGCAGATACGGATTCGGTGTCAAGAGGTAAAAAAGGTCAAAGATTGAGGACTAATTATCCAGAAAGCCAGCAAGCCACCTTCCCCAGGCGGTAACCAACAAGCCAGGGGCCGAAAGAGTTATGGAGGGGAAAACCCGGGGTGCAGATCCTGAACGGGATTCATCGAACGGGCCGAGGATCCCCAACCCTTGACCACTATACCTATTAACCAGAGTTTTGTGAGTGGTATGAAGAAGTCTCCGATGGGTCGATTAATGATCACACGCACAATGCGAGGCTCATTTGACTAAGGTACGTATGCGCCCGGTGTGCCCATCCTGAACCCTCGGGCATTGTCCATGTGAGCGAACCGCTTGTTTGTGTTTTGTGCCTGGTGCTTCAAAAGCAAGGTGATGTGGTTAATTTCCAAAGGACAACTAATTCGAGGAGGAGGCGAATGGTAACATCGGATGAATACCTGCATGATTTAGCGTTGAACGGAAAATAAATCAAGGAGAGCGGAATTGTTCATGTTGGCTGGAGCTCCAAGGATCTTGGAGATGTGAAGGCGTCTCCAAAAAAGAGAAGAAGGGATCAGGACAGAGAGGGATCAAGGTATTATACGGCCATCCCAAGTTATCGGTATACGATCTCGCTTCTCAGACCAACATATACGCCTCAATCCTACAGTTGGGATAGATCAGATAATGTTGGTTCACCGTTGAACAATCCCCAGAATTTCCCCGTAGATTGTCAACTTAACCATAAAATTGCTCGGTCCGAAATAGGAAGCTTGAGATGTGGTTCCTGGATAAATGCAAATCGACAGGGGTGCCGAACATGGCTGAAGGTGATACGACAGCATTGGCGGCTCGAGTATAGTCTATAGACGTACATGTACGTGCAGTTGCAGATGTAACACACCCTTTTTCCCAATCTCTAATCCCTTCACTTCACCTCGTGGACTTGGCTGTCCTGTCAAGCCACCTCAATCATCCATCGCATCGATTGGCCCTGGGCCGGAGCAATAATGACGATACTACATACAGCACAGACTCCAAGCACTAAGTTGGACAAGACTAACTCAAACTTCGGAAATAAGGGAACAACCGCACGCCCAGAGAGAGATCTTGCTTGGCCCTTTGCAGCCACCAGTCGACTGCCGTGAGTGCTTCGGCCCGCCCTAGCCCATATATGCCCTTTATTATGGACCTGGGTTGGATTGGGTTGGATCGAGAGGGGAGGGGGGCCGTGTTGGGCGTTGGGCTCGGCTGGGCTGGCCTCGACTTGACTCTCAAACCATGGCATGGAAAAGAGTCTTGCTCGTGAGCCCATCACCTCACCATTGTTTAATGACATCTACAGACCGCAAATTTGACCGGTTCGGTCCTATCCTGCAAGCATTCTAATTAGCCTCGGGTACGACAGACGGAATGACTCGCAGAAACTGATCGGTCGGAGAGGTGGCCAAGCCTGGAGATCACGTCCTGTCTGGCTCTGCCTCGAGCGAATCTCCTCTGCAGGCATTTCCCAAAAAGTCGCCATGCCCGAAAGTTCATCTTCAACAACTGGACCCTGATTTTAACCTGCTTAATTTCACGTCCCAAAAGACGTAGCCATCATCAGTCTTAGTCTCAGTCTTAGTCTTAGCCGCCCATCGCCATGACCGCCCTCCCCCCCCCCTCTTATCCGAACAAGAACATGTTCCATGCTCATGCTCGTGTTATGCTACGCTACCCCATGCGCTCTGGATCGTCTCTTTTATGCGTCCTTTCAAGGACTTGCATCATCCCACGAATGAACGCAGCCCTCCCCTGTACCCCACGATCCATTCCCGTACGTCTTGCAGTGGCCTTCTCCGCATTCTAATGTAGGGGTGGGACCGTGTCGAACGTAACATCGTCGCCGCGGCTTCGACTTGGCACGTCTGCTTCACTAACATTACTACTTAATAAGTGTGGTTTCCAGCCTCATACATATCACTGTTGGGGGCCCTTTGCACTTCGTGGCTTGCACAAAAGGATTATCTTCCCGACTAGCGTTAACAACTCCTTGACAACATGTCTCCTTCAAGTACCAAGGTTGCCGCTGGTGGCTCCTTTCACACTTGTAAGTTGTGTCCAACTCAAGGGCTTTTTTTCGTGACCATGTCCTAACAATGCTTCATTCAGTTCAGGGCATCATTCCAAAGAAGCAGCCAGCTGCTTCCAGCAATGCAAGACCCAGGGTTGCAGGCACACGGCGCATAACGACTCCTCATGCCTGTACCGAGTGTAAACGAAGAAAGATCCGCTGCGATGGCAAGCTACCATGTGGCCAATGCATCACCAGCCGGGCTCCAAAGAGCTGCTCTTACGATAAACACCGTCAACGAATGATTCCATCCAGAAAGTATGTGATCTGTCGGTCGTCCGCAAAAGCCCTCAGCTAACCATTCTTCAGAGCTTTGGATAGCCTAGCACAATCACTTGAGGAGTGTCGCTCGGTGCTTCGGCGGCTATACCCAGATCATGATGTTTCGGCACTGCGCACCATGGACAAACAGGAGCTGATTAACCTCCTGGCTCAATCTCAATGCCCGCTTGGCGATCCTCTTCCATCGCCACCTCTTGAGGCGTCGTTCCCCAAGAATGGTTCATCTATGATGGGCTCCGATTCTCTTTTGGAACTTCAATCTTCCCTCGAAGCTGATCTTGACTCACTTATCGGGGAGCTTGAGTTTGAAGTACCAACCGAGCAACTCGACAACAACGACGGAACAAATTACCTGGCACAACAGTCCTGGTGGGATTACGGCTCGAGGCAATGGAACTCACTACCAGTGCCAGCCATGATGGAGGGCCAGCCATATGGGCATGAAATGGTCACTCCAGGGCAACACTCCATGTATGCGGATGAGCGTGGAATTTACGGCTCACTTGAGATGAGGTGACGAAAACGGAGCGTTTGACGCGGTGTATTATACATGCAATTCCCGATTCTGAAGGGGTATAGGGGCGTCATGCACCCCGGGGACGCAGGTCGTCTCCTTAGCCGGATCACAGCTTACGACAATGATATGAGGTCACGACCCCTTGCTAGGTATATCTACAACATACTTATGTAAACACATACGTTTTGCTATTCTAGTTTTATTTCTTGCTTTTTTTTCTCTTATCGAGGTGATTGAAGACGTAAGGTCTGAGCTCCACGTGAGGAAAGCGCTATCAGCCTATTCCAGGCTCCTTCCTTCCAGGATCGTTAACACCATACGATCCGATCCTTCCTACAGCTTTAAGGCATCTACTTCAACCATTTCCGGTAGATAATATTAGACACAATTCCAGATCCAGCTTCAAGTTCACGAGAATAGCTCTGATTACGACCAGAATATGGAACACGCGCTCACCTGTAACAACCTCAAATGTCGGAGGGAACTCAGCGATCGTGCTCTCGTAACGACATGCAGGTACGAAACTCCATCCATAGAGCAGCTTCCTCCTAACATAGTCCTTTAGTCACATCTTTTGCATAGAATGCGCCCAACGACTTGGTGTAACTGGACAAGAAGCTGGTCGCCAAAACATATGCCCTGCTTGCCACTCCCAACTTACCAATCCGGACGATGCCGTCATTACAAACTTGAATCCGAGTGAGGACTACAAGACCAGCGTCTTGAGTGGCCTAAGCCCCAACATCATCATGGAGTGCGCGGGTCGGGCACTCAGCTTCTGGGCTTACCAGACCACCCAGAACATATGCTATCAGCAGTATTTGTACAAGACTCTGACAGACAAGTACTCGAATCTTGGCACGCGTCTTGAAAAGACTGTGAATGACGCGAATTCGGAAATAGAGGGGCTTCACCACAAACTATCAAGTTGGTTTCTCCCCGAATGGTCCTGGCTCGTTTGTGCTAACACTAGTCAGGCATGACAGCAGAGCAGGATGATCTACGACGCAAATGTGACGAGTTGTCCCGTGCGTTCAAAGAGAAGAGTCGCAAGGTTCTCCAACTGCAGGAACTTTACGACAAAGTCAAAAGAAAAGCTGAGCTTGGCCATATTCAGAGAGCAGCCTCTGACGCCGTTGACTCTACAATACAGGCCACACTGCTCGAGCATGGCTATGGTGAAGGTATGCCTCCACAAGGCCACGTCGAGGGCCATGCCGAAGGCCATACTATGCCTGTCTACAACCATAGTCATCGGGTTGATATCTCTGGAATGAATACCAGTCTCCCACGAAACTTTTCCACTGTATCGAGGGATGGAACGCAGTGGCCACGACTGGGAAGATCACCACATCGTGAGTGTCTTAATTGTACACCGCGGATGCATACTGACAGATCGAAGTCAACACTTCGGGGACACCCATTAATAATTTCCGTCGGCCAGGACACGATGGAGCATCAGTACCACAAGCCACAAGCTTACCAACTCTGACAGGCGCGTCGGCTCCAAACTTCGGCGGAGCGAGGCAGCCTGTGAACGCTTTTGCTCCAGGGTTCAACAATCACCGCGGCGGTTTGGCAGGCGTCGGCTTGTCTTCCGGCATCAAGGTCAGCCAAGCAAACAATGCACCAGCGTTAGATGTTCCAGTCAGGCATTTTTGAGAGGAGCGGTCGAATTCAAGCTACATTGAGTGCAGCAAACGTGTTACAAGTTCACTTTCACATGCCACTTTGTTCAAGGAGCTTTTCGAAGACATCATCTATTATGTAGCTGAACAAGGAAAGGGGTCCTATTGTCCATTAACCTTTAGCATACTAGGCAATGTTCTGGCGCAATGCTTTGTAGAGTGACGACAGGGGATATGTTTGAACAAAGGGCTCACAACAAGAACACAATAGATGCTGAGGAAATACAAGATGCATTTCAATAAGCCAGCATGGGATATGGTATAAGTTATGAGGAATGTCTCGTGCACAGCAGCTCATATTTACTTACAATTTCTGTATCATTCACCAATGACATACTCGTTCGCCAGATTAGGCCAACATGCAGGACATTTACACCACAAGACCCAACGCACAAACCCAGTTCGCACTAGTTTCGACGATTCCATCACTATCGTCTTATAGAAGCAGCATTTCGCAAACGATTACTAGGTCCACCGGCAAGCCTGGGCGAGTCTTGGCACACATAAAGGAAACAGTCAAACGAAGAAAGCTGAAGAAGGTTCAAGACGGCACAGAGGGAGGCCTGCGAGCACAGTACATCGCTCAAGGAGCGAATAGCCGGGGCCGAAAGAGACCTGTTATATCAGCTCCCATGATTCATCCACAGCAACTGACATTCGTACCCGAGCCGCGTTCTAGTGATACGCAGACGTCTTCACAGAAACAGGTTCGGCGTAGTCGACTTGCATATCACCACGAAGCCTTGGGGTCTCATCCGGTACCTATCAATTGTGAGAATCAGGGCCATGGGCAGAGCCACACTGGCAGCAGTACAGCATCTTAGCGTAAACCACTTGAGGAGTATGCACCATACCACGAAGGTATACCGAAAAGCTTGATAACAAACACGACAGACTGGCAAAGACCGTGTCACATCTACAGCATGAAATGAACGACGCGAAACGCCTTGCAGTAGCCTGCTCCCTGCTCCTGTCAAGCGTATACTTTCGAGCCTCGGTGCCAAAATACCATCCATCCTTGTCAACACGCTGAGCGGACTCGGAGCACTTCAACCGATCAGGATGTGGTACAGGGCCATATTCAATGGTACAAGGGCCAGTACACCGAGCACGGCGCTCACACAGGATCGGTCGGGTCGCAGACCACGCCGGCACCATGTTCGGAAAAGAAGCAAGTTGAAAGCGACCAATTGGAAGATATAAGTTAAGTCACTTGTGTTATCGGGAGAGGTTAGTGAGGGATAGGTTGTTTTTTCAGTCTCATCATTGTAGTTCTTGGTAACTTATTTCATTTGTTAACAGTCGATGGAGCGGGAGTTAGCATCAATGAAAATAAACAAAGCTTTCTTTCCTGGTCATTTGAGCAAGGAAATTGCTTATAAGATAGTCACCCGATTGAAAATGAAGCTATCATGGGTGTGGTCATGTTCGTATTGTGGTTGGTCTAATAATAGACTGTCGATGATGATACTTCACGTGATTCATGAACGAGCCAAATCCAACCTGAAAATCCAACAGATACGTATCTGGGCCACGTACGCACTGTAGCGACGCCACTGGCATGGGATGGGCTGCGAAGAGCCAACGGAATTGAAGCAATCCCCCTTGTGTTTTGATTCCTGCGTTTTCGTACCATACCATGCGTGCATCTGCAGCTTTTGCTTCTCCTTATCATCTTATCGACTTCCTTATCAATTCAACCATCAGCTGTCCTACCACGCCGCGCGCAACAATCCAATCAACCCACTTCCCGTCTCGTGTCTTCATTAAATCCTTGTTCCGCTAATCCTCTTTTGGTTTACGATCTTGCATCATAAGAACTGGTATCTACCTCTGCTGCGACACTTATTTTCAGCTTCAGTCCATCGATTTCCACTCGCTTACGCATCCAGATGATGCTCTACGCTCGCTTTACCTACAAATCCTACATAATCATCAATATCAATTAGGGCTGGTCTCCTGTTAACATCGATTCGCTCACTGGGACATTCGCTATAATCGAAACGAGACATCAACAGGTTCACTGAATTCCTGTGATCCACCCCATAATCAACATCACGAACGACGATCGACACGACACATACAATATTCGGCGCAAGACGACGCATCGGAATTTGGCCTCACGATAAGGAGATAAGGAACTAGTAAACACTGACCGACTTGTTTCGTGCTCTATTATTATTCCACTCTTGCGATTACTAGCGAAACGCGCAATCCGCCCAGTCGCTTGCCCTCATGGGGAAATCATGTCCGTATTCATACTCTAGACGCTAAACTGTTGGCTGACAGATTTGTCCCGCAGCGCAGTACGGTGTTATCCTTGACGCCGGATCCTCAGGAACCCGAGTTTACATCTACAAATGGAAGAACCATGCCAAGGCTTCCAAAGATGCAACTGCCGCCGAGCTCAAGTCCCTCCCCAAGATCAAGCTCAAGGAGAACAAGAAGATACATCCCGGAGTATCGAGCTTCGCAGAAAAACCTAAGCAGATTGGGCCCGACCATCTACAACAGCTGATCGACATCGCCCTTGATGAAGTTCCTGACAATAAGATCTCCGAGACGCCTGTCTACTTGATGGCAACAGCTGGTATGCGCCTACTGCCCAAGCCTCAGCAGTCCGCTCTTCTCAAGTCAATGTGCACTTACTTACAAACGACGACGAAATTCATCTTGCCCGATTGCGATGCTCATATTCAGGTTATATCCGGAGAGACCGAGGGTTTATACGGCTGGATTGCGGCAAACTACCTGCTTGGAGGTTTTGATCATCCCGAGGAGCACGACCATGGCAAGAACCACCATACCTACGGTTTTCTCGACATGGGGGGTGCCTCTGCTCAAATTGCCTTCGCCCCAAACGCCACCGAATCAGCAAAACATGCAGATGACTTGAAGCTGGTACGCATGCGAACCCTCGACGGTGCCCCCTCCGAATACAAGGTATTTACCGCTACCTGGCTCGGGTTTGGCGCCAACCAAGCCCGCAGTCGTTACGTCGAACGATTACAAGAGCATTACAATACCGACTCAACACATGAGCTCCCTGACCCATGCATGCCTAACGGTCTGCGAACAACCTTGGACGGTGACCTTATCGAGGAGAAGTCGGACAAGCCTGTTCTGATCGGTACAGGAAAGTTTGACGAATGTTTGACTGTGACATATCCTCTTCTAGGCAAGGACAAGCCATGCGAAGATCAGCCATGCCTTGTGAACGGTCAGCATGTACCTGGTATAGATTTCGATATCAACCACTTCGTTGGTGTCTCAGAGTACTGGCACACAACACATGGCATTTTCGGCGGAAAGCACAAAGCATATGACTTGGCAACATATCAGAACAACGTCATGGAATTCTGCAGCCGCGATTGGTCAGATATCGAGAGTGATCTGGACAAGCGAAAGAAGTCGCCGGAAAAGAAGGCAGCGGAAACCCGGTTGGCATGCTTCAAAGCTTCGTGGCTTATTAATATGCTCTATGACGGTATTGGCATTCCTCGAGTCGGGCTTGAGGGCGGTGCAGCAAACGACACAGTTAAGGATGAAGGAGACAAGGCATTCAATGACCCATTTAAACCTGTGGACACAATCGATGGTGTTGAACTGAGTTGGACTTTGGGCAAGATGGTTCTTTACGCTGCTGGACAAGTGCCTCCTAAAGGTTCGGAGCTGCCTGTTGGCTTCGGAAGTAACGTGGAGAAAGGAACAGCAGAAGATTTTGAACATGCTGGTTCCTCGCCAATCGCTCCCCACACAGGGGATGACGATGGCGATGACTTGGACGACATTCTGAAGAAATCTGGAAAGTCGACAGGTGGAATCGTCGCTTTTATTCTTATATTGCTACTGGTAGCTTACCTGCTTCGCAAACCCGACCGCAGAAGAAAGATATTCAGCATGGTCACCCGACGGAAACGGTCGGGTAAACCAGGACGTGGTTCATCGCTGGTTAGCAAGCTTTTCGGACGAGGTCAAGGGCCGTCGTATGAGCGAGTGATGGAGGAAGGAGACTACTCCGACTTTGAATTGGGTGACATCGACTCGGATGGCAATGATTCTCCAGATAACAGTAGCAATGGGTCACGAAAAGGACGAACATCAGGACTAGCAACACCGAGTATTTCCGCAGGTCGGGCGGACGAGCTTACTCGCCCGCCTTCAGCAATGGATCGTGCTGGACTGGTGGTGCGAACCGAAAGCCGGGAACGTCTGTCGCCTTCTTTGTTAAGTGCTGGTCGGAAAAGTCGTAACGGCAGCCCGACACGTACCAAGAGCCCATTCATGTCACCTTTACAGGAAGATTAATACCTTACGACGGATCAGCATTGGTGTGGATGGGTCAATGCAAACAGCATGCTTTTTGGGTGGAGTCTTGTGGGATCAATATCATGGCGTTTAACAGTACAGGAGTATTAAAAGGAGCATCTCGAACTTGGCGTAAACAAAACGCGTGTGCCATCACCTATGTCGCAGGCTTCGTGTAGATATTAGGATGTTAGTATTTTGAGAAAGGCTGCATATTGGAATCGCGTTTCTATATTACACCACTTTACCACCTTGGTTTTGCAGTCTACTGGGGATATTATCCCATGACAATCATATAAATGTGGTTAGCATCGGCCATGGGATTAGTTTGAAGTACTCAAATATTAAGTTATAACTGTCGCTCAAAATACGATGCCGATCCAAGGCTCCTAAATACTTTTGACTACCGTTCCAACCAATCCTCTTTATTCAACAAATAGCTGTACATTTCTCCGGGGGCTTGAACTTTTGTATTGGCCAGACGAGCGGAAGCCAAATTAATCTGACTGCTTCTCAAGGAAACTAGGATCTGTCCGAACTCTTGACTCGAACTTCTGCCACCAGTTCTCGAAAGCCTTCAATGGCACTACCTCAACACCTCCTGGTCCCGCTGCGCCGCTGAAGCTCGATAGAAAATTGAAAGCGTTTTGAATGATTCGCTGCGCCAGAATAACCGTACTTGGCTGGCCACCTGTTGAACTGCTGGGTTTGCTGGCAGCGAGTTCTTGTAGACGCTGACCAACAGACTCTTCCGGCTCAACAGACACTCCAATAACTAGGTCGCTGGCTTCTCCTCCACCACTGACTTTGAACATGGCGCTCTCTTTGCCTGGGCCAATGCCGCCCAGGAAGCGAAAGTTGGGCGTACTGCCTGATTGAGCAGCAGCAGCGACATCAGATGCTGTGGCGAGGTAGATTGCTGCGGCAGTATTTGGTGGAATGCTGACACCTGGCAGCATGAATACCACAATGTGGGAGAAAGGCTTTGAGGTTGGAAGAGCGTAGAGTAGTGAAGTTGGCGAGGGGGTTGATGTAGGTTCAGTGATCAGTGGTTGGCCGGCTGGGACGATGCCAAAAAGTGGATTCGACATTGTGAAATTGATTGATGAGTACTACTATGGATGAATGAAAGATGAGCCGTTGGAAACTTGGTTATTGGTGATCGTTATGGCGAGCCTTCGTATATAGCAGGGGTAGACGTTTTGGTGTTGAGTCTCGCTCTTTGTCTCGTTTCGCCGGTGGTATGAAACGATTGGTGCACGCTTCGAGGTCAATCTAGAAAGAGATGGAACATCAGCTTAATCGGCACCTACCTAGGTAGGTAGGTACCTTAGGTAGTCTAGTGACCACATTACCCAATCCTCTCCACCTGCGTTCTTTAGGGTAGGGTCGATAGCGGGCCAAGCCTTTGACGTCGGCGGGGGTATCTCCGCTGCCAATTGGAGATTACAGGAGCCAGTGGAGCAATATGAGTCTGTATGTTACGACTATTCAATGCATGACTTAAAATACATGGAAAGATTCGTTGTGTCTTTGGTCACTTGTTTTGCTGCTGTTGGAAAACATGTTAGGTTTGAAGTTGCGCAGCTTCTGTAAAGCGCAGGACGAGAAAGAATATTTTAGAGTGAGAACTCTGCTTGTGCAAAGCACATCCCACGGTACCACCAGAGTAACAGAGCAAATATTGGACAAAAGAAGAAAACTTCCATAGATAGGCACACACGTACTTTGACAAGAGCCGTTACTTCCTTCACATTACATACGAAAGATTAGCTAAAAAGCCGCAACCCCATGACCGTGCATTGCCCGCACCAAACTTACCCTAAACTCGTTCAAATACAGACGGAATCGACGGGTTTCAATCACCACACAGCCTGAAAAGAGTTCTGGAAGCAACATCCCAATTTAAGATGGCCAAGACAAGCATTGATCTCATCGACGAGGTCGACATGTATGACCCCGTGCCCGAATGAATGCAACAGAAGCTCATACCTCTAGTTTCCCATATGTGGAGACAGACCCCAACGCAGTCACTGCAATGAATGCCGGACTCTATACTTTAACATGGGAAGATGATCAGGGCATATACCCAATCGGCTACGTCCTTGATCGTGTGGTAAAGGAGCTTCTTCAGGTGCCTGAAGAAATCAGAGGAAAGATGAAGTGCAATGAAGAGGAGAGAACCATCGCCTTGTTCCAAGAGTCTACTGAACAAGAGCGCACTCGCCGCGTTGCAGCTCTCGCCAACTACTGGCGTAAAAGGGGAACCTTCCCCCTTCTCCATGGCTGGCGCAACGAGCTCTGGCCTGTCTATGGACGTACTGGCGAGCTTCTATTCAGTATGGAACGAGCTGCAATGGGGTTGATCGGTACCATGCGTTACGGCGTTCACATGGTCGCGTATGTCAAGGACGATAATGCACCTCATGGAATTCGTATCTGGGTACCTACTCGTGCCAGGAACAAGTCGACTTTCCCTAGCATGCTTGACAATACTGTGGCAGGCGGTTTGATGACTGGAGAGGACCCATTTGAATGCATTGTACGAGAGGCTGACGAGGAGGCAAGTCTTCCCGAAGAGATTGTCCGCAAGGGCGCTAAGTTTGTTGGCAACGTCACATACATATACATAACAGATGAAGGGCAAGTTGGTGAGGGTGGCTTCATTTACCCTGAGTGCCAATGGGTATATCATCTTGAGCTTTCTAACGATGTGATCCCGCAACCCAAGGACGGCGAAGCTGAGAGATTTGACCTGTGCGACGTTGAGCAAGTCAAGGCAGATCTAGTCAAAGGGCGTTTCAAGCCTAACTGTGCCCTCGTCACCCTCGATTTCTTTATTCGTTATGGTATCCTTACTGACGAAAACGAGCCTGAGATTGAACAGATCAAGCGGAGAGTGCGTCGCGATATCCCATTCCCAGGTCCACATCAAAGCAACTGGCGCCCACTATGAGTCTGACGGGCCGAATTTGGGAAGCAGAGGCACCATCTTCGAGGCAATAAGCCGATGTTTGGTTGGGTATCATTAACATGACCTAGAGCTAGCGGAGATGCAAGAGCGCGTGGCGGTAGGGAAAAGCTAAAGTCTAGATAAATGAACAGTTTTTTCGGTGCTTCAGATTATTTCTTGATAAGCAGATAGACGTTATCAACGCGTAGAGGGGTCAGCTTCTTAACAGGACCCTGGAGAGACATGAGAAGACCACCGAAGGAGACGTAGGCGTTGCTGTAGTTTAAGAGCAGTCAGTATCTCAAATCCACACCTGTCAGCACGGGGGTTGGAGTGTAAGACGCACATGGTGTTTCCATCGTATGTCTCTTCGAACTTGTAGATCTTGCCATGGCATACATAGTCGTATAGATCGGCAATCGTCGCTGGCGCATCACCGCCCTTGCCCACGTCACGCCAACCCTTCTCTTCCTCCTTGCTTCCGTCCAGAGAGAGCGTTGTCGACAGAACCACGTGCAGGGAGTCAGAGACAGCGCAGGGGAAAAGCTCGATGTTGATGTCAAGCGTCATGACCGTCTGGGAATCGCTCGATGTGCACGAGATTCGGGCGACGCGGTCATATTTGGACTGGTCATACTCAGTCACTGTGAAAGATTCCTCAAAGAGGGTGGCGTCGCCGCTGGCCATGTCGGGCAGTCAAGAAGAGGATTCGAAGTGAGAACAGCTGGTTTACTCGGTAGAGAGGGGAGGGCGAGCTTCGTGTATAGCTATGATCGTCGTCGGTCGTCGCGAGGAAGAGAAAATGTTTAGATGCGGCCCGGAAAAAGTTGGTGGGGGGGGACTTGATGCTGGATACCTACCAAATGCCATGTGGGGCACACACAAACACTCAATCACTCATTATCGCGGCGCAACGTCTCAAAGCTTTTGTGATATCTTCAAATTATTGACACGACTTGGACTTCTAATCCACAGGAGATAGACGCCATGTCTTTTCGAAAGCGCAATGTAGTTATCGGCACTGCTGGGTCTTCATCGCCTACTGCTCGACAAGAGAAGTCTCTTGCGCCTGGAACAAGACCGTCGCCGTTAGATGGACGTTTGACGACATCAACGGGTACACAATCGCTAGACCAACTGCTATCAGGCCATGCCGGAATGCCTATGGGGACTTCCCTGCTTGTGGAAGAGACCGGGACCACGGACTTTGGAGGTGTACTTCTGCGATATTATGCTGCTGAAGGGCTTGTCCAAGGACACCAAGTCCACCTCCTAGGTTTCGGTGATGCATGGAGGAGGGAGCTTCCTGGTCTCGGCAGTCCAGACGGAGCGAAGAAGAACGCCAAATCCAGTTCATCCTCAGACGAAAAGATGAAAATTGCCTGGCGTTATGAGACACTAGGGCAGCGTAACATTCCAACTCGAGGTATGTTTCCTATGCAATTGTTTACGGCTCTCTGAGAACATCATTTTGACAGGCTTGACTTAGATTCTCAAACACCAACAAGCCCTGGACAAGTGACAAGTACTTTCTGCCATGGTTTTGATTTGACCAAACGTCTTGAGAGTAACGCTATCAAGGGCCAGTTGCACGCATCGCCAGTGGAAGGTCCCTTGGCTTCTCCGACAAATACGCCATTTCATAAATTTATCACTGATGTGAGCTCCAAGATTAAGAACTCACCACTCTGTACCGTTCATCGGATTATCGTACCCAGTCTTCTCTCGCCTACACTCTACAACTCTGCCGCCAGCCAGCCAAAGGAAATTCTCAAATTTCTCCACGCTCTCAGAGCACTCCTTCGGCAATTCCCAACTCAAGTTACAGCATTTGTGTCAATTCCTGTGACATTATTCCCGCGCTCTACAGGACTAACGCGGTGGATGGAGTTGCTATGTGACGGTGTTCTCGAGCTGATTCCTTTGCAACACCAAGCCCCAGTCATCCGGGAACCTGGCAGTGACGATAAGGGACAGGGACTGCTCCGCGCCCACAGTCTACCTGTGTTCCATGAGAAGGGCGGCGGCCTTGAAGGCACCTGGAACCGGGAGAACCTCTCCTTCAAATTGAGTAGTTCCAATGGGTTGGTAATTACACCATTTAGTCTACCACCAATTGGAGATGAGGAAGAATCGAGCATGCCAGCCAAGCCCAGCGAGGCCAAGAAGGAAAGCCTGGATTTTTGAGACAACGCAGAATAACAACACGAGAGGCTTGATCCACTGAATTCCCCTACAGTCCTCGCTTTGAGGTTGAGCTCAGTTAGTAATTTGGAAGGCTGGAGCCCCCCTTCCTTATCTTATCATCACTTTCAGGCCCCACTTGTTCAATTTTTTTTACCACAAAAGAGCTGCAAGCTTCACCTCCTCTTTCCTCTTTCTTTTGATCAACATCAAAGCTCAAAAGGTATGTGAAAGCATTTTCTCTCTCTCGCGCCGCTGTGCGCACAACGCGGACACAATGATTATACACATATTAATCTGTCAATCCCCTGATTTTCTGTGACGACACATAATACATTACGAAGACGACTTATGATACTGTCCTTTCTCCACCACTTTTGTTCTCGCAAACTTAAGTCGATGCATTTGCTAACTCGCGATGCTCTACAGATACCATGACTTCTTCACATTCGGCGCCTATCCGGATATCCAAGATCGCGGGGCGATATCTCATATTCGACTCAGAGGCTGCTGCTCTTCTGCGTCGAAATGAGAACATCAATGGCACTCTTGCGGGGACTGCACCGCAGCAACCTACCCAAAATATCTTCCTTGGGCTCCCAATCGAGCTACGGCCGGAAGAGGCGGAATCACTGTTGCAGAAAAATGTTGCTTATCTTGTAGACGACGTAGCTGCTCATCAAGCTGTTCTCCATAATCCCAACAATGAAGCCAGGAGGCTGTATCTTGATTCCCTCAGAACCAAGAAGGACACAGCTCGGCAGGTTCTAGCGGAGAAAAATTCTAAGCGGGCTGCTGAGGGGGCAGAAAAGCATGGAAAGGCCCGCCGCCGTGCTCCTATCAATCCAGATGAAGATGCCATCTCTGGAAATGATCAGACTGAAACCATCAAACGTCAACAAGATTCTGTTCTCAAATCTTTGGGCGTAACCCCAACATCTAGCGGATCATTGATTTCTCCAGATGCAGGGCGTTCATACCAGGTCACTAACCCAGCACAAGGACCTCTGTGCGGCTTTCTTCTCACGTCTGGCTATTACATGACCCCCGGCCTACGGTTTGGTGCCAAATATAGTGTTTATCCTGGCGATCCTTTGAGATTCCACGCTCATTTTATGGCAAATCAGTACGACTGGGATGAAGAGATCCCTGTTTTGGACATCGTAGCAGGAGGTCGTCTCGCTACAGCTGTGAAAAAAGCCTATCTGATTGGAGCACAGCAGCCACAAACAAATGAGACAGTGGATGATGGAAAGATGAGAACGTTTAGTATTGAATGGGCTGCAATGTAAAACATAAATATGAATGCTTTGAAAAAACGTCCACAGAAAATGATCGGGTCGCCTATATAACCAACTCCTAAAGTGTTCTTCAATTCGTGACAAACTCCAAAAACAAGCAAGACCATGCAGTTCGATCTGAAGAAAGAAAAAAGGGCAGTTGGTAGTAATATTAAATATGATGTATGCACAGCCACTCTCAACACCATAAGACCCCCTACTGTAGAAACTCAAGGGACGAATACGCGGCTGAAACTGATGACCTCACGGCGGCAACAGACGCACTTGTCAAAGTTGTTCATAGCAAGAGAGACACGGCAGTCATCGCATAGGCTCAGACAGCGACAGGGCCATACAATGATCGTTCTTGGTGAGCTTTGGCACACCACGCATTGTGGTCCATCGCTTCCAAAACCCGATCCTCCTTCCTCCCATGACGTCTCTGCGTATGCTGCAGAGGCGGAAGTTTGCCGTCGTGAGAGCAGAAGTTGTTCCAAAAGACGCTCCTCTTCGTCTGGATCCAACTTGATGTTGCGTCCTGATTGCGTGCTGTTGGTTTTGGGTAATAAGAGCCCTGACCCAGGAGTTGTGAGGACACGAGTGCGCTGCAACTGCTCCATTCGCCGGTATTTAGCGCGTGTCATGATTCCATCACTTTGAAGATGGGCAGACAAAGTTATGGCCTCCTCTCGCTCCTGCGGGTTAGTAGGATGAAGAAGACGTGCAAGGTCTGAGATCTGCATAGGAGTGTCGTGAAAAGGAGTGCTCTCGCGAGTCATTTGAGGAGACCGTTGGGTGGGCGTTCGTTGGCCATCGTCGTTCTCATCATCAGATTCCCATGCCTGGTAGTCATCGATCCCATCGCCAGCGGTTGATAAAGAGATAACGCTTGTGGTATCAAAATCGTCATCCGAGTGTGGTTCAAAATCACCGCTTGTATCGGTAGATCCCCACCAGCCATTCTTGACCCAATATTTGTACATTTCCCGATCGAAACTCTCCTCGTCTTGGCCGCTGTCCAGGCGTCTGAATTCGGCTTCTATGTCGGCCGACTCCTCTTTCGGTATCCGCCCATCGTTATATGACGAAGCAACTCGTGGTCTTGCTTGGCCACGACTCGAGCTCTTGCTCTGAGTTTTTATACTCTTCGGATGCTGTGCAAGCCAGAGAAGCCAAGCAGGCTGCCATCGAACCCGTAGCGTTGCGAGACACCATAGTAGGGACTTGGCACAAATCCTTGCAATCAGCTTGTTGATGCTGAGCAGAAACTCCAGAGCCATGAGCCAGCGAGAACTTCTTTCGGCTGCCCCGATCCCTGCACGAAGATTGCGTTCACCACGCCCTTTTGGAATCTTTTGCGCGGCACGTTCGCGTGCGTATCCATTAGACGCGATCGTCGGACCCCCTTTTACAGGAATCAACCCGATTGCACCGACCTGGTCATATCGGGAGTCTGGTAAGCCGCCACCAATTAATTTTCTTTGCAATTCCTCGGCCTCCTTGAACCGTTCCTCTTCGAGCCAGGTACGTCGTTTAAGACTGACACCTTTATCCTCATTCAAATAAACAGCTTCGCTGGCCATAGTTATGGCGCCAAATCCAGTTCGTAGTAGGGCTGTATAAAAATCCATCTCCCGGGTAATTCGAATCGAGGAGAGTGATACGTTCGCTTGCATATTCTCGTGAGCATGCGCAAGGCGCTGGCGAAATGACATCGAGGCCATATCAGATGTGGAAGGTGGTGATATGGCTGAGAGCAAGAGAGCTAGCCCATAGATAAATAGACATATAGCAATGCCGAGTAAAACGAGAACATGCGGTACGAATCCTATGATGCAAACTGTTGGAAACCTGAGTAGGCTTTGAGAAGACGGATCATCGAGATCGAATGAGATGGCTGCCCATACAATGCTAGCCATGAAACAGAGACCCCAGAATCCTGTGCTAATTAATCGGTACTTGGCCTGCAAATTGAGGATCCCCAGAAGGTGGCTTGTGATATGAGTCATCAAAGACAGAAAGGCAACTAAAAGCACCTCTGGAGACGTGTTGACCCTCTTCATGACCATCGATCGAGTCAAAGCTATGGCATTACCAAGCCCAGAACTCGGAACATTCGCTGAGCTGGTTTTGGTGAACAGATTCCACCCAAGCTGGTTGCTGATAGCAGCATCTGCTTCGGCAAAAGCGAGAGACTGCTCAAAGAGTGTCATACCTGTCTCAGGTGCAACTGGACGACCTTGCACGGCACATGAGACGGTCTCGATAAACTGACTTAAGCAAAAGGTCCCGAATAGTGGCCAGAGAAGGGACAGAGAACCGGTCAAATCACGAGCGGAGCCAGATTCGTCCGAGGGTATCATGCGAACGGCAACGCAAGACTGCTCATCTGATGCTGAGAATAACATGGCAGAGCTGAGAGAGTTGAGGAAGGAGTTTCCATGCGCGAACATGAGGTCAGAACTCTTGGTTGAATTACCCCATCGTAATTCAGAAAAGTCGCGAGAAGTCTGGCATTGGATAGATTGAAGCAGCTGGCGAGCCTGGATTACAAGCAAGGCAACCGGAACGAACCGCAGCAAGAGTCTTGTGGGCCATCGAAGGCGTAGCCGTCGTCGAGTGGCAGCGAATATATGCGTCCGGTTCAGTATAACGGCCATAGCAATGCAACACAGAGCCCACTTGCTTGTGGCATAACCAAAAACGCTACCCAAGCTACGGGCGCTATCAACAGATACACGCCCCATAGGAGTGGCTGCTACATCGGGACCAATCGTTTCCGGGCCTCCAGTGCTGATGAGAGGTTCCATTATGTTTTGAATCGTCGGGTTGGCCTCGGCGAGGATAGCGCTGGCACCAGCAGCAGCTGGCAGGTAACCAGAAGGGTTGGAAGTCGCCTCGAGGTTGTCGGGAACAGAAATGTAAGATCCGAGCATCTTGATGAATCTTGGGCCGGCCCAAACAAGGTCCTCTAGTATAGGCACATAGTGTGTCACATTCACAGTCCAACCTGTAGGATTGTACCACGAGCCAGGGATGCTGGTGGTGTTCGCGCCTGGATTCGCTGTGAAGCTCGTGAGAGGTGATGGCGCGGATGGCACGAAATCGTCGGCCATGGCCTACGGAAGGATGATTCAGACGCGAGGTGTTCGGATGTCGAGGAAGGCCGAAAGAAGGAGGACGTTAAATGAACCAGTTGGTTGCAAGTAGTATTAGAAGGGCAGGTTCATGGGCCTCGTCGAGGACATTGTGAAGCGTCTTGTCCCCAAGCGTGGTTTGTTGCTGTGAGAGTATTGGTGAGGTAAGATGCTAGATACCTCTATTCTGTTGATACTGAGGTGGAGGCGATGACATGGAAAGAGTAACCATAACCCCCATCGAGGTACCTGTCAGGTCGACCTAAGAGCAAGTGCTGGGATTCGCGGAGATTAGCGCGTCTTGAAAGGCCCGCTTCGAACCGATGCTGCCCCACCTCAGTGTGGGCACAGTGTGGTTTGAAGACCGTTATGTACCTGCTTGGTAGCAGCCGCAGATGCCTAACACATAACCCGCCAGGTCGGCAAGCGCTGTGCCCTTTTGCGACAACTTGCACCAATATGGACATAGAAATTTGGACATGTTAAAGTTGGTTCGAGAGAGCCAAAATGTCAAATAACAATCCCGACTCAATATATTCCCCAACAGCACTGTCATTATGGCTTCGCTCATGCATAGAACAATGCTGTTCTCGGTTTGAATTAACCAATGAAAAAGCATATCGTCACTGAGGAACATCACGTTACCAAAGGCTGATATGCGCAAGATACATACATTCGTAGTAGTATTGGAGATTATTGTTACATGATGGTATACTCCAACCAACTCCCTTCACGCCCATATTTCCTGACCTATCCATTGACAAATCATCTTATCTAGCGGACAGTAGTCCTTAAGGTCGTCCAGATCTTCTAGCCCCCTTGTTGTCGAGACTCTTTAGTAACGAAAGAGTACTCATGATATAGAGTCAATGTATCGCGATAATACAAGTATTCCTGTTTGCCAACCCGAGCTTAGGAGAAGGCTATTCAAACCTCTCTCGATTCGTCAACACATACCAGTGCTGATAATGCACCACAAATATCACAAGGATAATTGTCCAATGCAGCCCATTCACTTGGTCAACCTGCAAGGACTGATTCTTTGAGTGATGTGGATACTGCGAGGTTTGCTCCTTTGCTGGCATGTACTGCTCGAGCGACAAGATTCCGATGTAGATTGGCATCAGATGAAGGTAAGCTTCCTTTCAACCAAAGATTTGTGATTTCGTCCCGCGCAGGGAGATATGCCACACAGCAAGCTGCAAGGATTTGTGAGTGCTCAGAAGGGACTGGGTCGAGAACCATGGTGGGCTCATCATTATTCTGCCCAGGCACCAGTGCGGCTACTCCTCCAGAAACCGTGTCGACACAGTCGATACCAGCATCAGCAAGAGCAGCTGCGGCGACAGTGATACAGCCGCTTAGAACGTTCATCACATCCCATTCCTCGCTTCCCTGTTCTACGGCTACTTGCCGAGCTTGATCTCCTTCGATGATGGTGACAATCACATCTACACCACTCTTTGGCCATCGATCTGCAATTAGAGCGCCGCGAAGGGCCGCCTCGAGGTGCGTACTCAAGTCACGCTCGCTAGCATCACGCAAATATCCTCTTCTTTGCCGTGTTGCAAAAGGAGCATACTTGACATGTGTGGAGAGGACCATGTGAGGAGAGAAGGGTGCTGATCGAGGCAGTGATCTCGGCCCATGAACAGTGCATGTGAGCTTCATGCCTTTGCTGCCTGATGTATCCAGTGATTCGACTTCTAGGTATGCTGACCCGGAGGCAGATGGGGTAACTCCAGTCTTTAGATCTGATTACCTGTTAGCCAAATTCTCATGATGAACATGTTCAAGTTCTTTTGAGATAAGTCCCAGTAACTTACATTGCGCCCTGATACCGTTTGGTGCGCGAGTGCGATTAGAAACAGCCACTTCATCGGCTTCAAAGAAAGGAGGTATGGTGGCACCTCCAGGGCCATTAATGCGTCGTCGATCAGCCATTTTGTGAGTCTGTTCTTTTATAGTATTTCATCGATCGTCAACCCAAGAGCATGGATTTTACATGGAGTGGATATGAATTCGCTAATGCAGCAAACGGGGCGCTAATCCGCTTAGTCACCCCATACCCCATCTATTTGACCTTCAAATAGTTTCGTGGACCTGCGACGAAAGGTTTGAATTCTCTTCTCTTCATCACTCTCAAGAGCTTTCTTGCATTCCCAACAACACCATCGATGAGCAAATCTACCTGGAATTACTTCCAGATGAAGAAGCACGCGATGGTATAGTTTGAAATGTTGTTGAGCTCGAGTGATGTCGATATCTCAAGGTATGTATTACGCCACTGCGTTTCTTTCTACGCGCAATGATGATCCCTCTCACCACTGTTCCCGCGATACCCTGAGCGATTTGAACAACATGCACTACCATCTGAGCACCGCCCGAATCCTTTCTTCTTCTCAATCGCATCAGCATAGCAAACTTTGGGTGCTAACTTTTCTTCCAAGATGTCGACACTTTGCTACTATCCACATTGACAATACGACTTGGTGGGTCGAAACTCGCACGAAAGGTTAGTGAAAATTTTCTTCTGAACCCCTTCCCCGATGTCGATGATGAGAAAACTTTTCAATCAGTTCTGCTACTGAACCAATGTGATGACTCCTTTATACCATACCAAGATCTCTGATACACATCTCTTGACACCTTTTAATATTATCATGCATGTCTTGAGAACAAAGCTGACCTTGTCAAAGTGTTCTTTCATTAGTACGTTCGACATTACCATACCTTGCGCTTTTTGCAATCTTTTTTTTCGGTAAGTCTTTCGCGAAGTTGTTAGATCAAAGGAGTTGTGTTGCATGATGACACAAGTTCTATCCATTCAACGACTTCTTCTTGGCCAAGTCACCCTCCCGCACCAGAGGTTCTTTTTAAGAGCTGATGACTGGTTGTGGAGTTGCTTAATTGAGTGTGATGAAGACTCCAGTGTCGGGGCTGCTGATGACTCGTTTTGGGTCATTGGTAGTCTTGGCCGGCCGAGATGACTGAGTATACCGGCTTGTCTGAACTATCACAAACTTCTTTGGATCTTCCACCTTCATCAACTGCCTGTGGCTCGCAATGGTAGCTAACAGTTGCAGGTTTTTCCTCCATCTGTGTGCTGCACTTTGCCATGACATGTGATATCATTTGCCGTGAAGCGTCTTGTCGTTAAATAAATGTAAAAATAATGGTAGAAATAATAAACATAACAAATTTGCTTATGGGCCCCTCGCATGTCGGACTGTGATGTAATGTTTCCGCATTTAATAGCAGTTGATGCCTTCGAGGGGCTGATGAAGGATAGTGATCACCCCAGATCTGTCTACTGGCAATGCGGATAAATGCCAGCGACAGAAGAATTGAACTTGGGCAATGTTTGGCGAGGGGTTCGTCTCCTACATAGAGAACATTTTACTCCCAGTGTATCTCTGGATGCCATCCCATGGGTATCTTCATTGGCTTCAAACGCGTTCGTGCCAGAACAATGATAAGAGTTGCTACTTTGTAAATATCGTAAATTCTGACTTGCTTCTTCAATCTGACTTGTTCCTTTTTTTTTAGATGGATCTCATGTGGATCGTATAGATTGTTGTCCTGTGCTAGAAAGGGTGTCAGCTAATATCGAAGGGCCAATCAGAATCGACACTTGACCCCTTCCCTTACCTGAACTAAAGAGTAACGTTAATTGAACACATGCATTTCAGCGCTCGTCTCGCCCTCCATTGGCACGAAGACTTCGTATTCCATTCCCCAATTCAATTTGGTCGGCGTTGGAGCCACATTGCCCTTGCGCAACACAATACTTCTACGACGACGACGAGGATATACGAACGGTCGAAAACAGATCGATAACGCTTGTTGGAACTGGTAGTGGCGATAAAACCGGGCGCCTCACATCAACGTCAAAACCAACAGCATCTACTTTGGACCCCGGATTCACCCTCATATCCCCTATCGACCCTTGAATCGCAATCTGTTTACCGGCTCATCATACTTCTACCCTCACCAGCCAGTCTATTGCCCATCATTGCATTTCGAACACGCGCTCGACATTGGTAAAAACCAGAAGACGTGCTGCGGAGCGTCTCCGCGTAACAGCTGCCAATGCCCTCTTATGACTTGCCCGGCTCCAATTCGAAGATGATGCCCCGGCATCATGCTGGCGCCTTTTCGAATGGCTACCCACGAGGAAATACATTCGACATCTCTCCACACAAGTAAGATCTTCCTACGTACATACCCAGCCCAAGATCTCTTAGAACATCGGCGTCACAAATGTTCATGATTATGCTGATGCTGCGTCTCTACTAGGTTCCAGCCACGAACCCTGACTCCGGCCCAACGACGTCGCAACAAGCTCCTCATCCGCCTAGGTATATTCGCCACGATACTGTTCGTTTTTAGCCTCTGGTTATGGCCTTCTAGCCCCGTGGCCTCGTTGGTCTCCTTTGGACTCCTTTCCGCTGGCGGTGCTCCGGAGCTTGAGACGGTTCGATACTACGATTTGACCACGGTGCAAGGTACTGCTCGTGGGTGGGAACGCGAAGAGCGAATTCTCCTATGTGTACCACTTCGCGATGCTGAAGCTCACTTGGGGATGTTCTTTTCTCACATGCGCAACTTGACATATCCTCACCATCTGATCGATCTCGCCTTCCTCGTTTCCGATTCAAAAGACAATACCCTCAAAGTTCTTTCTGACAGTTTGGAAGCTATTCAAGCGGACGAGGACCCCAAGCAGCCGTATGGGGAGATCTCCATCATCGAGAAGGACTTTGGCCAGAAGGTCAATCAGGATGTTGAAAGCCGTCATGGATTCGCAGCTCAGGCTAGTCGACGAAAGCTGATGGCGCAGGCTCGCAACTGGCTCTTAAGTGCAGCTTTACGACCGTATCACTCTTGGGTTTACTGGCGTGATGTCGATGTAGAAACGGCCCCATTCACCATCTTGGAGGATCTTATGCGACATAACAAGGATGTTATTGTTCCCAGTAAGCCTTTTATCTTCAAGCTTCATAGATAAAACTCCACGTACTGATATGATATAAGACGTCTGGCGACCGTTACCCGACTGGCTAGGCGGCGAACAGCCTTATGACTTGAACTCATGGCAAGAATCGGAAACGGCTTTGGCTCTCGCCGATACTCTTGATGAGGATGCTGTCATTGTTGAGGGTTATGCTGAGTATGCCACATGGCGACCTCACCTGGCTTACCTCCGTGACCCTTTTGGCGATCCTGATATGGAAATGGAAATTGACGGCGTCGGAGGTGTCAGTATTCTGGCGAAGGCCAAGGTTTTCCGATCTGGTGTTCACTTCCCAGCTTTCAGTTTCGAAAAACATGCAGAGACAGAAGGTTTCGGCAAGGTACTTTACCTCCTGGTTTCATGTTCTTATCTGGCTGTCACTAACGCGACCCGAACAGATGTCCAAAAGAATGGGGTACTCGGTCATTGGCCTACCGCATTATACCATATGGCATTTGTATGAGCCTAGCGTGGATGACATCCGTCACATGGAGGTAAGTGATGTTCATCTCCCACCTTTCGATCTTTGTATGCTGACTTCGAATACAGGAGATGGAGCGAGAACGACTTGCTAGGGAGAAACAAGAGGAAGAAAAGAAGAAGAACCAACAAAAGATTAAAGAAGAGTATAGTGATACCAGAAATGAATGGGAGAAGGATAAGCAAGAGATGCAAAACTTAGCAGCTCAACCGAAACCTGTTAAGGATGCACCTAAAGCTCCCAGTCGGGATGCTTTGGCCCAACCCCACAACGGACAACCTGGGTCTGGAGAGCAAGTCAAGGGGGGTCCCGGAAACGCAGTACAAGGCGAAAGTAAGCCACAAGTGGCCAAACAGGAGGGTAAAGTAGAAAAGGAGGAGGAAGACAAACCGGCTGACGGAGCTGCAAAAGTCGCGCCTAAGGAAGGGGCTGCGCAGAAGCCTGGTGATGTCGCCGCATAAGGGATTATTGGGCTACGAAATGCATGTACAAGGTCTCTTGCTCGCGCTATGAGCTTTATCGGTTGTACATTAGAAAGGAAACGTTGTTGGAATTTCCGTCTGCTGGGCCCGCTCTTGGGAATAACTAGGCCACTACTAACATTTATAAATGTAGTCGACGGTATCTCTGCCATGGTATTTAGGAAGCGTTTGACTGTAGAATGATTACTGCCCAGCTATCCACATCGGCAAGAGAAACATTTCTGTATTTGAAGTCTTGAAACCATAGGTTTGGCAGTATTGGCCAGCCTCTCCAGAACCTTAGACTTGGCAGTTGACGTACCCCTTTTTATCACAGTGGCATGGATACTACTGTCTTATCTCGATAAGATGTCCAGGTCAGAAAGGGGATGGCAGCTCAACCAAGGCCGAACTGGTATATATGGATTCTCTGTAAGAGTTCGTCTAATGCCTGGGTAAGAGAATGATAAAGAAAAATACATAATTAAATGTTTTTCTTCCACGAAGGCAGGCATTGTCTACTAAACCAATCAGTAGAATGTATCAATAATGGCAGTCCGCATCAATTCAAGGGGTCATGAACAAACGCTGCCAGCTGGCCAATCAGCGAGGGCATTGGGCGACACCTGGAGGACAGCGCGCAGCTTCTACGGGATGTCGGTTGGTAAGGTTAGGTACCTTAGCTAGTAGCCGAACGCTACGCAGCGACTTTGTCTTCCATCAACCAACCTCGAAACTTTCCCAGGCAGACTTACTCGAACGCCCACTACGGTTCTTGAAATTGACCTTTTGCATCGTGGTCTTGCACTTCTGCCACGCCCTCATTCTTCTCATTTGTTCCTCCGACCACTAATCAGAGCATTGCGTGCACGACCCTCTGGACCCTCCTTATTCATCTCGAATCTGGACGAACTGTCAGGTCGCAAATCCGAGTAACGATTTCGAGCTTGTAATACCATGATTCACGATGAACAACAAGCTATGAAGATGGAGAGTCCTAGACCATCTGGGGTTTCGAGTTTCGAGAATCGCGCGCTTCCAGTACGGATGCAATATCGAAGCCGGCCCATTTCTGTCGCAGTTGACCCCGTGTCGCTGGTCATTTCGGAATGCATCTCTATAACTTCCGCTATCCAGAAGCATGCGCGCTCTCCACACTCGTCCGTCTCAGCCATTCTTGGAGGAAGTCCCAATCCAGTACAACTGGGACCTCCTAGCCCAACACCTCAAGGGCGAAGCAAAAGCCCGGCGGCGAGCATCAGTGGTGATGGTTCTCACGATGGTCTTACCAACCGTTGGGGGCTACGTGGACAAAGAGGAAAGAGCATGCAGGATAATCCTATGATTGCGGGCTTTGGAAAACTCAGACATGAGCTTGCTGGTATTAAAGGTATGGTGGACCAGTCGGGCCCTAATCTTCCACTCTCGATCGTTAGCAACAGCTAACCTCTTTGCTTCTAGATATCCGATCGTTCGATGCTCCTGCGATTCTAGCGCCATTTCTCCATGTTATTCAGACCAAAGGCACCGCCGCCCCGATAACTATTCTTGCTCTCGGCGCATTGAAAAGGTTTCTAGCCTACGGTTTCATATGTCCCGACTCTCCACGCTTTGCACTGGCTATGCAATCTCTCTCGGCTGCCGTCACACATTGCCAATTCGATATTAGTGATTCTGGACAAGTTGAGGTTGTGCTTCTCATGATTCTCAATCTTATGGAGGACATGATGTCTGGGCCTGGTGGGGATATCTTGAGCGACGACAGCGTTTGCGACATGATGGGCCGCGGCCTCGCTATATGCTCACAGCCGCGTTTCTCTCCCGTTTTGCGCCGTACTGCCGAGGCCTCGCTAGTAAGGATGTGTCAGATTATATTCGAAGATGTCAAACACTTGGAAGTTGAGGCTGGTGATGACGCCAATGCCTTAGACCACCAGGTTGAAGATGACCTGGATAGTGTCAGAATGGAAAACCCTGTCCCGGAAGCAGGAGGGCTTTCTAGCGAATCTGTGAGCCTTGGTGTCCCTGGAACAACCACCCCAGATCCCGAGCGCAGTAGCCGAGACACTGTGGCCACATCCGACACAGCGCTGGCTAACGGCAGCGACTCTGCCGAGGAGACGGAGTCTGTGGACCTCAAACCTTATTCTCTACCCTCTGTTCGCGAACTGTTCCGTGTATTGGTTAACTTTCTGGACCCGCAAGCTCGGCAGCACACAGATACAATGAGGGTCATGGCATTGCGAATCATACATGTAGCCCTGGAGGTCGCTGGACCTTTCATTTCTCGCCACCCGGCCTTGGCGGGTATTGCGGAGGATCGTTTGTGTTGTTATCTATTTCAGTTGGTGAGATCGGATAACATGGCTATCCTTGAGGAATCACTTGTTGTTGCTGGTACGCTGTTGGCAACTTGCCGCGGCGTACTAAAACTTCAACAGGAGCTATTCCTCTCTTACTTGGTTGCTTGCCTGCACCCGAAGGTTGAGATTCCTCGTGAGCCTGGGATTGATCCGTCGCTTTATGCCGGTATCCCACAAACACCGAAGCTAGTAAAACCGTCACAGTCGTCGCAGCCTAGCAGCGGACGATCAACCCCAGTCCCAGTCAAGGACCGTCAAAAGCTTGGTCTCGAGGGCGGCTCCCGGAAACCTGATGCCCGCCAGGCTATGGTAGAAAGTGTCGGGGTCTTGTCACGCATGCCAACTTTCATGGCGGAGCTCTTCATCAACTACGATTGTGATGTTGACAGGACGGATCTTTGTGAAGACATGATTGGGCTTCTTTCTAGGAACGCCCTTCCCGATTCCGCAACCTGGAGTACTACGAGTGTGCCCCCCCTTTGCCTAGATGCATTGCTTCGCTATATTCAGTTCATTGCGGAACGCCTTGAAGACGACATGGTCTTTGAAAACTTTCCCGACCCAGTAGTCTTAAGAGAGCAACGGCGAAAAAAGAAGATAATCATCAAGGGAGCAAGCAAGTTCAACGAAAAGCCCAAGGCAGGCCTGGGATACTTGGAAGCACAGGGCATCATCAAGGACTCAGCGGATCCTGTGGCGGTTGCCAAGTTTCTCAAAGGGACCCCGCGTGTGAGCAAGAAGGTTCTAGGCGACTTCATCTCCAAGAGAGGTAACGAAGCAATTCTTGAAGCTTTCTTAGACCTTTTCAACTTTACTGGAAAGCGAGTCGACGAGGCTCTGAGACAGTTTTTGGAATCATTCCGATTGCCTGGAGAGGCGCCCCTGATTGCCACGATCGTGGAAGCATTTTCCGAGAAGTTCTGCTCCGACGACACCTCTGGCGAAGTTGCAGACAAGGACGCGGTGTATATCTTGACATATGCCATTATCCTCCTCAACACTGATCAGTTTAACCCTAACTTGGACGACAAGAAACGCATGAAACTGGACCAGTTCGCAAATAATCTCCGAGGGACTAACAATGGCCAAAACTTTGCCCCAGAATACCTGCAAACTATCTATGAGTCGATCAAGTCCAACGAAATCATTCTTCCCGACGAGCATGATAACAAACATGCCTTCGACTACGCCTGGAGAGAATTACTTTTGAAGACTGAATCGGCTGGCAGTCTTGTTATCTGTAATACGAACATTTATGACGCCGATATGTTTGCAACGACGTGGAAGCCCATCATTTCCACGTTGTCGTACGTGTTCATGTCTGCTACCGATGACGCCGTATTTGCTCGAATCGTCACTGGCTTTGATGAGTGCGCTCGCATCGCCACAAAGTACCAGAACACAGAGGCCCTTGACCAGATCGTTTACTGTCTAAGCCATATGTCGACGTTGGCAGCCGACACACAATTCAATACTTCCTTGAACACCGAAGTCCAGGTCGGTGACGGCAGCGTCATGGTCAGTGAGCTCGCTGTTAAGCTCGGCAGGGATCTTCGGGCTCAACTTGCGACTCTTGTACTCTTCCGGGTTGTCACTGGTAGTGAAGAATTGATTCATAGAAGCTGGAAATATGTAAGTACTCGTGCTCTATTATTGGATTCATCGTTGACAAAAATAGATGATTCGCGTATGGCTCAACCTATTCACGAACTCGCTAATTACACCATTCTCTCCGCGTAACTTGCCAACTTTACCACTATCCCCCATTCCCCTACAAACACCATCGCAGGTTATTGATCGAGTAGCACGAAACGCCGATACTGGTTTCTTCTCAGCGTTCACATCGTACATCTCGAGTTACGCTGCAGACGATCCACCCGAGCCGTCAGACGAGGAATTGGAAAGTACACTCTGCACTATTGATTGCATCAAATCGTGCAATATGAGTGCCGTTTTTGAGAATATTGCGTAAGTTGTGTCCAGTATCCCCAACAATGAGAAGCACTAATCCTTTCCTAAGAAACCTGAAACCATCTGTAGCAAAGGTGATTGTCGAAACACTCGTGGATCAACTCCCAGAAGATTCAAACACGACTGTAATTAGCGTCAAGCATGAGAGTATGCCCGCATCCCCAGCAAATGGCCACGTTCTACCACCGGGACATATGGTATACGATCCAAGCGTAGCGTACATCTTGGAATTCTGTACACTCTTAGCGTCTCGAGATGCGGACTCCATCGAGAGCATGGGCAAAGTAGTCTTCGACACCCTACAAGGTGTTCTCCGCGACCCAGCGCGTTATCATGCCATTACCGTCTCACGGGCGTCGTTTTATGCGCTGAAGCTGCTCAACATCAGCTACGTAGGTTCTCTCGATGATGCAACTAGACACAATGCTGATGCTATCAAGGATCATGATTTTGTCAACGTTCCTTTCCTTCTTCACACCATCTCAACTCTGCCGCAAGAAGCACTGGGTAAGAATTCGGATCTGGTGTTGCAGGGTCTTTCACTTTGCATCGAAGAGTCAGGCCCCTTGAGACGCGAGATGATGACATCTCCCGATTTCTGGGCCATTCTGCGTGCCTTGGCTCAACGCCCTGAGGCTGCGGCATTAGTTTTTGAAATCTTGGAAAAGGGATCGACTGGTACCCCTCCAGCCATCATGGCTGATAACTACGAGGCTGCAATCTCACTCCTCAACGACTTTGCTTCTGCTGCTAACCCTCGGCAACCAAGCATGCAGGCTCGAAGCCCCCGGGCCCAAAGGCACAACCCCCCCAAGCAAGATAAGAAACAGTAAGCTTGAACAAGTGCGCAGCCTATCGAGAAGTCACTAACAAAATCTGGCAGGAATGCGGAAGCCGTTAGCAGAGGGTCGAAGGCGATCAACATGCTTTATAACATGACGGATCGAATCCCCCATCTCATGCAGCAATCTCAGCTCGAGAGTAGCGAAGGTTTGTCACAATGCAAACGTTGTTTATAACCTACCATGCTGACCACCTCGCAGCCTGGTCTGCATACTGGCTACCCATTTTCCAGGCTCTAACGGCGCAGTGCGCAAACCCTTGTAGGGATGTGCGACAGCTTGCCTTCTCTGCCCTCCAACGATCGCTCTTGTCACCAGAGTTGACCTGCAGTGACCCTAAAGAGTGGACCGCCATCTTTGGCAAGGTTCTTTTCCCCTTGATCATCCAGCTCCTTAAGCCAGAGGTGTTCCTGTCCGACCGAGATGGCATGAGTGAAATGAGAGTACAGTCTGCATCGCTACTCTGCAAGGTGTTCCTTCAGTATATGGTGCTGCTCTCTGAGTGGGATGGCATGCTGGATCTCTGGATCAAGATTATTGATATCATGGATCGTCTTATGAACAGTGGACAAGGTGATAGCCTGGTGAGTTGGCCCCCTTGAAGCCTTGACGACTCGGATATTAATAAATTTTTAGGAGGAGGCCGTTCGTGAAAACCTCAAGAATGTGCTGCTATTTATGGCCAGCAGTGGCTATCTTATTTCACCGCACAAGGACCCCTCGAAGAAGGAACTGTGGACCGAAACCTGGAAGCGTATAGATCGATTCCTGCCTGAGCTCCGTGGTGAGCTTGCACTGGATGAGCCGCCGAGCGAGGATAAGGCACCTGATGAGACTATGAATCTACCAGTGCAGACTAAGGAAACAGATGGTCGGATCGAAGGAACGACGAGTGAGGGTACGGAGCAGACAGGTGAAGAGGTACCCACGAAGGAGAATATCGTCGACGAGTAGATATTGCAATCTATTGCACTGCGGCCATGTCCATGAAATGTCTGCATATAGGCGTCTGGTTTGGGATTTGTTATCCAGTTGCATGTCGACTCGACAGAGGAGGGCCATGATGCAAAATGCCTGCGAGGACGCTTCTATCGCCTACTCAAGAATAATATATTACAAAATGCTTGCCTACTCCGAAACTTATCGTCTATGATTGACATGAGGACTATTGCTTAAACGGCGACTTGTTGTGTCTGGACCGATCATCGCATGCCAATATTCATGTACAAAAACTGGCTGCACGTACAACGTTGAGCTAACGACGTCATTTGAGATGTGGGGATTGTTTGTAGGCTGCACAACGATAAAGGACTCTGAGCGAAACGCTGGCGGAGCGTTTCCAGACTCTGGGGAATGTCCACCATTTGCAACTTCCTCCACCCACAGTCAAACCTAAAACGGTGTTCCCTCAGCAGTCAAAGCATTCATCACTTGCAGGACCAAGCGCAAGCTTATTCTCCGTACATGTATAAAAATCTTGTTCAGTGACGGCCTGTTCTAGCCTTGGCAGTGGTAGTGCCACGCGCTCACTAGAACCAGAATGTCTGAATATGGTGTTCCAGACGCGCTCAGCCCAGGACTTGAGATCAATGACCTACCTGCCACCATCGATTTGAATGGTGATGCGCCCGTATTTCCTCTACTACAGAACAATGGCGCTGGAAGCCCCTTATCATCTGAAGCGCCTGGCGGCCCCACTATCGAAGAGGACGACAACGACGATGAGCCAGCTGTAGCGAAGCCCTTCGTGCGGACGACGAGCCCCGACCCATCTACACGAGCCTTCCCTGATACCTTCGACGATCGTGTGCCAGATAGGCTGATTTACAAGATGCACAAGTTCAGCCTGTACGAAACGGCCAGTCGATATTACATTGTCGGTGTTGATGTCAGCGAGAAGCGGTATAGGATTCTCAAGATTGACCGAACCACCGAGGGAGCCGAGCTCAATGTGACCGACGACAAGATTGTCTACAGCCTCAAGGAGATGAACCAATTGTTGGACACGATAGACGATGGCAACCGAGGTACGGGTGGCATCAAACTCCGTTGCACTACCTGGGGCTTGCTCGGCTTTATCAAGTTCACCGGACCTTATTACATGCTCCTTATCACCAAGAAGAGCACTGTTGCCATGATCGGGGGCCATTATATATACCAGATCGAAGGAACTGAACTCGTTCCCCTTACGCCCACCAAATTTAAACCCGACACCCGCAACACTGAGGAGCAGCGGTTTCTCGGCATCTTGAACAACCTTGACCTGACGCGCTCTTTCTACTACAGCTATTCTTATGACGTTACGCGCACATTGCAGCATAATGTTATTCGAGAGCGCGACGCTTTAGCCAAGGGTATGCTTCCGCCAGATGAAGAGAACTTCAATTCCATGTTCGTTTGGAATGACTACTTGCTTCAGCCCGCGGTCGGTGCCCTGCGGGATCCGTATGACTGGTGCCGACCAATCATTCATGGATATATCGATCAAGCAGGTGAGTCTTGATTGCACAGCAACGTCTGTAAAATGCGAGAGTATGTTCTAACGCCCAAAAGCCCTCTCAATTTATGGACGGACTGCACACATCACAGTCATCGCAAGGCGGTCGCGCTACTTCGCAGGAGCCCGGTTCTTGAAGCGCGGAGCCAACGATCTTGTACGTGAATCTGAATCTCATAGTGATGGTATCCCATGCAGGATCGCTCACTGACAGTTGCCAGGGCTATGTCGCCAACGACGTGGAGACTGAACAGATCGTGGCCGAGTCTCTCACCACATCATTCCATGCACCCGGTCCTCAGCTATACTGTAGCCCTCAGTACACATCCTACGTTCAACACAGAGGCAGCATACCGCTTTATTGGACTCAAGATAGCACAGGTGTAACGCCCAAGCCCCCAATCGAGCTAAACTTGGTGGACCCTTTCTACGGCGCAGCGGCCTTGCATTTCGATAACCTATTTGAAAGATATGGCGCGCCCATCTATGTCGTCAATCTGATCAAGTCCAAGGAGCGAACACCCCGAGAATCCAAGCTATTGGAAGAGTACACGCATGCCATCAACTATCTAAACCAATTTTTGCCCAAGGACAAGAATATCATCCATAAAGCTTGGGATATGAGTCGTGCGTCGAAAGTGCGCGGCGGGGATGTTATCGGAAACCTTGAGCTAATAGCAGAGTCAGTGCTTGATACTACAGGGTTTTTCCAGAACGGAGATGGCCTGACAAGTCCCATGACGGCGCAGAACGGAGTGGCCAGGACTAACTGTATCGATTGCTTGGACCGCACCAACGCGGCACAGTTTGTTATTGGCAAGAGAGCACTAGGCCATCAGCTTCATGCACTTGGTATCTTGGAGAACACCTCTATTGATTACGACACAGATGCGGTCAACCTATTCACTCACATGTGGCATGATCATGGTGATACCATCGCCGTTCAATACGGCGGCTCACAGCTGGTGAACACTATGGAAACATATCGCAAGATCAACCAGTGGACCAGCCATTCAAGAGACATGATCGAGAGTTTCAAACGGTATTACAATAATTCTTTCCTCGACAGTCAGCGCCAAGAGGCTTACAACCTTTTCCTTGGCAACTACATATTCTCCCATGGTCAACCCATGCTATGGGATCTTGCTACCGACTATTACCTTCATCATGCCAATCCCCGAGATTGGTCCGTCAGGATGCAACATAACTACATCAATTGGTATGTTCCAGCTCACTTACAGAAAAGAACCGTACCGCCATACGTACCTAGCAAAGATATTGCCCGCGCTCATCCCGTTGAGTTCTTTGATGATTACTGGCTTGAGTATTATAGGCCTTCGACCCTGTCTTCCTTTCCCAAGATGTTTGCCTACAAGATGAATTCGACTATTAAATACATTCCTCTCAAGTCGACGCAAGATGGTCGCTACGACCTCAGTCCTTTCCGGGTTCGTACAGATAACGAGACCGAGCACAGTGACAAGAAGAAATCTAAGAAAGAAACCACGTCAAGTGGGAATGTGCCAGTCTCGGAACGAGGGGCCGTATTAGGAAGCGGGGCATCAGACATAGCCTCAAGCAGATCGCCAGCAAAAGGCATATCTCTCCAACGTTGGTTACAGCCTGCTCAGGACAAGAACGCCCTAATTAATTCTCAACGGCTGGATACCAATCAGTCTTTGCAAGAGGCTGAGCATAGCCCCAAGGCGAAACCAACCGCGTTAGAGAAATCTAAAGCTGCACAGTGGACCTTCACCAAAGCTGTTCATGATTCCTTGAACCCATCCGTCGCCGAGCAAGAATCTAAAGATTATGAGCGATATATCAAACATCCTCAGAATCTTCCTCTTGTCGTCTCTAGTGACACGCCTGTCGACGTGGACGCATCCGAATATCAGGAGTACGTTAGTGGTGATTGGCAAGACGAAGGTCTAATTGTCAAAGGAACTGAAGAGGAGATTGATGTCTATGCCGAATTACTTAAGGTGGGGGAGAACCCTTTGACTGTGACTGAGGAAGACGGCCCCAAGAAACGATACAAAGCCTATAGGAAATGGCTACGTGGCAAATCCTTCTTCAAACAACAGCCCTTTGACTAAGTTTGACGACCATCACTCAATCCTTTAAGCCAAAGCCAGAGGAAAAAGCTTCGCTAACCTTGGCTCTTGCTCCAAAACTTCATCCAACTTTGTTGGACGTCTTGATGTATTATGAACCCAAAGGGCCTCCAGAGCTTTCGCAGTATGTTTCAGCTGCCATGATAAACCTTTGATATCATGCTCTGAAACCTCAGCTACATTCTGCTCGATCTCCTCCGAGACACTAAGCCAACACAACGATATGATTCTGATGATATTTTCCATATGACCACCCTCTTGGATCCGAGGCCACGCATTGGCAATAATGGCGTCAAGTGCTTGTGTTGCTGCGATGACCGTTGGAGGATATGAGACTGCGAAAGGGTCCGTCATGATTGATGATATCATTGAGAGAAGTGGCTAGCGATGGTGGGTCAGGACGTTTAGAACATTTTCAGATATAAGTAGTGACGTACTGTAAGGTGTTTAGTCGTGTAGATACCGAGAGAATTGACTACCGATGTGGTCTGCTGCATCAGAATTTGTATTATGCGAGTATGTTGAGATGCATGGAAATGGCCAGCCAGGATTCCGTCCCTCAAGATCTTGTCCAACAACCTTCGACGTCCAGTGTTATCGGAACTGCCAGTAGACTCTGCCAGTTTTATAAGCACATCATAAGCCGGAGCGAGAATGCTTATAGATTGGACCTCAGGAGTAACACTGGGAAGAGAGAGTAAAAGCGGAAATGCGACATCTGCAAATACACGTCCTATGCCTGTATTTTGCAGTACCCTGTCTGGGCATTTGCCCACGAAAAGTGCGAGGATATTCAAGCCTCTCGTTTTGACCTCGATTGACTCATGTTCAACAAGCCCTAACAGAACTGGCATGAAAAGCGGCCAGTGATCTTGAATCAGCAGTTCCTGCCGAAAAGAATAAGTAAATAAACACATATATTGACAAAAGAACTGACTGTAGACATGCATACTGCCCATTGCACGGTAGCCTCCACCCAGGTGACTTGGGATTTCCATGGTTGCTCTTCAGTAAAAGAAGGAAGCCGATCGTTTATAGCGACATACTGAGAAGGTCGCCCGGAAGCTGTGATCCGTGACGACGATCTTAAAAATAATGGCTTCAGGAAGTCTTGGAGGACAGTTGAAACAATGAACTCTGTGAGCTCTTGACCCACGAGCTCGTCAGCTAAGAGTTTTGAGGCCGACTTTGCAGCTGTGGCGGTTGTCCATGGATCCTCGGGATCTCTGACGGCTGTGAGCTTCAAAAGGTTCTGCGGGCTCAGAGTAAAGGAGTGTCTCAAGCAAATGATACTGAGGCTTGCGACTGCTGCTTCCGTGACCAGTTCAAAGTCCCCTTCGCGTCGTCAGTTGTGAATTAAAAGCCACTGGCTGCATGCAGTTGGAATGTACCTTTGCCTCCCTCTAGTCGTATAGCTCTATCGCACATGATTCTCGCGATGCTTTCCAACTCTGAATTGTTTAGCTCTGCATCCCCCATCGAAGATAGATGAGAGACTATAGCAAGAGCTGTGTCGAGAAGATCCTAGATGAAGCAATGTTAGCTCAGGACACAAGTACAACCAAGACACACACATCATTGTTGGATGCAACTAAAGAAGACAATTTATCCTCCAGGGTCCTGCCGTTGGAGTGCTCTAAAGTGTCTAGAGGGTTGAGTAGGAGTTAGTTTAGTGTTACATCATTTGGGACTCATGTCAAAACGACGTGCATACCTGAGACTTTGTAGAGACGCGCAATGTTCCGGGGACTGAGAAGACCATCTAACCCGCCGAAAGCGAGATCAGAAGCGGTCTCTGGCATATCTGAGAGTACCCGAAAGTGAAGATGAGCTTTTTCAAAGTCTATGTTTCGTGAGTGGGAGTAGGATGAATGAAATGAAGCATGTGTTTAGGGGCCTAGAATCTGTTGCTGAACACTGTGCTAACAAGATCTACAGATGCACTGTGAAACATACCTTAGTACCTAGGTAGGTACTTATCCAGTTCCAGCGTTTTCATCATTGTGAACAAGCTGGCCAATAGCCATCAGATTTTACTGTTTTACATCGATTAAGCGAATACTTTGTACTATAGCGGCATGAGTTCTTATGTATTGATCTCATTTTATAGGGACAAGCCCAGTGCGATGGTGCCGCAGATGCATGTACAACAGATGACCTGTGATATACTGCATCCGTATCCAGCGTAGAAGTTGACACACGGTGCCTAGAGCACTTGTCTATAACAGCTGATGCTCGGTAACTTCAGCTAGGAGCGAGATATGTGATGTTTCTCACTATGGTATGCCTAACTCTTTCCTTTGCTTCTGCACTTGTTCTATCGCGCCTGCTGGGTCTGTTTCACCAGGATTGCGGAATTGCCAGGCAAGAACCACTTCTAGGGCCTGCCCCGTCCATTTACCAGGTTTGGTGCCGAGTGCTTGAGCCAATTCTCGGCCATTGAGAATTGCTTTGAGTGATGGGGCTTCATAGACATCCAATTTGGCCATATGGTCGAGGAAGCTGATCCAGCCTGCTAAAAAGCTTTCTTGCTCTAAATGTTCGTTAGTCGGATATCTATGGGAATGCTGTGTTGCATATGACTTACTTGCTGATCCATCACGGCGCCATTCCGGGAGAGTTCCTAGGGCTTCTACTAATAGTGCATTCAAAATTTGTAGTCTCCAGGTACCAGCCGGCGAATCCCATTTCCGGATAGCCATACCAAAGCGGTCTCGCTCCTGAACCATCGGCTTCCCGGCACAAACGGCATTCTTCAGTTCCATAATCTCTTCCCGGTGGCGGTGGGCGGCAGCAACGATATCAGATAACCTGTTCGGGGCCTTGAAGCCTTCGCGAGAGATAGTGGCCACAAGCGGAGGAGAACTTGGCTTCTTGCGCGGGTTTGGAGGGTCCTCGACCATCATCCAGGGCGAGAGAGCGGCTAAATTCCAGGCCAAATAGGGGGCATCGACAGAAGTGATGAGTCTGCTGGCGACAGAAGTCGAGCTTCGGTCTTGCAGAAGCTCGTCAAGACAAGTGTACGTAACACTCAACCGCGAGACATCTGGAACCGGGAGGTTTTCCTGAGTTGGATCGGTGAAGATGGCGTGAAAGAGGTGAAGATTATCGATGAATTCAAGCGCTTGGTATGGATGAGCCCCTACTTGAGTATTAGTGATTGCTGCATAATGAAACTTGTTTATGTGAATACAACCTTTCAGCATCTTCTCAAGCTCTACACCTACACGCTCCCGGCTGATTTTGACACGAAGTGCCTCCAATACCTTTGGATCTGCCATGAACTTGCGTGTATTCTCATCAATTGTGAATTGCAGACGGCTAGCGAAGCGCACAAGGCGCAGCACTCTTAAAGGGTCATCCATAAATGTCTGGAAAGGCTCCAGAGGTGTCCTGATGATCTTGGCATCCATATCCGTCAGCCCTCCTGTGAAATCTTCAACACAGTCATCATGCAAATTGTAGAAGAGTGCATTCACAGTCGCGTCGCGACGACGTGCATCTTCTTCTGCTGTACCAAATTCCATTTGCGGATTACGGCTATCCTCAGTGTACGTCTCTTTCCGAAGGTTGACGAAATCAAGATCTAAGCCAAACATCTTGACCATGGCAGTTTCGAGGTGCTTGGACTTTTCCGGGTTGCGGGCAACATTGTGCAAGTTACCAATATCCGCAGGACCAATATTGTGCTTAGCCATGGCCTCTGGACCTTCGCAATAGTCGCACATAGCTTGAGCGAATGGAACCCCAGTCATGGCGTTGATAGCAACGTCAATATCATGACTTTGGATGTTGAGCAGCTTGTCGCGTACCCAGCCGCCAGCCCAACGAAGGACAATGGGCTCGGAAGCTTGACCGGCATCGTCTATAGCCTTGGCTACATCAAGAAGGAGATGACGAAGCTGCTGCTCTTTGGGGGTGAGTTGGATGGTAGTGGTCACCATAGTAGACTTGAGAATTCGACTAGGTGTAAGGTGAACTTTTTGAGGTGGCACAGTTGAGAGCGCCAGTGAATTAGAAGGCAATGAGGGCTGCTCCTTGAGAAATGAATCAAGGTTCCTCTTCATGGCAAACCCCGGTCGACCCAGGCGCTTGATCATGAACTAAAGTGCGGAGTAGGGCCGGTGTGAGCTTGATCATTTGGCGCGTGGGGTTTTGCACAAGGCCAGAAAGAATGATGTTGGAAGAGGAAAAGCTGATCTTTCGCTTTTCTGTTGAGGTGAAGGATGAGAAGATTGATGTGTCCGAAGATCTTGCTTCGTTACCCACCCATATATGGAGGCGGACTGCTGTCAGATAGGGATACCACTGGCGATATGGCGATAATCGAAACCGCAATTCTTGGTGTTTCTGTTAGGCTCTGAAATGATATCCTCTACTATGTGCTTGTAGTGGCCGTCTTGGCCAATCAATTGAACTGCGCAAGGACTCTAACCGCCGTGTACAGTGTGAGTCAGAGCCGCTTTATGACTAAGGATTTGAGATTCTGTTCGAGAAAATGTGCGCGTTAAGCACTGGGTACCGGGTAGGCTTAGTACTTACTTGGGTAGTTCCGCGACCACCTTGGCTACTGTGCATTACGCCATACGGCAGCTGATTCTACAAATGAAGAAACAAGAGGCTGGTCGCAGCCTCGTATCATCGTATGTGTACGTAGTATAGTAGGTGAAGCACTTGATGGTTGGTGGCATGCGGCTACTGGTTCTCGTAATCCCTACAGCGTCGTGGCTGCTTGACGTGGTTTTACAATACAATACTCTTCACATACCCGCTGGGTTAAGCTCATCCACACCCCCACCTCTAGAGAGGTAACGCACAAATTCGTAACTATATATAAACCGTAACTATATAACTTAATATTACTATAAATAAATCTTATTAACTTTAGCCTAAATTAATTAAAATTAATATTACTTTATTATTATATATAATTTTTATAATAACTTTAATTTTAGTAAAATTAAGGAAAATTATAGTAATTAATATATATACTTAGCTAACCTATAAGTCTATAATAAGGACTATATATTATAACTTTATATTAAGTAAAATATTATAATATATAGTTATAGCTTAATATTATATAAAATTAAGTTTTATAAAAAATTATTTATATTTGTTAAAAACTAAAAAGTTATTATTAATAATAAAGATATTCTTAAAAGGTAATAAGTAATTAAATATATTAACTTTTATTAAAAAATAAGCTTTTATTAAGTATATTAATAATATTAAAAATAGTACTTTTATTATAATTAAAGTTTAATTTATTTTTATTTTTATTTTAACCTTTAATTTTATTAAGCCTAGGCTTTTTAAATCTCTTAATAATATTAATAATAAAAATAACCTCTTTTAAGGTTAAAAACTTAATATAATTAAGATATTAAATATTATATATAGTAATTAAACTTTAATTAAATAAATATATATAATAACTATATATATAAAAGCTAACTTCTTTTTTATATCCCTTAACTTAATTTATATTATAAATTAATTAATTAATCTTTATAGTTATAATTAGTTAATTAATCCTTACCTTTTAGTTTATATTACTAACCTTTTTTATAATTATTATAATAAGTATTATTATTAAAATAATAAAAACCTATTATAGTATAAACCTTAATTTAAAATATAAAAAGATTAATAAAATATTAAAAAACTATTATAAAATAAAATATAAAGAAATTAAATAAAAGGTTAATAACCTTAAGATTAATATAAGATAAAATATAAAAAGTTTTTTATTACCTTTTTATAATAAATAAAATAATTTCTATTTAATTATATTAATTATCTTTAATTATAAACTTTTAATATCTTTTTTTATATAAGAAAAGGAGCTAAATATATAATATATAGAAATATAATTTAAAAGCCTAAAAAGTTTAAAAAATAGACTTATAAAAAGGCTAGTTTTAAAAATTAATACCTTTTTTATTAAGGTTTTTAAATTAAAGCTTTATTATATAAATTAATATAATAACTTAAAGAAATAAATTAATAATATAATTAAGATCTTTAAGAATAAAAAATAAAGCTAGATCTATTCTAGTCTTAGCCTAAGACTAAAAGTATATAATTATTAAGGATAGTAATAGAAATTATATATAAGGTATTAAGAGGGGGTAGAAAGGTAAAAGGTTAAAATATATTACTTAAAGGAATATATATTTTATTAGTTAGAGTTAAAGTTAAAATTAAAGTAGCCTTTAGGCTAAGAAATTAAATTAAATTATATAATCCTTATTAAAATCTTACTATACTATAATATAATATATAATATTATTAATAATATTATTAATTAGGGATAATTAAAGTTTATATATATAACTATATTAATTTTTTATATTAATTTTAAATAAATAAAATAAAAATAAAAATATTATAAACTTAGGTATAAAAGTTTAAAAAATAATACCCTAAACTATAGTATTATATACCTAAAGTTAAGGAAATTTAAAAAGTAAGTATAAAGCTTAGTATTAATAAGATTATTACCTAGTTTATTAATTATAAAGATATTATTATATTAAATAATATATAATCTTAAAATCTATAAAATTTTAATAAGTTACTATTATAAATTAACTAGATTAAAAAAAAACTAAAGTTATTTTTATTAAAAAAAAAGAAAGAAACTAGATTAATTACTTTTTAATTAGGTAATAAAAAGTTATTAATATTTATAAATATAATTAATACTATAAAGTAAGTTATTTCTTTTTTCTAATATTTATATTATAGTCTTTATTTAAAGAATATATTTATATTAATATTAATCCTAATTAATAATCTTATTAATAATATTATATATTATATTATAGTATAGTAAGATTTTAATAAAGGTTATATAATCTAATTTAATTCCTTAGCCTAAAGCTACCTTTAACTTTAAGCTACCTTAACCTTAACTTTAACTCTAAATATATATTCCTTTAATATATTAACCTTTTACCTTTCTACCTTAACCTTTTAATACTTTATATATAATTTCTATTATTTTAGCTTTATAGTTTATTCCTAAAGATTATAATTACTTTATTAATCTATTTCTTTAAGTTATTATATTAAACTATATAGTAAGGCTTTAACTTAAATACCTTAATAAAAAAGGTATTAATCTTTAAAACTAGCCTTTTTATAAACCTATTTTTTAGGCTTTTTAGGCTTTTAAATTACTTTTTTATATATTATAAATTTAAGTTTATTTTTATATAAAAAATAATATTAAAAGTTTATAACTAAAGGTAATTAATATAATTAAATAAAGATTATTTTATTTACTATAAAAAGGTAATAAAAAGCCTTTTATTTTATATTTTATATTAATTTTAAGGTTTTTAATTTTATATTTAAGTTATTTATATTTTATATTATAGTAATTTTTGTATATATTATTAATCTTTTTATATAATAAATTAAGGTTTATATTATAATAGGTTTTTATTATTTTAATAATAATACTTATTATAATAATTATAAAAAAGGTTAATAATATAAACTAAAGGGTAAGGATTAATTAATTAATTATAATTAAAAAGGTTAATTAATTAATATATTTATAATATAAATTAAGTTAAAAATAGAAAAAAAAGCTAGTTTTTATATATATAGTTATTAATATATATATTTATTTTATTAAAGTTTAGTTATTATATATAATATTTATTATCTTAATTATTAAGTTTTTAACCTTAAAAAAAGTTATTTTTATTATTAAGATTATTAAGAGATTTAAAAAGCCTAGGCTTAATAAAGTTAAAAATTAAAATAAAAAGAAAATATTAATATTAATAAAAATATTTCTATTTTATTTTTTATTTTAACCTTTAATTTTATAAAGCCTAGGCTTTTTAAAACTCTTAATAATATTAATAATAAAAATAACCTCTTTTAAGGTTAAAACTTAATAATTAAGATAATAAATATTATATATAATAACTAAACTCTAATTAAATAAATATTTATATAATTTATATAATTATATATATAAAAGCTAGCTTCCCCTTTATACCCTTTAAACTAATCTATATTATAAATATACTAGTTAATTAACCTTTATAGCTATAATTAATTAATTAACTCCTAGTCTCCTTTTAGTTTATATTACTAACCTTTTTTATAATTACTATAATAAATATTTAAATAATAAATACTTATTATAATATAAATCTTAGCCTAATCTATAATAAGATCTATAAAGTAATTAATAACTATAATAAAGAGAAATATAAATAATTTATTTATATAATTAAAGACCTTAAGATTAAAATAAGGTAAGACTTTTAAGACTAGTTAATACCTTTTTATAATAAATAAAATAACTATAGCTTAATTAAATTAATTACCTTTAATTATAAATTTTTAATATTTTTTTATATATAGTTAAGTTAAAAATATTATAAAATAAAAATATTAAGTTTAAGGTATATAAAAGATTAATTTAAAAACCTAAAAAGCTTAAAAAAAAGGCTTTTAAAAAGGTTAATCTTTAAGACTAAAACCTTATTTATTAAGGTATTTAAATTAAAGCTTAACTATATAGTTTAATATAATTACTTAAAAAAATAGGTTAAATAGATAATTAAGGCTAGTAAAGGTATAAAGTAAAGAGAAGTTATATATAAGGCACTAAGGGGCTACAATAGGTAGAAAGGTAAAAGGTTAATATATTACTTAGAGGAATATATATTTAGAATTAAAGGTAAAGTTAAGGTAGCCTAAAGTTAAAGGTAACTTTAGGCTAAGAAATTAAATTAGATTATATAATCCTTATTAAAATCTTACTATACCGTAATATAATATATAATATTATTAATAATATTATTAATTAGGGATATAGTTTTTATATATATTAATTTTAGCTTTAATAATAATTAAAAAGCCCTTTAGTAATTATAGTATTATAATCTTTACTTTTTTAATAAAAATACTGATTTTAATAACTTTATAATTAAAAAGTAATATAATTATTTATATTAAGTCTAGTAATACCTTTAAAAAAAAAGATCTAACTATCTTAATTAAATCTATAAAAGTATTAATAATAAAAGTCCCTATATAAACTAAAAAGTAATAATAACTTAAATTTAATAAGGTTACTTATTATATTAATTATAACTCTATTTTTTAATAATATAAAAACCCCTATTAAGATTACTTTTCTCTTTTTATACTTTACTTTAATTAACTTACCTAAGATAAGATAAAGATTATAATTATTAAATAACTTACTAAATCTATAAATTAACTTAATTACTTTATTTATAACTAGATTAATAAAGCTAACCTTAATTATAATTAAAATATTAATTAATACCTTAATCTTTATACCTTTTTATAAAGACTTTTAACTAATCAATAACAATATTATAATTAAGGCCTATAAAAAGGAATTTTAATATAATTAAAAGGTATTTATTAAAGTAATAAATAATAATCTTAAGGTCTATAATAAGCTATAAAACTTATTTAATAAAATTAAGTAGTAATATATTATTAAGGTAAGTATAAAGTCTATAAATTAAAAGGCTAAGATTATACTTACTATTTTTAATTATAAAGTCCTTTAATTATATAACCTATTTACTATTAATAATAATTATTTATATAAAAAGGTATAGTTTATAATAAAAATATTATTTTTTAACTATTTTAAATAAAAGCTTAAATTATATAATATAATTAAGCCTTTAATAATAATAAAAACTTCTTTTTCTAATATATTAAATAAAAATAATATAAATTTAATAACCCTAGTTAATAATATTATTATTAATATTATATATTATATTATATATATATAATAGGATTTTAATAAGGGTTATATAATCTAATTTAATTCCTTAGCTTAAAGTTATTTTTAACTTTAGGCTACCTTAATTTTAACTTTAACTCTAATTAATAGAATATATATTCCTTTAAGTAATATATTAACCTTCTACCTTTTTACCCCCCCTCAACGCCTTATATATAACTTCTCTTTATTTCTTACCCTTATTGGCCTTCTTACCTTTATTAACCTAGATTACCCATTTAACCTATATTTCTAACTTATTATATTAATCTCTATATTTTAATTTAAATATTTTAATAAGAAAGGTCTTAATCTTAAAGACTAGGCCTTTTAGAAACCTATTTTCTAGGCTTTTTAGACTTTTAAGTTATATTTTTATATACCTTAAATCTAACCTATTTTCTTTTATATAAAAAAGTATTTAAAGCTTATAATTAAAGGTAATTAATTTAATTAAGTTATAATTATCCTATTTATTATAAAAAAGTATTATAATATAGCTATTAAAAAGTTACTCTAGTTTAATCTTAAGGTCTTTAACCTTAAGCTTAAGTTATTTATACTTTTCCTTATTATAGCTTTTAAAAGTATTATTAATTTACTTATAGGTTAGGTTAAGGTTTATATTATAGTAAATATTTATAATTCTAAAACTTATTATATTAAGTAATAGCTATAAAAAAGGTTAGTAATATAAACTAAAGGGTAAGGGACTAGGGATTAATTAACTAATTATAGCTATAAAGGTTAATTAACTAGCTTATAGTATAAATTAGGCTAAGGGATATAAAAAGAAGCTAGCTTTTATATTTATAGCTATATAAGTTATATATATATTTATTTAATTAGAGTTTAGTTATTCTATATAATTTTTATTATTTTAATTATATTAAGTTTTAACCTTAGAAGAGGTTATTTTATTATTAATATTATTAAGAGATTTAAAAAGCCTAGGCTTAATAAAGTTTAAGGTTAAAGTAAAAAAAAATAAAAATAAAAAATTTAATAAAAAATAAATATAAAAAATAATTAATAAATTTAATTAAGGAATTTAATTAATAGACTATATTAAACTTTAATTAAAACTACTAAAGGACTAAAAAAAGACTATTAAAGTTAGAGTTATAAAAGCAAAATTTTTATATATAAAATAGAGTTTTTTATTAAAGATTAAAAAGTCTTAAAAAGATAAAATAAGTTATTTTAATCTAAAGGAAGAAATTATTATAATTAATTAATTAAGATTATATAACTTAATAGCCCCTCTTTATAGTAAGTAAATAAAATAAGAAAGGTAATTAATAGTAATTTAATAGTAATATAATTAAGGGAGGTTAAGGCTATAAATATAAACTAAATTACTATTTAAATTAAAAAGGTAAGGACTTTATTAAGGTACTTAGGTTTCTTATATCTATACTAAGGTTAGCCAGCTAGACTGGCTATAAAAAAAAGACATAATATAATAATACTATTATATCTTTAAAATAATTAAAATTATTACTATAAATAGTTTTAATTAAATAGAATTAAATAATATTACTTTTAATTTTTTATAATTTAATTTAATTACTATAGATTATACAGGCTATTAATTATATAGTTATAGTTTATATATAGTTACGAATTTATACGCCCCCTTTTTAGAGGGGGTAACGTGGATACCGAAGTCCCCGGGTAAATAGTTCTAATCAGACCAGAAGGTAGGCCAGGCCGGTTAGACCTTGCCGATCTGTTCACTAGCAGCGTTCTCCAAGCTGGGGTAAAGCTAATGTTAGCTAGAATCTCTTGGCTCAAACCTGGGGAAGCTATCGAATCTCATCCGTGTTGTAGATCTGTGCTGCCAAGCAAGTCACAGCTGTTATCCCTGCTCGGTTTGAGAATTGACTACCCAACACAGGCACTTTGATTGATGACACACTTGGTACTTGCAACACGTCTCTGTGAGATTATCCTTCATGGGCGAACTACCTACAGCACTGCCTTGTGCTTACCTGTTTGACTTCTACGCAGAAAACAATTCGCACGGCTTGCCTGGTTCTTGGTAACATCATACTACGTAAAGGTATCCTTAGATAGAGGTTCAATACCTCATCTAATTTGCCACCGTGGCTGCATAAGGTCCTCACTACCTTTGCATTTGTCTCCTCTTTGCCGAGCTGAGCTATCAAACGGTGCACGCCACCAGGCAGATACCCAATTGCATTTGTGGCATGGTCACCACTATGAGCTGGTGCATAGCCCTTCTGCGGAAGAGCTACCTTGCAGCTCTGATAACAGAAGCTCTGGCAAATGAACAGTTGAGTCAATGACTGGGTTATGGTCACGGTACCTACCCGGCTTGCTTGTGAATACCTAGCGTTACGACTACGACCACCTTTTACTCCCTCTGGCAACTCTCTCCAATCATGGCCTTCAATCACCACTAGAGGTTGCTGATCTTACACTCTCTCGTCATCATGCCGCACCTCCTGTTAGATGGCGGCAACCATCTTCAGCTTTGCTTGACCACTTACCGAGAACCCTTTCAATAGCGGCCATCACGCTGACGTCAAGAACGGCGACGATCCAAATTCAAAGCCACGCCTATCTACCTTCGTAGGTAGTTACGTAGTACGTCGTGCTGGCCGTATTTGTACAGGTGGACTAAAAAGCAACCCAATACAATTGCAAGCGTTCATCTGATACTTTCCTTAGCCTGTCTAAAGTCGCCCGTAGGCTGAAAGAAGGGGTTCAGGCTTTGCGGGGTAGACAATCCATTGACGCTTCCCTGAGCAGTATATAAACTTGCCAGCGTCGGACGTTCTGGCGATAACTGTGGTTCTTTATCTACCTTCTCATCAAACAGCCTCACGTTACATCTATCTTAACCATACTCTCAAAGACTACTTGCCAAAACTCAGTCAAAACCATTCTCAAGACACCCCAATACCTTCACGATGGAACAGCCCATCAAGAACCAGGAGGGTACTGCACAGAATATGAATGAGACTCCCATTGTCGGCTCCCCTCCTCAGGACCGCAGAGCAAGTGACGCCGCCCAAGATCGAAGAATGAGTGACGAGTGGGGTAAGTACAAAACCTCCAGCTTGTCATACCGAACAAGAAGTTAATAGCCAAATGTAGACGCGTCCAAGGTCCCCCCCAGCCGTTTCCAAAAACGCAAGGGATCCATCTATGCGACCCCAGGATCTCGCGATGGGCATGTTGACAGAAACCACCAGGACAAGTACTGGTCCAAGATGAGTGAGAAGAATTGGGGTAGCAAATAAACTTTCGATTGCGACGAAATAACAGGAGTTCGGACAAATGGCAGGAGGCTTCATTCAATGTGTAAGATGACGATGGAGTGTGAGGGAAATAAGGGGATAATTCACTATGGATAAACGGACTGTATATGTAACTCGGTACGATCAAATTAAACCAAACATTCCACCTTGACATGCTGGTTACTCATCGGGGCCATCGATATCAATGGCATCCGGGTTTGAAGTAAAAATTAAAGGCGCCGGCTTGCCGCCCACCGGGCCAGTGCTTGCTGCGACAAATCCTTGTGGTGCTTTTGACTGTCTCTCCAAAGCCGCCATTGCATCCGTTACCTCCATATCATCCTCACCCCCAGATTGGCGTTGGCTGCGTGCCAGGGCTTGAGAAGCGATAAAATTGACATCGGTGTTGTATTGTGCCTGCACACTTCGTTTGATTCGTAACATCTCCTTAAATGTGTCCTCGTTGCCGTGTTGTACCTCAAACTGTTCCCACTTCGCCCAGAAATCAGGGTTCGTGCGAGGATCACAAAATTGTGATGCATGTCCATAAATGGCACGAGCTCGGTCGATTTCGCCCAGCCTTTTCTCCATGTCGGCGAACTTGAGGCACATGTCCTTGGCTTCGATGTCGGGTAAAGCAGCAATGGCCCTCTCGTAAATTGGCCTCGTCGAGGTTAGGCCGAAGTTTGAGGCGGATTTGGTAATATAGAAGTTGAACATATCCGCTCGGTCCTCATCCGCAACCGCCCGGGTGGCTCGTTCATATATTCGCATTGCATGCCGCGCCAAACCACGTTCTTCTTCCAGATTGCCGTACATGAGATAAATCGTTTTGGCAAACTTTGGCGGGCAATCTTCCACAGCTTGTTCAAATAGATCGCGTAACCGTTCGATACCGATCTTCCGGTCAACAGCTTTGGTGAGATACAAGTTCCAAAGCTCAAAAGCAACTGGATAGCTAAATAGATCGAGACCGCGCTCGTAGATCTTGAACGACTCCTCATAGTATTTGTGTTCCTCGAGCAGATTGGCGTAGTTGACAACCGTTTGGGGGGTCGCAATCCTGAGCTCAAAGATACGTTCGTATACCTTTTTAGTCTCATCCAGAGTTGATACACTTTCAACAAGATCAACGTAGAAGCTCCAAAGCTTCCAGCTCTTGTGGACCCTTTGCTGTGGGGAAAGGCTTTCGTCGAAGTAGTCAACTGTTGATCGCTTTGGTGCTTGAACTGCCTTGGCCATGATCCGGACTGCGTCGTCAAAGTTCTCGTTTCGCAGTTCCATCTCTGCCCATTCAATCCACATGTCGGCTAGCTCTGCCACTGACTTGAATGGAACTTTGATAGCTTTCTCCATGATAACACGGGCGCTCCTCAGGTCACCCCCTCGTTCGTAGAATTTGGCATAATTGGCCCAAAGCTGATGGAACGCACCCACAGCGCGTTTCGGCTGAATAGCGGCGATCGCATCTGTGTAGGTTTGGGCTACTTCCTTCTTGTTGTCACCCCAGAGGGCGACCCTCTTCTCCCATTCTGGCACACTGTTTGGGTTCTGCCGTAGTAGGACGTCGTTCAGGAGGAATGGTCGCCTATCCATGAGCTGCTCAAAGCGCATCATCCTAATGTCTAACTCGAAGTCGGCGTTCTCATCTTCAATGCCCTTTTCAGCCCGTGCAGATGCGACTTCCATGAGGGCACCAATGATAGACTCCTCAAACTCAGTGTAAGACTCGAAAATCAGAGTGAAATCCCTGACTGTCATGACTGTTGTGATGCCCTCTTCGAAGACATCGCGGGCTCGTTCAAAACTGCCCTTACGGATCCAGTAGGTAGCCAGGCCAGACCATAGTTTCCCTCTTTGATCGGCAAATCTAGAAATACCGCTTCGGATGATACTCTCGGCATCGATTCCCGTTTCGTATCCCGTCTCGATTTCAGCGGCATGCTCCACAAGCAGATCTACCATTTCGCTCCAGAGTTCATAATGCCCCTTCCCATGCTTGCTGTTGAACCTGGCGTTGTTGAGAATATCTATGAACTTCAGGGCCGCCTCAGTATAAAGACCAGTCTCGACCAGCAGTTCGATAAAATCCTCCGCATCCTCGGGGTGGACCTGCATGTAGCGTCGCCATATTTTTACAGCTGTTTCCCCAGCAGCAGAGTTCGCAAACGGTCGATAAACTGCCCAGATACGATTGTGTTGGGTAATCGGGAGGGCTCTGAGGGCTCGGTCGAATGTTCGTCGCGTTAAAGTAACGATCGGCTGCTTCGACAGAAATTTTAAATACATCTCCCATATTCGTGGCATCTTGTGGAGTAGAGTAAGAGCTTTCTCAAAGAGAGCGTTGACTTTACGATATTCTGCCGCGAACAATGCTGGGTTCATCTTGGCCACGTGCTTGGTACGGAACGATAGATACTACACTGGTGTAAGACTTGGACATACAGCATTGACGCATCTGTTCATAGATAGGGTGAGTTTCTTACCAGCTTCCATAGTTTATACGATCGAGGCAACTGGGTGCAAGCCCGCTCCATCACGTATGCTTGCTCGAGTACACTGCTATGGCGTGACTTGAAGTCAATATAGACTAGCCATGGCTTGACACTGCCGGGATCGCGAAGAATGTCCTGCTCATATACCGAATCTTCGTTGGACTGATAGTCTATAGTTAGTGCATGTTACCACAGGCCACGCGTGTTTTTACGACTTACCACGAGGTGCAGCTGCGGCTGCCTGCGCGCGCCGTGCAAAGACGCATTGATAGGAGCCATGGCAATCGCGTTAGGCTGCCAATTCGACGATGATAATCGGAACGTTTTCGCGAAAGTAGCGGAAGAGTAGGATCAACGTGAAACAGACATCGTCGTGACCACCGGGAAATGTGAAAGAAAGTTTCCCAACCCCGATTCTCCAAGGCCAGGTGTGACCAAAAGATTATAAAAGAGCACGTCCAGATACGCCGGGAATTGTATCAGTCTTGATCCGCGAGGGAATAGGGTGATGATGCTGGTGATGTTGGTCCTTTGACTTGAAAGAGACGCGATCGTTGTAGTATTTTTCGGGATATTGACGGCCCAGTTGAAGGAGGCCCACTGAAGTGACGGAAGTGGAGCTCCAGTCCGCGGTAGAGCCACTACTCCGTATGTAGAATCTACCTACCTCTGCTTACGTTATGAATCCCGTAGCTGCAGCAACTCTGGAAGGCCCAGGCGGTCCGGGGTGCTCTAGTTTCAGCGAGCTATGGAGCACCTTGTGACGACAGGTTGGTGTGGACTTGTCACTATCTAAAGCTTTCAATCTTCGCATTCGATTCAGCCATTCACCACGATTTCAATCTATACCATCAAGTTTAAACAGTCAAGATGTCAGGAGCCGCGGTGGGTCAAACTCGAGTCCTTGCTGAATTCTAAGAGACGCTAATGTAACAAACAGGATCGCGAAGCTGTCTTCCCAACCCGGCAGTCGCTGGGTATCATGAAGGCAAAGCTCAAGGGAGCAGAGACAGGGCACAGCTTATTGAAGAGGAAGAGCGAAGCTTTGACAAAGTATGTAACAACCCTAAAACAATGCGCTCTTGCTGTCTTGTCCAACTGACTCTTTATGTAGGCGTTTCAGAGGTGTATATTCCCTCTAATCACCTGTACGATGCAAAGGAGTGAGCAAGAATGCTGATGAGCGACAATGCAGAGATCACGAAACGAATCGACGAGGCGAAGCGAAAAATGGGACGAGTGATGCAGATTGCGGCATTCTCTCTGGCTGAAGTTACTTATGCGGTGGGCGGTGACATTGGCTACCAAGTCCAGGAATCTGCCAAATCCGCTCGATTCCGTGTCCGAACAAAGCAAGACAACGTCTCGGGTGTTTTACTCCCAGCCTTCGAAAGCTATCTCACCGAAGGCAACAACGACTTTGGGCTGACAGGCTTGGGCAAAGGAGGACAGCAGGTGCAGCGATGCCGAGAGACGTACGCCAGAGCTGTGGAAGCGCTTGTCGAACTTGCCAGCTTGCAGACTGCGTTCGTGATCCTGGACGAGGTCATCAAAGTGGTGAACAGGCGCGGTAAGTTCCTGAACGCCAACGACTGACAGGACGCTAACCATCTTATCAGTCAATGCGATTGAGCACGTTATTATTCCTAGGACCGAGAACACTATCAAGTACATCAACTCTGAGTTGGATGAACTCGACCGCGAGGAATTTTACAGATTGAAGAAGGCATGCTTCCACGAACACCTCGTTGAACAGCACATCTAACAAGAAGTAGGTTGCAAACAAGAAGCAACGTGACACTGCCGCAGCAGATGCCGAGATGAAGGCAAGGCGAGAAGCAGAAGCCGCCACGCAACACGGAAAGGCGTCGCAGCAGGATGAAGGGAAAGCTACAGACGTCCTTGGTGCAGGTGATGATGAAGATGTCATTTTCTAGCCTGGTAGTTTGTGGGCTCGACTATAAAGTATGAGGGTAACAAGTATTCATAAGTGCCCTTGAACTTTGACGAAGCCAAGGAGAAGTTGCATATATTAGACTAGGACTCAACCAATAATCATAAGCGGACGCCGAATCTTCCTACCATCCGACTGCAATCTTGTTATTACTACGGGGTATTTTACTGTCGCTGATAGGTAACCTTGATGGGCTTTTCTCCCAAATGTAAGCCGGCTGTGTGTTCTTTGGCGGTTATGGCACCCTGCTCAGCCTCGTATTCCACGAAGGCAATGCCACGCCGTCCTGGGACAAGTCTGACTTCCCGGAAGCCATCGAAGCGGCCAAATACACTAGTCAAAGCCTCGATATCATATTCTTCGGGGAGATTCTGGACGAACAGAATCTTGTTTGGGGGGAGAAATTCGTCGAGTACACCACCTGATGCTGCGGCGCTGGTTGACTTGAGACCAGAGGATTTCGTGGCCTTCGCGGGCTTGGTATCCGTAGCTGCGCCAGGACCACGATTGTTGGTCTGTCGCTGCTCTTCCGCTCTTTCTAAAGCTTGACGCTTATCTGAGGAAATGTTAGCTATGGAATTCGATAACATGCGAAACTCATACTCTTTTCCTCCTCCCGATGGCGCTTGTGATTGTCAAGCTCTTCCTGGTTGCCCTGCAGTTCAACCGTCTTGTCGCTTCTGGTACGCGCAATCGCAAGCTTCATCGGTTTCCCGAAAAGCTCGAACCCGTCAATCTCTTCGATGGCATCGCGCGCGCTTTCAGGGTTCTCGAAGACAACGAAGGCTTGACCTTTAGCGCGAAGGTTCTTTTTCGCGACAATGTCGATGACAGAACCAAACTCCGAAAATATTGTTCTCAAGGCTTCCGTCAAAGCTTCGAGCTTGACGCGCTCTTCGAGATTTTGAACGTAAACACTATTGCCAGTTAGCTTATATCTCACACGTGGCGTCGGAAGTGCAATGACACGCACGTGGAAACAGGTAGGTTGGAGGCCATTGTCGATATTTTTGCAGATGCAAGTGCAAGTCAGTTAAACGAATGATGGCGCAGGAAGATATGGCCGGGAATAAAGTTAAGGTGGCTAGCCTGATTGGTGTATTGAATAATGTGGGGATAAGCGCCTTACAATACCTGAGTGATAAATTAAAATATAAGTACGTAATAATAGAAAAGTAAAGTAATAAGTTATAAATTAGTTAACCTAAGAACTTATTTAAGCTAATATTAATAATATTTTAATAATATTATTACTATTTATAGACTTAAATAATTATATATTACTCCTTTTTAAAAGAGAGTATATAAATTTATACCTATATATTAACTATAACTATAAAACTATATTACTATATAAACTATAATAAGTAATAAGTATTATAGGGTTTTTTTTTTTAACCTTTAATTTTATATAAAGATATTAAAGACTTATATAAAGTATTACCTTAGCTAAGGGTTAGAGATTAGTTAGTTTAATTTAATTTACTTAAAAGATCTTTATATATAAAGCCTTTATAAAAGTCTTTATAAATTAAAGTCTATTAATATAATTAGACCTATTTACTATTTAAAGCTACCTTAACTTATTAACCTTTTATAATTCTTTAATTTCTACCTTATAGAAAATTAATATAACTTAAAATAATAAATATATAATAAATAATAACTATAAATAAATCTATAAATATTATATAGTTAAGTATTATATACTTACTAATTAAAATATAAAACCTAATAGTCTAGTTAATTAGAATACCTATTAAAAACTTAAGTAATAGGAATATTATTAAGAAATAAAATAAAATTAATAAATTAATTAAAGATATAAAGGAAAGGCCTATTAATATTCCCCTTTATATTAAGGACTATAAATATAGTTTTAAAAGAATAATAACCCCTAGTTAAAAAGAACTTTTAAAAAGAATATACCTTATATTATAAAATACCTTATTAAAATCTTAATCTTTATAAAGATATTCTTTATAGTAAAGATATAAATTAAGGTTATTATTAATAAGAAGACTAAACTAGATAGAAAATACTATTATAATAATAATAAGAATAATAATAAAATTAATATAATAATAGGCAGAGATAAATAAATTTATTTTCTAATAGTTTACTAAAGGACTGGCCTTTTAATATTAAAAAGAATATAATTAACCTTTATTATATAATTATAAAATATTTAAAAGAATATAATTAACCTTTATTATATAATTATAAAATATTAAAAAAGAATATAACCTTAATATAGATTAATAATTAAATTAAGGCTATTAAAGTAAGTATTAACCTTAGGCCTAACTTTAATTTTAATTAATAGGCTAAATAAATAATATTAAAGATTTTTATAAAATTATAAATTAAATAGTAATCCTTTAAAATTAATATAAAAGGTAACCTTCCTTAATAAAAATAATTCCTAGCTTTTATAAAAAGGTAATATATAAATCTAATTTTTTAAAAAAGAATAGTAAAAAACTAATTTATAAAAGTTTAATAACTTTATAAAGAATTATTAATATAATTCTTTATTAAATAAAAGGGTATTATATAACTCTTTTAATACCTTAAACTTTAAGATAAATAAAAGCTTTATGTATTAATATTAATATAAACTTTAATTAAATTTAAAATAAAAACTTAATAAAGATTATATTTTATTTAAATAAATAAGACTTATTATAAAATAAGTAAAATATATTTAAAAATAAATAAGTAAAAGTATAATATTATTATATTATAAATATTAAGAACTTACTAATAGATTAATATAAAATCCCTTATTATTATAAAATAATAAAGGATATTATAATAATAATTAAAAAGGCTATATTAATAATTATAAAGGCTATAATATAAGCTAAGGTAATTATAATAATAAAAAGGAAGATAAGTTATTATTAAAATATTTCCTTTACTTAAATAACCTATATTTTAAAAAATAAAGTTATATACTTTTAATAAATACTAACTAAGGAGACTATTAAGGCTAGAAAGAAACTTAAATATATTATAATTATAAATAAGAAAGATATATTATAAGATTTTACCTTAAACTATTTATAAAAAGATTAAATAATATCTTAATAAAAAAGAGATTTATAATATAAATATATAAGGTTATTACTATAAATATAGACTTTTTAGATTATTTTATTACTTTAAAAAACTAAGAAGTATAAAAATTAAATTAAAATATTTTATATATAAAAAAAGAAAAAAGTAAAAAAGAAAATTAAAATAATCCTAATAGGTATAAATATAATAATAAAGGTAATTATTCTTAAAGATATTATTAAAAAGAAAATTAATACCTTCCTTAATATAAAAATAGAAATTAATATTATTAATATAAATTTAATTAAAAAGCTTAGTTTAAAACTAATTATAGACTATACTATATTAGGCCTAAAAGGCTTTTAAGGTAAAGTATAATAAGTTAAGAATATATATTAAATAATATTTTTCTTATTAAATAATACAAATTAATTAAAAAAGCTAAAGTAAGTGTTTACTAAAATAATAATATATATAAAAAGACTTAATATTATTTTCTTAAGATTATTAATAGGCCTAAAGGGAATTATTATTAATAGTATAAAAAATAACTTTTTTTATAAAGTAATTACTAAAATAAACCTTAAGTTATTCTTAAAAGAAATTATTACAATTAAAAAAAAGGTATTTACTTTATACTTAATAATAATATTAATAAATAAGGAGTTTAATATATTAATATATTATTAATAATATTATATATTATATTACGGAAGTAAGTATAGTAAGATTTTAATACAGATTATATAATCTAATTTAATTCCTTAGCCTGAAACTACCTTTAACTTTAGGCTGCCTTAACTTTAACTTTAACACTAACTAATAGAATACATATTCCTTTAAGTAATATATTTTAACCTTCTACCTCTATTTCTACCCCCCTTTAATACCTTATATATAACTTCTCTATCCTTAATAGTTATATACTCTTAGTCTTAGGCTAAGACTAGGATACTTTACGGATTATTCTTAAAGACCTTAAGTATCTTTATAACCTACCTTTCTAAGCTATTATATTAAGTTATATACTTTAACTTAAATACCTTAATAAAAAAGCTATTAGTCTTAAAGACTAGCCTTTCTATAAGCCTATTTTCTAGGCTTTTTAGGTATTTAACTTACTTTTTTACTTTTTATATTTAACTTAATATATACTTTTAGGTATAGTTTTCCTTATTAAGCCTTAAACTATAAAGTATTAAAAGCTTATAGTTAAAGGTAATTAATTTAATTAAGCTATAATTATCTTATTTATTATAAAAAGGTAATATAAAATAGTTATTAAAATCTTATTTTAGATTAAGTTAAAGATCTTTAGTTGTATTTTTAAGTAAACTAAGCTTTTATTTATTATAGTAATTTTATAGATTAAGGTAAGGTTTATACTATAGTAAATATTTATTACTTAAATAGTAATACTTATTATAATAGTAACTATAAAAAAGGTTAGTAATATAAACTAAAGGGTAGGGAACTAAAGGTTAATTAACTAATTATAGCTTTAAGGGTTAATTAACTAGCTTATAGTATAGATTAAATTAAGGATATAAGGGAAGCTAGCTTTTATATATATAGCTATATAATATATATATTTATTTAATTAGAGTTTAGTTACTATATATAACTTTTATTATACTAATTATATTAAGTTTTTAACCTTAAAAGAGGTTATTTTTATTATTAATATTATTAAGAGATTTAAAAAGCCTAGGCTTAATAAATTTAAAGGTTAAAGTAAAAATAAAAGAAAATATATTAATCTTTAATAAAGACTTAACTATAAAAATAAATTAAAACCTTTTAAAAAAGCTATATAAATATAAAGTTATTTTTAATAAGTAAGTTATAAAAGCCCTTTTAATATTAAAAAAGGTAAAGTATATTATTAACCTTAAAAATAAAAGAAAATCTCTATATAGTTTATTATACCTATTAAACTAAACATAATATAAAATATTATAAAAAAGTATTATTAGAACCCTAGTAAATAATTAGATTTATTATTTAAAAAGTAAGATAGGTATATTAATCTTATTTATACTAAAGAAAGATAGTAATTTATATCTTTATATTAACTATAAAGGCCTAAATAAGGTTATAATTAAACATAAATACCTATTACCTTTGATTAATAACCTACTAAATAGGCTTATTAAGATAAAATAGATTTTTAAGGTTAATATTAAAAATACCTATTATAAAATTAATATTAAAAATTAAATTAATATAAAATAGCCTTTTATATAACATATAGCTACTTTAAATATATAATTATACTATTTAACCTAATTACTATACCGGTAATATTCTAGGTATATATTTATTATACCTTAATTAATATGTTAAAAATATATTATATTATATTTATAAATAATATATTTATATTCTTAAAGATAAAATAATAATATATTAAAAACTTAAAAAAGGTTTTTTAATAGCTTTATATAATATATTTTTATATTAAATAACTAAAATATAAATTCTATAAATAAGAAGTTAAGTTTTAGATTATATAATAACCTTAATAAATATTAAAATAAACTAATTAAAAATTAAAATAATTTAAAAATAGTAATTATTAATAGTTTATAGGGAAATTTACCCCTAGTTAATAATATTATTAATAAAATTATATATTATATTATAGTATAATAAGATTTTAATAAGGGTTATATAATTTAATTTAATTCCTTAGCCTAAAGGCTACCTTAACTTTAACTTTAACTTTAATTAATAAAATATATATTCCTTTAATATATTAACCTTTTACCTTTTTACCCCTCCTTAATACCTTATATATAACTTCTATTACTATCCTTAATAGTTATATACTCTTAGTCTTAGGCTAAGACTAGGATAGTCTTTTTATTTTATTTCTTTATTAGCCTTAATTACCTATTTAACCTACTTTTTTAAGTAATTATATTAAACTATAT